TGTTTGCTCAGCTCCTAATCTGTAAAGCTCAATGGACTTTTGAACGTAAATACTAGTACTGATCGTTATCTCCACATATTCCACCATCCACCATTTTTTCAAATGTTTCGAATTTAAATGTTATTATACAAGATTATGCACTTTAGGTACTTGTGTCATTCCCTTTAATTCGGTTATTAGAAAAATAACTGAGGATCTACAGCAGCACGATTGAATACGATTGGAAATGTTTGATGTTATCTGATAAGGTATTCGTGTACGTTTTGGTCACAGGTGGCACATAAGGTGCCACTAATTAATAACACGCGATCAAATTTATACCCAATTTTGTCAATACGCCGAAGAACCTCTTTTTAAAACTCTTTTCTGGTGTCAAAATTAAATGAATTGAAAATATAAAATAAACTTGGTCCTTTTAAAGACAGATTTATAGTGGTTTCACAATAATTCAAAATAAGAAAAGGATTAATGCTTACAGTTTCTATTAGAATGTTTTTCAGATTTTTCTTATTTGGATCATGGAGCTGAAGTGGAAATAATAAAATGAATGTTATACAGTGAAGATTTGTTTCATCTTAGTTAACACTTTACATACCGTTTCACATCATTTAATTTTCCATTTAACATAAAATATTCTGCAATTAGAATTAAAAGATAATAAATGAATTCAGAAGTGACACAACAAAAGACTTAAGTTCTAGACAAAGCGTTGATTTTATTTTACTTACTTGTACTGTGTGTTTCTTGCAATAATCTTGTAACCGAAGTACAGTTTTAAAATGGCGAAATACAACAAATTTAATTCAGCTAGCTGATGCTTTTGGTCATTACTTATCAGTTGTCACTCATAAAAAAGAGAAACGAATCTATAGGTACCAAAAAAAAGGTTTAAAATCATCAGAATATTGAAAAGTTCATAGTTAATTAGCTTTTCCATTATCGATATTAATTTGAAGTATTTTTAATAGGTCAGAGAATGTGTGGTATCATAAATTCTCTTGCAAATAGAAACCAAATATATATGTGTTTATTCAACCACCACAACCTCTCCACCCAAATGTTAATTACAGATTGAAAAATTGACATATGAGCTTATGGACATTTCCATTCATATTTCTGGTTTTGAAAAGTTCATTGCTCATTGATTTTTCTTAAAATAAACTGGAATGTACCACTGAAATGTGAAGATAGCAAACAGTATTTAAGCTCAAGAGTCCAGTAAAACAAGGTGTAAATACGTAGCACGTACAGAGCAAACACAAACCTCTTAAAACATCAGACTGATGTGGGATCAGGTGCCATGGAGAAGAAAGCATCCCCTCTGACCGGATACACCAGTCTTGTGCCATTAAGTCCATTCAAATAATACAAATCAGGAGCGGAGTCAACTCGGACCTTGAAAACATCAGAGATGGGATCAGATGCCATGGAGGAGTGAGAATTCTCAGCAGATCGGTTACATCCGCCGTGTGCTCTTTGTCTTGGAAGTAACGTAAAAAAAAAATCGGTCGACAATTCGGTGTTTAAATAATGGGCTAACAATTAGTATGAAAATCGTCAGTCAGAATTTGACTTAAGGTAGGACAAAACACCCGTGGATTCTATTTTAACCAATTTCTTAAAAATGTACTGGATGAAAAAAAATAATATTACTATATTGACAACGATGAATGATCCCTGAAAGAACAATAATAAGTTTTGGCACATTTGCGTTATATTTTGTGAAAAAATCAGAGAATCCTATATATTGGTCACTTGGGAGCTTACATTTTAGAATGTGTTTACGCTATCTAAGTGCAATAAACAAGCATTTAACAGTCTGTTATAAAATGCAGTGCAACTTTTGTTCCATAAAAAGTAGAGGGGTGATATTTGGACACATATATAAGAAGTCTATATTCTTTATGTACTACAAAGGTCAAGGTCATATCAGGAGGTCAAAGGTCAAATATTGTGACGTCATCTACTGAATCTTTTAGTTTTTGTCATTGATTTTTTTTTTAATCGCCAAAATATCTGAAACCACCGGTTCAATTTTCTTTATTTCTACACATTTTATTCTAGGACCCATTTGAATCATTCTGTTGATTTTTTGTAAAAATTGAATTATACATTTTCTCTTAAGAAAACTTAAACTGTCGGAAATTTACATGTGAATTTTCAGTTTCTGACACAATGTATGTTCTATTTTACTTAATATTTTACCCAAAAAAAACAAAAAGGTTATCTTTATTTAAAGTATTACACAAATTTGCAATAGATCAATAGAAATTCTAAAATAATTCTCAAGTCGAATGACTGATTTCACAATTTTCTTACAGGGGTCTGACAGACCATATTTCAGACTATGTGGGCAAAAAATGTGCGGTTGAATTTCTTTCATATTATATATAAAGAGAGATTTTGTATCCCAGAACAAAATATCAAAGTTTCAGAAAAATTGAATTTGAGGAAAAATTTGACCTATTTATTTGGTCCTACCTTAATGATAGTTTGTATTTATTCACAAAGTTATTGTATTGATAAAAAAATTACGAAGTGATGACATTTTAACAAGACTGTTGATATTCTTGTTTAGTCAACTTGTTATGAAAAACGTAAGTCAGCATTCGACTTAATGATAGACTGTACTTGCTGACAAGGTAATTGTATCAACAAAAGAACAGTTTGTGAAATGTTTATTTTAAACTAGACTGTTGATATCCTTGATTCATCAACTTGTTTGTCAATAGCTTGTATCATTTTAGAAATTGTTCGTATGTATAGCACGCTCTTGTGCATCGAATTAGCTGGGAAACATAAACCCCATATGCAGGTGGTAAGGTTACTAGTATATTGCTACACAAGGAAGGGAAGTTGACAACAGAAAATTAAGGTCATTACGTTTATCACAAAGCGTTGTTATTAGGTTACCATTTAACATCTTTTTCTTTTGAAATATGCAAATATAAAAAGTACCGTGTGAAGATATTACGTCGTCGACATATTTTAATGTCGAGGTCTTCTTTTCTTGTAAATTCTTGGAATAAATTCTTCTTCATATGAATAAAATTTATAAGTATGCTCATAATGGGGCGAAATTGAAACCCATGAGAATTCTGAAATATTGATGATCTCCAAAATTTACTTATTGAGCTATTGTCAATTAGAAACTCAAGAATCTTTTTAATATCAACCTCAAAGTACTTGTGTATTCAATCAGAGCATTTTTTTTATTTAATTATTTAATTTATTTAAGAATTTATTAGAACATAGTGACAATTTCGAAAAATCCATTTTCAGATCATGTCTAAAGGTCTTAGTGACTTTAAAGTCTATGCAAGCTAGAAAGAATCTCAACTTTTTATTAGCTTGAAAAAATATTCAAATTAAATTTTAACCTTCCTATTGTCAGTTGAAACTTGATTTACATTACGATATTATTCAATGTCTCCAAAAACTAGCAATTATTCTTTATTGTTAAACATTCAAATTGTTTTTATTCAAAACCGTCAAATAAGGTCTACTGTGTTTGAAATGGCAGTTTTCATTAGTTTCAAGAGCTTGAACAATTTAACTTTGCCTTTATGTAAACGCTCGAAAGCAAATTGCGTATATGGTTTAAATCTCTGTTCTACTTGATTTTTCTTCGGCTGAATAAGGCATGTAGATAACATTTAATTCTCATGATATACAAATAGGGACAACTACCAATAGAATTTTGCTTTGACAATAGAGTTTATATTTTAACATATATTATCCCAATAAGAAGAGTAACTAGTAACCAACGAGTAAACAAACAAAAGGAACAAATAAACAAAACAAACACGGATATATCATATCAGATCCTAAATACTTATTGGAGACAAAATGAACAAGGCTTTAATGTAGTTTATCTCATCATTAAATCAATTGGTAAATGAACATAAATCGAAGCGCCACTGAAAATCTGCATCTGATATCAAAATGAATAGGCGATAAAGTCACATAGGATAAAAATCGCATTTTGATCCTTTTAACCGACAAGCCAATCCTGTACACTATTAAAAATCTAAAATCCCTGGAATTTATATTTTGGCTTTCAAAGAGACTAAAAGCGTTTAAAATGAAATAATCAAAGTTGTTAAATTTTACTTGTACTTTTCCCATTGTTTTTCGTATAATTGTACCAAAATGGAAAGAAAATATTTGAGTGCTTACATTTTTAGACTTTTTGGAATAGTTAAAGGAAACTTGTCAGTCTTCAGGGCAGGGACTTATGCATACTAATATTTGTCCCTGTTTAGAGTTAAAATTTCATCGAAATTTGAGATGAACGAAAAGCAAAAACATTTCATAAGGGAATTTTAAAATACATGTAAAAACAAACTATATAATATACTTCTTCATTATTTGGACAAAATATCTAGTTTAACCAGTCAATGTATGGGAAATCATACAACTCTCTTAGTAGTATAGATCTAAATACTTGTAAATAACTGGGAAATTGCCATATATCACATTTGTTTGTTAATTGATTTCTTTTTAAAGTTAAACCACACTCACACTTGAATTGTTTGTTACGCGATTAAGTAGAGTTATGTTTAAATGAGAGGTCAAATTTGGTCAAAATTAAAAGTTTATATCCTTTTTGTTATCTGAACTTGATTTAGAAAATTCTTTGAGGAGATTCCTCATATTCATTTTGATCGCATTTTCTTTCAAAAGGAGTCAAAGTATTAATAAATGTTTATATAAATTTACTTACTATACAGTTTAATACAAATTTTTTTCGCCGATAGAAATCGATGATTATACTATTTGAATGCTTCACTTCGTTTGGGACTACATAGAATATCTACTACCAAACCAGAAAAATAAAAGAATTTTAAATACTATTCTTTATTATAATCCTCGTTTTCAACAGACATTGTTATATTTTAATCAATCGTTTAATATTTTGAATGACCAATTTTCTATTAAACTTTTATTAGCTGTGCGTTTCCATTTCAAATTTCATGACAAATCCATATTGTTTTCAGGTTCCATGGAATGAATTTGTTTAGAAATGAGCACCTTTGAGTAGCTGAGTAACTCTACGATTGCCATAATGTGGGTCAGCAGGACTTTTAGCGTTAGGCCAGGCTCATTTTTATTAATAGCTCTGTCCTTTCTTGTGTCGTTCTTCAGTGAAATAAACACGCAAAGTAAGTATCTTTAGTCAAAATTAATTACTATTTATTATATTTCATATACAGAATGCATACATTGATAAACGTTAACGCTGAAATAACAAAATAATTTTTGCCCCAAAAAGTAATACTAGTACATTAATTACTACATGTACATACCACACATTTCATTCAGTATTTAACAAAGGCATTTAGAGACGTTTTTTCAACTTAAGTTTGATCTTTTTTACTGAAAACATATTTTTTATACATCTGATATCATTATCTCTACATCAGAAAAGCCGTCTCTCTTACCTGGTTGCTCACTGTCTTATTTTCTTTTAATGAACAGCCCCTCCTGGCAACCCTAATATCAACGTTGTCGACACAAAGAATGAAGGTGATACCGTGACCTTGACCTGTACGTCTTTTGGGGGTAACCCACTACCCACCGTGAGATGGTATAAAAACACCCAGCTTGTAGACGCAGGAAGCAGCCCTAACGGAAATGGAGACGGGGTGTATACAATTGGATCAACCACTGTTACTTACAATAACTACACTTTCCAAGTGTCAAGGTCGGACAATGCAGTGTCTTTTATCTGCAAGGTCAACAATTCAGCTTTGACCAACGAGCTCCAACGATCCTTAAACATAGAAGTCTATGGTAATTCATATAACCTTTAAAAAAAAATGAAATGGATTCTGTGTTTTCTCTGACAAAAACAAAAGTTAAGTTTCACACATTCAATATGAGTTTATTATCAAATTATGCCTTAGACTTACTCTGTCAAATATTGATTAAAACACTTGTTAAATAAGAGTTCCGCTCCAGACAATGTGCCTAAAACAATGATCTCACAAGGTCTTTTAATAAAAAGAAGCTTTGCAAATGGGTCATTTTTCTTTACTTATTGGGGAATAATCATAAAGATTTAAGGATGGTGCAGAATTCTTCATCACAGAAAATTCTTTATACAACACACATTTATTGATAGGTTTCAAGGACTTTTTCTTGAAGAAACTGAGAAATTTTGTTTGACAACATCTGCAAATAAATATTTCTACTCATCTTTTCAGTTCCAGCCAGTGACCCACTCATCAGTGGGCCTGTGCCGCAGGTCACTACTGCTCTAGATGCCGGGAGGACGTATAATTATACCTGTACTGCCAGCAGTGGCTACCCAGTGGCGAACATTAATTGGAAACTGGGTACTTCTCTGGTTAACTCGGTAGACCTCCACCAGGGCATGTCAGGGAGAACAGTACGGGTGTCGGAGAGCACAGCCACCAACTCCGACAGCACGCTGACCAAGATCAGCCTACTGAGCTGGATTCCCATCACTGCCGACAACGGGAAGGTTTTGTTCTGTGTGACGACCCAGCCCGTAGTGTCTGGCGGAGCCATTACAACAGCTACCAAATCTCAAAGTGCAGCTGTCTTTGTACAACGTAAGGCACTAGTCCAATTCACTCTAGCAATAAATAAAATTTAATTCGAAGCATTTTAATGATTCAAACGTTTTTTTATTCTCGTAGAGATTCCCATTGTTCAGGTAAACAGCAGCAGTTACACTGTTCAGGTAGGCCAGACGGTGACTATGGATTGTACTGTCTTGATGGCACTACCACCTCCATCGACTGTTTACTGGAGCAGACTAGTCAATGGTGCCTTTAATAGATTAGTCATCGATAATGTTCGATTTTTCGGGTCTACAGTAAGCAATGCTAGTTTGACCATCACCAATGTTGCCCTCAGTGATGCTACCAGCTACCAGTGCTCGGCAACAAACACTGCAGGAACTGGAAACAGTGGCGCCACCACACTCACTGTGACCGGAAGTGAGTACTTTTTTGAGCAGATTTATACACATGTATATCGAAATGCTTATTTCCAATAAAACTCAGATAACTCACTATGTGAAAGATTTGATGCATGGCAATTTTATGAAGTGTGTTATTTTTAAGTGTCACGCTACTCACATATATCTAACCCATGCTGAGTGTGAATTTTCGTTGCAATCCCTTCATACAGAATATGATGTCTTCCAATTTATTGTATTTTGGAAACCTCAGTTTTGTAGAAAGGGATGTCAGATAATGTAATAAATGATGTGCCGAGATGAAAGTACTGGTACACATGCAGCATTGCTTTAAATTGCATTTTCATGTACTTGATCTTAGATATACACCATACCATGTTTGTAAATTGGGGATTACTGTAAAAATTATACCATGCATTGTTGTTCATTGATAATTTTATTTCAGGGTTTCTTTTATTCCAGTGACAGGAAATATTTGCGGTTTTCTTTCGTTATTTACAACAGTGAAGTATTTTCAGAAATTGCAACTATACAAACAGTAATAATGTATTAATTTTGCAGTTTCTTTTTCTTTCTTTCTTTCTTTCTTTCTTTTTTTTTTTTAAGGGTATAATTTAACTTGAATATTTATTTTGGCAGGAAATATGGATATTAAATATGGATTTGAATTTTTACTTCAGCGATTTTCCCATATTTTTTCGTAGGTTTTGCATTTCTTTTGGGGTCATTGTTTGAACAACTGATACAGATAACAGGTTTACAGGTATATTTCTAAATTTCTGTTCAGTTTACATGTTTTATAAAGAAAATTACTAACTTTATACCTCCATTATTATGTATATATTACATTTGAACGTAGGCATTTTTTTTATCAATATACACATGTATAATGTTAATCACGTGACGAAGTAATAGCCTATGCAATTGAATATTTCGTATCAAATGGAAGCGATATGTAACTAATAAATTGGGTCGGGTTCGGGAATACATGAATTGCAGGCGCTGAAACACAAACAGGAGTCTCTGGTTCGAGTGGCCAAAATATCGAAATTTACAAGTTTACAGGACAGGTCGTTGAACTTTCCAGTTATATAACTTAAAAAACGAAAAAGTATGTTAATTTATTGTAAGTACATTTGGTATAAATTCAATGAAGAGCGAGGACAAGTTCAATGCATATGCAATCCTTTTCTCACGCGAACACAAGTCCTGCATTTAATTAGCAGTAGCATACCACATTGAATCAAAAGTGTTGGTGAAGTGTCTGTAACTATGCAAACATCCTGTATGCATGTGTTCCTGTTCAATTTTTTATTTTGTTTTGCACTGAGCCTGAGGTGTCCATCGGGGTTTATAGCAACACATACATCTTTGGCCTTGGACGTATTTTTGGCAAGAAATTTTATTTGGTTATATCCTTGACATCTGAACAGGATGTTAGTAAGACGATACTCAGATCTAGAATAAAAGTTCTTCAGCAAATAATAATAGAGAGGAATATCCAAATAATATATCATGATATATTTTTATTATTTATCAAACCATGAACAGGATGTTTGTTTTCAAAAAGAAATATGTTAAGGGCTCGATCTTTATAAAAATTTTGATTTATGAATACATTTTTCTATTGAAAATTTAAAAAGGGAAGAGTAGGATTTGGGTGATTAATTAAAATTGGTTTTAAATTTCAGAATAATAATATTAAACAGGTATATATAGTTCATTTCAGGGCAAGAGAAGAAAATGAAAAGCACCAATAGTCCTCTCTGTATTCCTGTAACTTCATGGTTATCGGTAAGTATCAGGGCTTCTGATATGATGTGAAAAGTTCTGTATTTGTAAGCTTACTGTATGCATTGCACGTATGAAAGGTTTAGACAGGGAGAAGAGTTATTTCCCTTTGAACACAGTTTCCACATTAATAATTTCTCTCTTTTTCTCTCATTTGATAGGTATATGGTAATAAATTTGTCTGGATAGGTTGATCATTTGTCATATTACAAATTAATTTTAAGAAAAAGAGTAAGATTACAATTTACTGTGTTCATGCAATGAAAAAAAATTTTGAGGAAGATGATGTTGATGTTATACAAAAAATATTCAATTCCATTTGAAATATATAAATGGAATTTTTGTAAATATTTTTTTTTAATTTATTGCAAAAAAATTTTAAGCCTTCAGATTTTATTTATCACTTTCTTGTAAAGTTTTTTTAAATATTGATAGAAAATGTTGATATCTGTTGAAAAAAAAAGTTGGCCCCACTTTGGGTGCCATATCATATTGTCTTTATGAAGTAATTGCTTAGGTTTTTTAAGAGTGAAAATGTGAATCTGGTAAACAAAAATTATTTTTGCTAACAAATTTCAAATTTTTGATAAAAAGATAAAATATTTAAAACGTACTGCAGTTTAGGATTAAGATTTTGGATACTAAGGTCTTGCTGACTGGTGCAAAATAAAGATGAATTTAATATGGATCATATGGGGAGAATATACATATTTTAAAACCAATTAATGTGCATGCATACAGCTAATTTTTCTTCTTTTTTGTAAAATCTTAATTCAGAGTTATGATTTCAATTTTCACTTCTTTCTCCTTGATTTTTAAAATTTTTTTTTTAGTGAATGATCATTTATGAATAGTTATTTACTACTAATATTTTTTTTAAGTAAAACAAAATTATGTAATAAGTTGCATTTTTAGTGTTCTAATGACAGGTATAGATGTTCATGTATATAAAAAAAAATTTCTGTGTAATATACCAAAATGAGGGCCTTTCCTTAAAATTATGTGTGTAAAGCCATTTATAGCTTAGTGGACCCATTGCTGCATGGAGATGTGAACATAATAATGAAGTTTGGTCAGGACAAATGGAACATGTCCAAACAAATGCTGTCAGTAGAGCATTTCTGAATTGGCTTGGGTATTATTTTTAAATGTCTACATAGTTGTTTGTACATTCATTGTGTATAGATCGTCATGCTTGATTGAGCAGGCCTTGTGTGTGCTTAGTTAATGGTTACTAAGAACTCATTTGCCTGTTTTCAATACATGTGATCCATAAGCTGGGACGACAGGACTGATTTTTTTTTCTTCGAGTTAATTTTTTCTTTTCGAATCAGGTTTTGGGATTTTGTTAAAACACTATACAGTGGGAAGGAATCTTTAACCTTAACAACAGAACAGTGTTGAATATTTTTTTTTGGTTGGATTTTCAAACATTAATAATTTTAGGTATGTACCTTCTTTCATTTTATTTATATTGTATCTATAAGTAAAATATTTTCATCTGAAAATAAATCTATGATTTCAGTGCAATCCCATGTTATCGCCAGTACATATCAGTCATTATAACAAGATTTAATTAACGTGCTACAAGCTGGAACTCATACTATCAATTTTGACACCATTTTGTGAACTGTTGTCATATGATACAATAGTACCAGGACAAACAATAAAAATCATTTCTACTTGGGAATTCACAGGAATAATTTGTAATACGGTGTCTTTGATTTCAATCAATGGCAGCATGGCAGACAGAAAATCTATATTCATTCACTTAGTTCTTGTTGACAATGTTATAAGCGCAGGTTTTTTCCCAATAGTTCTAGCTTGGAAAACTATAAATATTCCAGATCTTTATATCTCTTATTGAATTAAAGCTTATTTGGTTTGGTAATCTGGCTTTCCAACTTTCATTTTATTATATATGATCTTTGATATTATGATTTATTTTTTTGTCAATCAATTGATCACATAACTATTGTGCAAGAATGGGTTTGCCTTTTCTACAAAAATCCTCTGAAACTGCAAATATTCATTTTCCATGATTGTCAAATGGTTGGTCTGTTTCTTTTACTTCATCTCTACTATATAACAGAGATGTTAAGTACTTGCATTATAAACAAGTCAGCTAGGGTTTTAGGGTTGTTGTGGCTGAAAATAGCCCCATTTCTAATTCTAAAAAGCAAGAATTTCCCCAAAATTTTTGAATTGAATTTAATTCCTAAACTGTGTAAAAAAAATTAATCCATGTAGTAGTTTGATAGTCTGGCCCAACCTTGAGTGCCAGATCATACTGGGCCCATGTTGTGTGCCATATATGTCACAGGTGGAGAAAATTCATGTCTCAATCAGGACTCAAACCCAGGGCCTCAGGTATACTATGCCAGCACTCTAACCACTGAGCTGTTGAGACCTGATATATTGACTGACTTTCACACACCTCCTAACCTGTTGACATTTATAAATCAATAATATGTCCTACAAATTGCAATTATTATTCCGATATTATTGAAAAATCTTTTTGGTCTTTGCTTATGTAAACAAGGTAATTTAAGCCTTGATGAGCATATTTCAAAGTAAAGATTCAATAATACCTGAATATGTCTATGCCTTGGTTCCCCCTTACTTATCTTGATTTTTTCCCCAAAAGTCAAGCAAATATCACTATTTTGCTCTCAATATCCCTATATCATAGAAATAAATGTGCATGTAGAGTTAACAAATACCCCTAGTAAATAAAAATGATAATAAAATAGAACGGGAGATGGATGGAACTCAAATTGTATAGGCCTTCATAAACAATGTTGATGCAGTAACCCCCCCCCCCATATGCTGAAGATCTGTGTTTTCAAAAACATTTCTATGAAAACTTGTGTCACATATACAGCCGTTATCCTAGTAAAAAACATGGGAATAAATATTAATAGGAAGAGAATAACAGTAGAATGGTATTCATTCAGTGAGTACTAACTGACATACAGAGTCAATGGAATCAGCCCTCTGTATATGTACAGTTATGACTTAATAGTTTGTACATGGACATGGTAGCTTTAAAAATGCAAGAAATTGAAATAAGAATTCATACTATAATACAAAGTGTAGAAGGTAGTACCCAATGATTCAGATATATCCCTGGTTTTCAAAAATAATTGATTTAAGATGTAAAGTTAAGACTTGTTTCATACCAATTATTGTGTTCTGAAGGTCATGAGTTTGAATGTGGGCTGTGACTGACCATAAAAAGTATGATACCAACTGTTACTTTGCCATTCTCTCAGCACCTTGAATAGAAAATTGCGGGGTCCTTCGGATGAAACCTTAAAAACCGAGGTCCTGTGTCACAACAGGCGTTGGCACGATACAGATCCCTCACTGCTAGGCCAAGTAAAAGTCAAAATTTGAAGACTTCTGCCTTTGACGGTGTATGATGGCATCTCTAAATGAATGAAAGTTTCACAAATGTGACGCAAAAGAACATAAAATCAATCAATCCTTCATACAAGTTGATAGGCCTCTGCTTTTTACTAGTGAATGTTTCATCCACCTGATTGATACATAGGGATCGAGGTAGGTTTGGCAGGATGCTTACTCCTCCAGGGCACCTGATCCCACCTCTGGAATTTCAATGGGCCAGTGTTTTGTGCCCTCATGACAGATTTGTATTATCACTGTTCATAATCCTCACCTTTTTATTGAATGATTAAGATGGGCTCATAAGAATAGAATAATAATGTATTTTTTAACATCTGTTATACATGGTTAGGATGATGACTGATAAACTATTTGATTGAGGCCATTATGATCAAGTTCACAGCTAGAAATTCCTAGAGGTAAGGTTTAAAAATGACTATTTGAAAATAATTTGGTTTTATCTTTAGGATTAGAATATGAAAAAAAAAATTTTAATCATTGGAATAGTTTGATTAACAATGCTAAATAAAATTAAATTTCCATAATGCCTACATTGGTGTCAAAGACCTCTCAAAATGTAGCCACTATATCTTTCCTTTCTAAAGCTCTGTCTTTTACAACACACTATGAATTTCATCTACTGTATAGGGGATTAATTTCACGGGTTGTAATTTTCGCGTTTTTCTCTCATCTGACACGATCGCGGTTTCTTGAATTCGCGGAATTGGTATATAATAAAAGTGACCTCCCTTGTCTATATAGCTTCATGTTAACGACGTTCATCAGCGTCATGTCTTTATTTCAGCAGGGTGGGTTAATATAAAGTTGTTGGATTAAATAAATAATTAATTAAACAAGGGCAGTTATTGAAAGTCCTTCATTCTAAACGGCAAATGACTTTCCTATATGCTAATATGAGTGCATGTGCACCCAAGATCTTCAATACGTATACAACGCGGCGAAAAAACACTGGACAGATATAAATGTGTTTATGTACTTTGTAGTTCGACGAAATAATATCCTTCCACATCTTCAGTACTAAGTTTGATATTTATTTGAATGATTTCTTATTAAAACTAAAATCTAGATAAAATAAAATATGCATGATTATGCGGGTAACAAATACACGTGGTTACATTAGTTACGCATGTGTAATCAAAACCCACGGCACACGTGATTTGATTGATGAAACATGTAGAGTTGGCTATTAAAATAGCTTTGGAACAAACACAAGTTATTATCTGCCGATTTTAATTAAAGTAAAGCGTGATAATTTATATAATAATTGAATGATAAGTACTACTCGTAATTACTGAAATGACCATGTATTGACGGTACATGTGTATAAACCTATCGTAGTTTATTCCTTAATTTCAAAATAAAACATGGAGATTATTTTAAAAATTTATTCACTGTTTCTTGAATTCACGGATTTATTAACACCGTGAATATAGCGAATATTAACACCGGGAGTTATTTTCCCCCTATACAGTACTTCCTCTGTCAAAAGCCAACAAGAGGATTTATCCACAATTTAATGGATTGTCTTCTAAGTTAAAAAAATATATTGTTCTGTTGTGTGTGAAGCTTGGAATCTTTAAAAAGCTCTTTAGCAGGATATTATGTTTTCCATAATCAATATTTATAGGTTACCATTACTTATTCATAGCAAATAACCTTTGTAAATATAGGCTATAATGACATTACCTATATTTCTTCGACGATTTTCTCTAATCATTGTCCATCTCTGTCACCTGTCTGGTTGGCATGGCAACACAGGTACACAAACAAATTGCTTGTATTAATGGATTATAATTCTATATTGAATACATGGATATGACATCTTCATCAGTATTTTGATGGCATTCTGATATGCTGGATATTTAATTTCTTGCTCTGTTGATTAACATCAGATTTTCATTTAACAGATGTGTGTTCTTTTATAATACAGGCACCAGGATCTTCCAAAATATAATTTTTCCTTCATTAATCATGTAAGTGAGGTTTTTCTTTTCTTCTTTTGTATGTCAGCTGCTCATGAAATGGTTATACACATTTCATTTCATATATGCTTCATTTGACACATGATTGTTTTGTTCACAGATAGGTATGCATTTCATTTTATCAGTTTTGCGGTTCAGTTGTGGTGAAATCATCCTGTTAAATGTTCAGAATAAGTTTTATCATTTAAATGAAGCAATGTATTATGCATAGCCCACATCATCTCCTTGTTACCTGGTGGCAACTTTACCTGTTACATAGCATTGTACCTGTATTACTTTGATATTGATTCTACAGTGACACAGTCATTTTCCAGTTCATTAGGTTAGGGGTATTCATTTCTTACAAGCTGTATCGTATGGTCTTTAATTCTGTAAATGATTAGTCCTAATACTATAAACATTATTGTTACAGTAGCATTTAGTTTTCTATCGATTGATCACAATTTTTTCTGCTTGTCAATCTTAGCTACTTTCAGTTTCTGCAGATTGATCAGATATCCTTATGGTTTTAGGGTTCAGATGCTTTAGTAGTACATGTGTGTATTTGCTATGGAACATTGTATGGAAAGGATGCATAAATTTGAGTGTTCAAAAAATTCAAGCATAAAAGCAGACTTGCAGTATTATCAAAATAAGCCTATTACTTCACATTTATGTCTTTATTGAGTGTACTTGATTAAATTAACCAAAATGAAATGCCTTTGAAGCCAGTAATACTTAATGAATTTTACCTTGTCAAAAAGGGTTTGCTAAAAGCATTTCTTATTTTGAAATGTAAATTTTTGTAAACATTGAAGTGATTAACATCTAAGCCATGCTTTGGATTGATTTTCTTCAAGCAGAGATAGCATAGAACTACCATTAAGTTTACCATTTTCAAACTCATACCTGTAGAATCATGAATTATACAACAAAAATGATTATAGTTGTATATTATATTTCAATAATTTCATTGTAATTATAATATGTAATGAATTACATTCAGTATTTCATGAAATATTCCTACTGATGTACATTCAAATGAGTTTGAAGGAATTGATATTCAATGTTACAGTACTAAATACCGTTGAACTTCAATATCTTGAACATGAATATCTTTAAAAACCTACAAGGAAATTAAGGAAGTTATTAGCAGGTTAAACCCCTTTTTTATGAATTCTCAGATATCTCAAAGTTTATAATTTGGGTCACCTCAAGTTTGATAGATATATCACAAAGTTTGTTGCACATAGAATACAGATATTCTGTTCAATGTATCTTTTTATGAACACATAGTCTTATACAAATGAGCTTTGTTATCTTGAACCCTGATATCTTGAATACCAGGGATATTTTGAAGTGGGTTTGTAGTCCCAACTACAGTGTACTCATTCCTATGTTTTTTTTATCCTTATTATCCCAGATCATTGGATATCTTGAAGTTTAATCTGGGTCCTGTTGATAGGAGATAAAAGGTTGGACTGTACATGTAACTATACATGTATATGTAATAGAAATTTCAATGTATCTAAACTTATTTGTCTTTGACAAATGTATTTTTAATATGGAGCAAAAAAAAAACCCAAACAAACAACTGCTGTATTCATGGTGAGAAAACTCGGCTAATAAACAGGATTTTATTAGCTATTGTGTTGAGAGCATTTTTATACAGGATGTAACTGTTAAACTGCCTGTGATTTACAGATAAGGAGAAAAGAATATTATTATGCTGTTATTTTTAGTTTTCTTGAATTCTTTTCATTGAATGTAGGTTGTCACTGTTTATGTCAGGAAGTAATGGTTGCTAAGGAATACATTTGTCAACAATGGAGTCTTGGTTGTGAGTTTGAAAAAAATCAATTTTTTGATCTCATAAGGGATCTGAAATTATTGGGCTGTGTTTATAGTGTTTGAAAAAGGTAATTGAATACACAGGGGAGATGGTATAGTCATTAAAATAAATGGGCTTCCAAGTATTGTTTTTTCTTCAAGGACCTAGAGCAAAATGTCAGAGCGAGTTTCAGCAAACAAAACCTAGAAAGAGGAAAATTTGCATAGGTTTTGATGTTCTGGAAATTTTTACACAAAGAAAGAGTTTTTATGCAGGGTTTTTAATACTGCATTTTTCTGCAATTGATTATGCAATTCTGCTCTAGCCTTTATTTGTTAAAGCAGAATGGAAAAAAAGTAAATTGAAAGAGAATAATACGAAGCAGCTAGACCATGATAACCATGCAAGATTTCACAATATGATTTTAAAGTGATTGTGCCACTATAGAATATAAAAATTTTATAAAGGCTTTATCTAATGTGGAAACACTTTGTTTACTGAATACCCAGTTGAATTGGCTGTGTTGAAAGATGTTGGCTCTTTTTCTGTTCCTGTAAATTTTCAATTAGCAGTGTACACAGAAGTGTGATATAAAGATATCTGGATCTATAGAGATCTATTCATGGTCTTTGTTAGAAGATCAGGCAAAGATTATAAAGAGAGGGGGTCAGCTGTGATGGGTTTACCTGTAATTTTTAGGATTCTGCTTGAAATTGCCCTGTAATACAAATTTCATCCTTCTGTTCATCTGTCTAATGCTGTCTATCTGTTAGTCAAACTTTTGTTGTGATGTAATAATTGCACCACATTCAATTTTGTTTACTTAAGTACTTTTAATTATTGTAAGAGAAAGGCACCTATATATTCTGGGGTCATGTCACTTTGTCTGTCTGTATGTTTGAATGTTTGAAGAAATGGTTTTCAAGAGACATCATACTTAGCACATTAAAACTTTACAATGAGAACAAGAAACTTAAAAGAATTTAGGTCATATCAAATTGTCTGTAAGTTTGTTAGAATGTTATTCAATGACACTTTTGTTTTGACACAGTTACCCAGCTTTCAATGTAACATTTTCAAATTTTACAGTGAAGAATTTACTGTACTGTAAAAGAAAGTTTGTTCGAAGTAGGAGTCATATCACTTTGTAAATCTGTATGTATGCAATCCTAAATGTATAGTAAGTACATTTGCCATTTTTCTTTAACAGTCCTGGCAAACAGGGCCTTTCTATGTCAGTTTCTAGTTCTGACCTAATTATGACATTTCTTTTTTTTATAGAATCAAATGAGATCAATTTATAATTTGTCCACATAAAAATTTGTACATATAGATAAGACATCTTCTTTTGATGGAACATTCATAAATTTTAAAGTCCCTACAGGTGAATATGAGACATTTCTCACTGTCATGATGTAATGAAAGCGGTCTAGATTTACAGGAAATAATTGAGATGTTAGTTCTAACTCCTTTGATGTTTTACTGATATTGAGATGATAAAACTTTATAACGATTGAAATTTAAAGTTAAATGCCTGACCCAATGAGCAGTGAGCCTTTCACAAAATAAATAAATAAAAGTTCCACCTCTTTAATCACTTTTTTTTAAAAGTCGTTTATTTAGTCTATCATTTATGAATTATTAATTTTATCAATAAAGAAATGCTTCATCTCTATAGCATATTTTGCAATGCTTTGTCCAGAAACAGGTTTGTGAGATATTGCATGAGCAGGATTGAAAGTTTAAATCCCGTCAAATTATGTACAAACTATTTAGATTATGGATTTTCTGTGAAACTTAGTATGTATTGAGTCAATGATTTAAAAAAAAAAGACTGGTTGGACCAGTTTTGCCTGTATTTATTAATAAGTGTGCTAAGCAACCTTATTTACTTAGATCAGCACAATGTTTGACTGAATAGAACTGTAGTGTGGCTCCCACTCGTTCCCTGATTAATTTGACCACAGGGTCTTCTTATTTGGACTTCACTTTCACGTGTTGATCGAGATCTCAAAATGTATAGACTCAAGGTATTTCATACAAGTATAGGTAAAGTTTTAAATGAAGAACTAAGAATTCTGCAATGTGCTTTACTTATTAGAATACTAGTTTACACCTACACAAGTGCCCAATCCTCAATATAAATGTATAGGCATGCAAGAATTATAAAATGAAATTAATTATTTTTATAAGAGTAAATTCTTGTTTTGATTAATCTTCTTACACATTTTTTGAATGACTAGAGCTTATAAAGCACTGTTATAGAGGATTATGTTTTTTACTCTCCGAAGCAAAGTTTCCGTTTTTGGACTTTAACAATAGGGATCAGACAGGGTTATAGGTTAAAACCCTTCATTCATTATATTTTTCTACCCAGTAATAGTTTTCTTTGTATGAGTTGTTGCTTATTATAGTTTATGTGAGCTATCAGTTTGATAATTTTTAGTTGACATGCCAATCATTTTTATATCATTCTTTAATTAATTAGTAGTGGATTGTTTATGAAATAATCAATCATTGATTTTATATTATTTATATTTAAAATTTTTTTTTTGATTTCAGGTTCAAGGCAAATTAACTGAAGGGATGTACAGACTTAGATAGTGAAAGTTATTTTTGGTTAAAATCCACATTCCGCAATCATGGCATGTGATATCAAGACTTTTGCCTTGAGGCAAGGTTCCTTCCTAATCCCAGTGCTATTAATTATTTTGCTATTTAATGGGATTTATTCACAAAGTAAGTAGTATGATATTCAATTTTTAAGAATTTTTTTTTCCTTAGTAAAATTTATAGAATAGTTGACTTTTGATTATAAAAACAGAATCTGAATTTATGCTTATTTTACCAATAATGATAATGAACTTGAATTTATTGTGATGAAAGTGTATATCTAGAAAGTATGTTACAATTTTTCTCCATTCTCTCTAATAATTGTTAATATTTGAATTATTAGATCTAATAGTTTTCCAATTTCAACTATACAGCTATTCCTGGTAACCCCACTATTGTTGGTGATTTTGAGAAGAATGAAGGAGAAACAGCAACACTGAGTTGTACGTCAGTCGGGGGTAATCCTCTCCCAACAGTGGAATGGTACAAGAACAATCAGCTGGTGGATCCAGGAAGCAGCAGCACGGGGAATGGTGATGGAGTGTATACAATTGGATCCACCTCTGTTACTTACAATAACTACACATTCACAGTGTCCAGATCAGACAACCTTGTCTCCTACATCTGTAGGGTGAAAAACTCAGTATTATCCAATAATCTTACTCGCTCATGGACAATTAGTGTTTATGGTTAGTTATTTATCTGGTATTATCTTTTTGCCTTGTAGGAATAACTTTCTAAGAATATGTCTTTTAAAATTCATATAAGCAATAATTTCACTAAAAATACAATGCACATCTGGTCTTTTTTTCTGATTTAGGTTGACATACATTTACAAGAAATAGATAGGAGAAATAGATAGGGGATTGTCAATTTGATTCTTTTCATATTTAAGTATCCTTTGCATAAAGTATGAAATGTTTGAGACTAAAGCCTTTTTTTTCAAATATTTTAATTGTAACTATTTTGATTTTAGTGCAAACTCAGCAACCTGTCATTACCGGTCCCGAGCCTGCGATCACCAATGCCCTTGATGCTGGATCTACTTACAAATATGTGTGTTCCGCAAGTAATGGTCGACCTGCCCCCCAAATCTTATGGAAACTCGGAACCTCTCTGTCAACTGCGGTTGAATTTCATCAAGGAATCTCGGAGAGCACCATCACAAATGCTGACAGCACACTGACCAAGACCAGCAACCTGAGCTGGGTCCCCATCACTGACGACAATGGAAAGAATCTCTATTGTGAGACAGTGCAAACCACCGCTGGTGGCAGCTCCACCAGAAAGTCCACCTTTGTACCAATTAATGTACAGCGTAAGTCAAAAATCCTAACCACGGATTGTGGTCTGATGTTCAAATGTACCAAATTCTTTTAACTGATGTATTATTATATATATGGTTCAGAAGGTAGTTGTATGGTTTGATGTGAAACTGGAAGGTGATTGATTTCAGTAATAATGGAGGTTTGTTTTGTTGATTAATCTATTACAGAGGTGCAAACGCAAGGTAAAAAGCTGTGGTATCTTTTTGTGCAGTCAGACACCCACTTTTGTAACAAGCTGTCCAAGTGTTCTTTAATAAATATCACAAGTCCCAATGTTTCTTCCTTTGCTTTTAAATTACATGTCCTTAGTTAAGCAGATGGGTAAAGAAAAAAACCCGAAAAAAGCACATACATGCACTGATATTTTTCAGATTACCCATCATGCTTTTCAGGGTACATATAGTATCTGCAATGAACACCGTATACACCAATCACTGGTGTACTCATCCAGTTTTATTTTTAGGAGAACACCCCGCTTGGTTCTTCTGACCTGTTTACATGTATAGCTCAGTTCCTTTACATTTAGAATAGTGGAAAGAAAAATCTTATAGTAGCTTAGAGTATAAATTAAAAAGAAATCTGAAAAGAAATGCACTCTACTTTACAGTATAATAGGTACAGTCTTGTAGTTAGAATAGCTGTGTATCTGGTGAGATTTTAAGTTTTTTCAGTGTCAGCATCTTTGGATTGTTTATACATGTACATGTATGTCTATCCATCTCCCATTCCGAGTTCTCAGTAATAGTTCTATTGATCTCGTGTTACATGTGTGATATTCAATTTTCCATTTTAAACATTTTCCTACCTTTCCAAACATGAATAGTGTGGATTTCTATTACCTGGGGTATATTGAATTTTAAAATGATTGATTAAATTAAAGTTAATGTACAGCCATTCATCAGTTGATGAACGTAATTGATTTTATTTCATCATCTTTCTGCTGTTTAGGCACAATCATGCAGGCCATGCCATTTCACTCCTTGTTCATGTTTACTTTGTGGTCTGTCACTGATCAACTTTGTTTCACAATTGTCCCTAACGTACAAGAGTACATAAAAATGTACATGTAAACACCTGCAAGACCATGACTTTTCATCTTCTGATTTAGATTTTTTTGTTTCTTTGATCATAATGACAGTAAGTATATGAAAATTTATCAAGCTATTATATACAATACTTTGTGGACATAAGTCTCATTATGATTTTTCAAATGGTATTGCTACAATATTAATAATTCTTGTACAGGAATATGCAAAGTTCTGTTTTGATAATTCATCAATTAATCTCCTTACTCACTAATGGTTAGAGCAATAATTGATTTTGTTGACAGGATCTTTTTTAAATTTAAAATTCAATGTTTTAGACCCATTGAAAATTGAACGAGTATGCAAACATGAACTATTAAATTTGTTTGCCTTTGTAGAAACACCCCTCCTTCAGGTTGGCAGCGCTTTTTACACGACTCAGGTGGGGGGATCAGTGACCTTGGCCTGCACTGTCCTGGCAGCAACCCCGGCTGTCACTGACGTTTTCTGGTCAAGGCTGGTTAATGGCGTCTATACCAGGATCAGTATTGACAACATTCGATTTTTCGGAGCCACCACTTCCAATGCTAATTTGACCATTAATAGTGTGGCTCTAACTGATGCAACAAGCTACAGGTGCTCAGCAACGAATGCGGCAGGAACAGGCACCAGCTCAGCAACCACACTTTCTGTATCAGGAAGTATGTTTCTTATTTCTCATAAATTCTTATATAAAACTAAAATGAATTTTTATCATGATGTTTTATTAGTGAAAGAATATTTACAGGTATATGAAATGCCAACAACTTTGATCACATTTTTCACACTGTTCACATTTTTATCCCATGCATTGTCTGATAACTTGATCACACTGCCCCCTGACACAGAGCATTAACCTTTTGACATAGAGGAATAATGCCATGTGTTTAATGGGTGGCATCAGATGTGCTTGAAGCGTAAATCTGGCATGAGGTGGCTAATGCCATGTTGTGCAATTTATAGATTTTTTACTCCACCTCATGTTGATTATCAACCATTATTGTTGAGAACTAATAGCTGATAATCACAGATCTGCTTCAATGCAATAGGGGAAACTGGTACACATAATATTTACTGTTCCTCAAACATCTTTGTTTATATGATATTTTGAATGTCTTTGTTGTAAAAATATATAACAGAAATAATTAGATATTTTCATTTTCAGGGTATTTTAAAATTCAAATATGTACATATTTGTGTTAGTTATTTTTAACACAGTAGCTTCCATGATATGTAATTTAGATCTATAAATACTTAGTATGTCATTTTAACTTTATGCCAAGAATTTGCAAGATTTTTTTCTAGTGAGCCAGCAAATGTCACATGACAGTCATGTGACTGTAGTCATACCCTAGTGTGCTGTAAAGGCACAAGGTAGGTGACAAACTGTAGCTGGAACTCACCGTGTGTTGTACGTGGCTTTATGTGCAGACATGTAACTTTTATACCTCTAGCTTTATGTAGAATTCTTACAACATAGCTTATTGGCTTAAGACATCTAGCAGTAACTTTTGGTTTTGGTATAAACAAACCTTTTTCAGCTTTTATTTTTCTTTCATTTTATTTTTAAATCATCTTTTCTGGCAATGGTTTACATTAGATGAACCTCTAGACTTGTTGCATTCTTTTAAAAAGAGCTGATTTTTAGTACATTTTTTTCTGTGAGAAAGAAATGTGTGTGTTTGCTGAGTAAATTGTATACCTCCCTGTATATGTATCTACACTGATAGGAACAAATTATACAACATTTCTATACTATAAGAAGAGAATATTATGAATGCTGTCAAATTGAAAACATAACCAGGATTTTTTTCTCAAAGTTACTTAAGGCACATGGTTTGAAGAATACTATAAAAAAGATTTCCTGCTGTTACCTTTCTGGATGAAGCCCCCCTCTCATTGGTCATTTCATAAGCTATCTGACCTAGCAGAAATTGTCCTCAAATTATTGGGATGGTAAACGTAAGGTATAATGTAGAAATGGAAGGAAATTTATATGGAATTAATGAGAATATCCGTCTTTGTTACATGTAGGTGAGTCCGTGAGAATAGAAAGACAGGCTTCCTCCTCCATAAATATCATTCTGGACTCTACGTTTTATGCTGTTCAGGTGGGCCAGTCTGTTACACTGCAGTGCACTGTGATAGCTATACCCTTCCAGACCTCAATCTCCTGGCAGTATATAAAAAACGGTCAGGTCGAGACCATAGATGTACTGGGAAACCCCCAAAAGTACGGGGGTGCCAATGTGACATTTCCATCACTTATCATAAAAACAGCAGAAATTTCTGACAGTGGTTCGTACACTTGTACAGCTGTTAATGCTGGTGCTAGCAAAACCAGTGAACAGATTTCCCTGGACATTACTGGGAGTGAGTAGAGTTATCTCCCCTCACGAAGCACATTCCCTTAGAATGACGTGTATTGTGCAGTGCATCAAATTTCCTTTTCCCCATATTTTAGAATAATTACATGTACTCTCTCATACCCTCTCTGACAATTTGAAGTGCTGTGGATTGAATGTTACTTAAACACAGTATGCAGTGGAATGTATATCTATCGCAATTCTTTTCTGCTTGTTGCTTCTTGTAGTGCATGTTAATACAATGTACGTCTTAGTTCTATACTCAAGAAACACACCCATTTCTCTCAGAACTAAAGTGGAAAAAAATTTGGATCGTGTATTTTAGTTGTGATCTGAGGACTATAATTGCATATTCTGCAACATTGTGAATTTTCTTTGTCATTATTTCAGCCATTCTGCTAGTTGTAATGAAAAAAAGATATTTTACAGTATATAATAAATTGAAAACAGGATTTATGATGTTAAATATTCAAAATGAAAAGCTAAGCTACACTTAAGTAATTAATTGTGTTTTCAAGGAATACTTTCACAATATAAATCTAAACCAGCACTCTAGTGTCTTGTCAGTGTACTGTTTTCTTGCTTTAGTTTCTTCAGATAAAATCACAATAACTTTATGTTATGGTAGCATTAGATAGCTAGTTTATGAATAAATGAAATTTTCATTTAAATATTTTACATTATTTATTCAAATTTATGAAAAATGTGTTTGAATCAGATATAAAACAGAACAGGTTAATTTTCAATTTTCAGTCTATAAAACATTCTTACCAGTTTTATGTATAAGATCTCATTTAACCCCCAATTCTTTATTAATACTGCAGTATTTTTTGTTTTGCATGTAATTAATGGTTAGTAAAACAAAGTATAACTTCTGATTGCAGGTGCCCCGTTAGTACAGATAGACCAGGACAAGTACCCTAGTACTAGTGGTAACACAGTTACCCTGGTGTGTGATGTCTACTCCAGCCTCAGCGTCTCCCGCGTCTACTGGGAGAGGGAGGTCGGGGGTCAGTTTACGGCCATTGATGTGGCGGGGAATCCCAGTAAATATGGGGGAGTGACCATCTCCTCCCCCTCCCTGGTGGTGAAAAGCGTGACTACCAGTGATGCTGGAAGGTACCGCTGTGTAGCAATAAATATAGCAGGAACGGGGCAGGACACTACTGTTCTAGAAATACAAGGAAGTGAGTGGAGCCTTTTATTTAAATTCAGCTCTAAAGAAAGAAGTCTTTTAACTTGTTTAGTTAATTTATTTTAGTGGGATATTTATGGACATTTTTGATGCCATGTTTTGTTTTATAGATCTGCCTCGTGTAACAATTGAGAAGGACTCCTACTCTGTCAATGAGGGCAATGCCGTGACATTGGCCTGCACAGTTCTATCTTCCACTTCCACAAATATAATTGACGTATCATGGCAAACCATCGAAAACGGTGTCAGTAGAACACTAAATGTCAACGACCCAAGTAAATATGCTGGAGCCTCCATAAGTAACCCCTCCCTTACCATATTTAATGCAGAAATATCAGATAATGGACAGTACAGGTGCACTGCTACTAACACAGTTGGGACGGGAGAGAGTGCCATTACGACCCTGAAAGTCATTGCGAAGCCTTCATTCAGAATCAGTCAGAGCTCCTACTCGGTTAATTATGGCAGCAATGTCACTCTCCAGGTCACCATATCATCACCAGATGCACAGATTCTGGCCATCAACTGGCAGCACACCACAAAGGCAGGGATCACCAACTACATCCTGACGGGGGGTGGTAGATACAGCGGGGCCATCATCGGATCCCCCAGCCTGAGGATCTCCTCCGTTACATTCTCTGATGAAGGAACCTATCGCTGCCTTGTCACCAGTTCTGCAGGATCTACCACAAGTGGACCGATCTCTTTAACCGTCATAGGAAGTAAGAACTACTTATGTGTATTGAGAAGCATAATTATCCAAATCAAAATTTACTCAAAACTTTTGAATGCTATACATGTAAAATCTAAAATTTGAATCAGTAGTCTGATTTTCAAAAAAATTTCAATTTCTTTAATTCTATATTTTCCATTTATTTAGCTGTTCCCTCTGTGGTGATTGGCTCAGGTTCTGCCATTGTATTTGGTGGAAACGTCTCGATAAGCTGCTCCATTTCATCCAATCCTATTGAACAATCTGTATCATGGCAGAAAACTGTGAATGGAGCTACTACAACTCTGAACATCATTGGAAACCCCAGATATGAGGGTGGCACCCTCTCCAACCCCTCCCTGACCATCTACAATGTCAATCTGGGGGACAGTGGGGAGTATAGATGTCTGGCCACCAATATTGTAGGAACAGGTCAGAGTGGGCCTGCAATGATAGACGTCACCGGAGGTAAATTAATTAGTTTATTTAATTCAAGATATTTTTAATAGGAATGAAACTTAATTTATACCAAATTGATTTTAAACCAATTCTTATTTTTATTCAATGTTATATTCTTGAATCCGAAGAAAAGATTTTTATTTATATCATTACATTTGAATACAATTTTACACATTATTATTTTAGGTGTTCCAGCTGTTACTATTGGTTCTGGATCCACCGTGTACGTGGGTGATGATGTCACAATATCTTGTTTCGTGTCAGGAACACCTGCTGTTACCTCTGTTTCATGGGAGCAAACCATCAATTCTACCACAACCGCCGTGAACGTAAACGATCTCACAAAGTACTCTGGTGGTACCGTGGCAACACCCAGTCTTACCATAAAAAATGTCAACAAAGCCAACGAAGGCAGCTATCGATGCCGAGCAACGAACCTGATAGGAACAGGTCAAAGTGTCACCTCAGCATTTATAAGTGTGATTGGAGGTATTGAAAATGCTCAGAAGTTGAAAAATCTCTTGTTTTTAAATTATACAGGTTTAAAAAAAAGTTTTTGCCATATAATGCTATGTAACTGTGTTCTTCTATTGTAAGGTCTTCCTGTGACCCTGATTGGACCAGATGTCAGTGTTACCGTTGGCAACCAAGCAACAATCACCTGCTCAGTATCAGGGTATCCACTTAGCACAAGCATTGCTTGGCACAAAATAGCCAATGGAGTCCGAACCGAAATAGACACCTCACAGACTCGGTTCAGTGGAGGAACCATCTCCACCCCTTCCCTCACCATTAGTCCAGTGGAAAGTTCAGATGAAGGCGATTACCAGTGTACTGCCACCAACATACTGGGGACCAGTCCAAGTGGAACCGCTTATTTAGATGTATTGGGCAGTAAGTGAAGTTGTAGGGTCATATGCAGTGTTGTCTTAAATGGCTATCCAAAAAGTTAAAAACGGTTTTTTGTAGAATGTGTAATATGTAGAACATTTTAGGGATTTCCTGAAATATATTACATGTTTTAGTATTTCAGCTTATTTAAAGTTAAACAGTTTGGGTGCAAAAAATCAACTGCAGGATAAATTCTTAAAATAGTTTATAAATATAGCAATTTGCATGACTCTCACTGAAAAACCATGCATGTATGCACAGACTATTTGCACAATACATACAAAATTTATATTTCTTTTCTTCAAAAACACAAAAGCATTGTACATATCTCAAGCATGTCAACTGAGCAACTACTTTGTTTTCAAGAAACAACATAAATTTAAAAAGTTAATCTAAAAATTAAATATCAATTGAACAAAAAACATCATATTGATTTCTTTTTTCAAATTTTCCTGTAAATACCCTGTAATTGATTATAGTTTGAACATTTTAACTTCATGGCACTTTTTTCTCCTTTCTCCTCCTAGGTATTCCCTCAGTAGAAATCCCCAGTTTTTCCTATACTGTTGCCTTTGGTTCCCAGATTCGACTCCAGTGTGTGGTCAATTCTATCCCCCCCGCCACCAGCATTCGCTGGCTCAAAACCTACCAAGGCGTGACCTCCGCTGTCACTCTCAACCCCTCCAAGTACAGCGGGGGGACAATAAGTGATCCTTCATTGAGAATTTTTAATGCTGAGTTGTCTGATGAAGCTACCTATGTGTGCTCTGCTACTAACATCGTAGGAACCGGCACCAGTCGGGAAATGACCTTGAGTGTTGTTGTGTGTAAGTATGCTATTACTAATTATAGTAACAGTATCATTGTCCACTAAAGCTAACAGAGTAACAGTTATTAACTTGTGTCAGGATTTCATATCTTCATAATTTCATTTTTTTTAATGAAAATACATTATAATCTTATGAATTTGTTGTTTTGAAGGTTCGTGAGAGAACACACGTATGTTCATTAGTATGGCAGCTACATGTACCATGCTTTCTTTTATTCCTTACTTCATTTTATTTTTGTATATAATCCTAGCTTTATTTTATTCATGTATCACTCCTTTCCAGTCCTTATACTTTCACATTCTCTATTATTATTTCTTTTAAAACTTTCATAAACTATTATTCAATACTTCATCTTTTTCTCTCGGCTTGATGTTGTAATCTTGCATCCATATATAAAAGTCTCTGAATGTATTTCTAACAAACATAGTCCTGTAATTCATAGAACTAAAATAAAGGGGGGGGTGTTAACTCAGAGGAGAACCTCTCCACAAATGGCATGATATCAGAAGGAATCCTGCCTTTTGTAGGAGAGAAATTATCAGCATGGGTGTATATATGTGAAGCTGGTGTGATATGTGAATCAAGTGTCTAGAAATAAAGTCTTAACAGGTTCAATAATGGTGCGTTGCCTTTCTATTTTTAGCTTTGCCTACAGTCCAGGTTGGATCCTCTGCCTACACGGGGATCAATGGAGGATCAGTCACCCTTGTGTGTTCCATCATCAGCTCTAACCCCACGGCAACTTCTGTCATCTGGGAGAAGGACATTAACGGGAACCCCACCAGTGTCCAGAGCTTCATGGGGACGCGGGTCTCAGGAGGGACAGTGAGTCAGCCATCCCTCACGATTTCCTCCCTGACGGGCGGTGACACGGGGACATACTACTGCTCTGCTAGAAATAGCGTTGGAACCGGGTCACGATCTACCACTACACTCACTGTACAAAGTAAGTCAAAGGTTAATGGTGAACTTGATCTCTTTAAAGTTTTACTCAATATATTTTAAATTTTGAAATAGAATAAAGAACCTTTTGAATGTTGTGATAGATTTTTATTAAGCTTATACTTATTGTTCTTAGAATTTGTGAATTTTAATGTTTTGAACTTCATTTGTTCAATATAGAATTAGGTATTTTATTTCATATGACTTTGATAGTTTTGTCTTTGGTAGTTTAAATTTGCTCCATTTTATATGGAAAATAATGTAATATAGATATGATAGAGTAATGGTATTTAGAACTAGGTTTTGACGTCAGTTGTAATAAGCTTGTATCATGCCTGGTGATTGGTTCCTTTAGCCACGCCTGAGATCACAGTAGGTCAGACCTCTTACGAGGTGGTAGTGGGAAGCAGTGTGACCTTGACCTGCACAATAAGTTCATCACCCCAGGCAACATCAGTGACCTGGAAAAGAAGTGTAGGTGGAGCAACACTAATTATAGATGCAGGCAGTAGCCGATACTCAGGGGGTACTGTAAGTTCCCCGTCCCTTGTGATAAAAAATGCCACCCTCTCAGATGCTGGCCAGTATGTCATCACAGTCACTAACGATGCGGGCGTCCAGTCAGGGCCCACTATTGACCTGACTGTCCGCAGTAGTAAGTTGAAATCTATGTGGAGCCTTCTGAAGCACAATCCACATGAAACTCCACTTTCCAGTTCACTTGTGATGACCTGTGTTGTTTATCTGATGGATTTTGCTAATCATTTCACTCAGTACAGGTCCTCACCATATCTTCCACACTGTGTGATTTTCAGATCAAAACCTAAAAGGTCATCCTTTAATTTCATGACATATCATTTGTTCACTTTACACATAAAACAAGGGTCCTATCATCAAGATTTGAATGTGTAGGCAGTCTACAATTGGAATGTATTTTTGATGATATTTGCAGTGATTTGTCAGATGATTATTTTTCTGCATTTTTACAAAGGAATAAAAATCATTAAAGATAAAAAAAAAAGCTGACAAATAAATAGTAAACTTTCTTTAAATCGACAAGGAAAAGTAAGGTATTTATCTGTCCAATACTCTGAGGACCACAAAGATATCTCTATACAGTATCATAGGGAGGTATTGATTATGATATCATTACCCCCATTATGTTCTTTAAACTGTTGGCTTAAACTTTTATTTACTTTGCATAGTAAAATCTTTTCTTATTACTGAGTTAGAACTGTCCAGTAGATCACAGTTTTCCCTTAGCTTAAATATTACGTAACCACACAGAACTGAAAAGTTAACATCAAGTGTTCAGATAAAATCTGTTTTATCAGTAAAAATTATATCTTTTACACACTCTAGATCGTCCAACCATCACCTTGCCTCAGTCCACTTATAACATCAATTTTGGACAAGATGTCACCTTAGTATGCAATGTGACCTCTGACACGACCTTGACCTCTGTAGTATGGAGGAAGTACAATAATGGTGTACCCACTAACATGGTGGTTACTGGCTTATCACGTTACAGTGGGGGCACCACTCAGACCCCAAGTCTTACCATAAGAGCACTCGTGTTTAATGACTCGGGAATTTACGATTGTTCAGCTACCAATTTCGCAGGAACTAGTGTCAGTGGTCAGATAACTCTAAATGTTAGAGGAAGTACGTGAGCACATTCTTCATTTATAGAGAAAAGTAGCTTTTTTGGCATGCGTTATAAACAGCTAATTTTTAAGCTTTGATACATGTACTTATATTGTTTCATTATTAGCTTTTTAATAATCAAACATCAGTGATATATTTTTTAAAAAATTTTTTTCCAGTTAGAGTAGTTTTGGGAAGGGGATTCTTTTTGAAAATCATCTATTAACTTTTTTAATACATATTTCTATAACACATCATAAAAATTTAAACAACTTCAGTCATTCATAATCATTTGACTGTGTGCATTATTTATTTATAAAAAATTCTGCTTTTTCATTTTTTCACAATTAAAACAAAGATTAGATCATCAAACTTTTATTAAACATCATTCTCCTAACTCTAATGCAGAAAATCACATTAATTAATTTTTTTTGTTTTTGTTTATTTAATTTTTTTTACCAGACAATATAGTAGTGTTGTGTTTATTTTTAAAAAATGCACAAGTGAAATCTACACAAATAAAATACAGTTAGATTAAAAAATCATATCTGTAATCATTTCAGAGTTCATTGTAGTGGCACATTGTTTAATCAATCTCACTGCTTCTTAACTTTCTTTTGTTTGCAGTCATTTTCTTAAAAATTAATTTGTTGTTGTAAATTTTTAGAAGTTTTTCTTTCATCGCTGTTGTTTGAATACTACAATTTTGAAATATTAAAATATAGCTTTCTAAATAAAGAGGAAATAATTAATGGATAACAAAGTTTCATTTTCTATAAGATTTTAAAAAGAAAATATTTAAAGGTACATTGTAATTGTAAATTTGAAAGTAAATATAAAAAAGAAATATTATTAAAAACTTATTGTGTGCTTTTCTGTAGTATAGTAGAAGTAGATATGTATATTCTCTGGCACATTGCCAGTGGAGCTTGGTATACTGATTTCTCTCCCCTTCTTTCTGACAGCTGTTCCTAGCGTAAACATTCCGCAGACCAGTTACAGTGTAACGTATGGAGGTTCAATCACTCTCCAGTGTATCGTAAACTCCAATCCATTCCAAAGCGAGGTGGAATGGCAGCGCATCGCTAGCGGCGTGTCCACCACCATCAATGTGGCGTCTGAACCGCGATACAGTGGTAGTTCTCCAAACACACCATCACTGACCATAACCGGGGCCGTTAGTGGTGATGCAGGGGTATATGTGTGCTCTGCCACAAATGATGCCGGGAAGGGTGTGAGTGGGCAGACAGTATTAAGTGTAATAGGAAGTGAGTACAGTGATAAGGTTTTATTTAAGACAGAAAATGACAAATTTTTCTTCTTTTATCTGGAAAAGGTGATATTATGTGTACTTGAAAAATGTTCTTTCATTTAGGCACATATTTTCATACACAAGAATATATGCATGAATCACTGAAATGTTGCATAGCACAGGCTGATTCACATGTAGAAATTAAAAGTTGAAATGTTCAGTAACTTAAGTCACTGCATATTTCAACTTTTATAGTAACCCTACCAATTAATTGAATTGTAAAATTGGTAGTCATGTATTAATGCTTTCACAGTCTTGTTTCTATTAAGGCGCTTCTTGCTAGCTTGCAGCTGAACATGTTTAACTCCATAATGCTTTCAATGTCCAAGGCTATGCGCTTTAATGTATTTGTCAAGGTGTTGTGTGTTCTAAGTTGTTGTCTTGTTCAAGTTGTAATGTTATGGTTAATGTAAATTGTCTATTCAGACTTGGCTCAGGTCCGGATCACAGAGTCTCGGTACTCCGTCCTGTATGGAGGATCAGTGTACATGGAGTGTACAGTACAGAATGCATTACCACCAGTTACCACGGTGAGGTGGTACAAAGGGACAAGTCTCAATAACATTAATACGTCTATCGATGTCACGGCTTCTAAGTTCTCAGGCGGAGTGTTAAGCAATCCCTCCCTAAATATAACTAATGTCATTCCCTCAGATGAAGGGTACTACTCATGTAATGCCACAAATCTAGTTGGAATTGCCTCTGCCACAACGTTCCTAGATGTTTTTGGTGGTATGTCATTTTTAAATTGTACTAGCCATTATTCAAATTATATAGATAGTTATGGGAAATTCCTTGGATATTTTTCTGATCATTTTTCTACCAATATATCTTTATAAATTCCCTTATCTGGGTAACTACTGGGTATCCTTATTTGTAAAGTTCAGCTTCATTATAGCTTTGATTTTTCCTTTTAATTCTTTGTATGTTTTGCCGTTTCTTTTACCTATAGATCTGCCCTCTGTAATTTTGGGTAATACCTCCTACACTGTGATGGTGGGTGATCCTGTCACATTAAACTGTGACTATAACTCCTCCCCCTCTCCCAATACCATCACATGGCAGCGTATACTAAACGCTCAGTCCTCCAACATTAATGTTCTTGATTCTCGCTACGGAGGGGGAACTATTGTCGCCCCTTACCTCACTATTCATACCACCCTCCTTTCTGATGCGGGGGTCTACACTTGCTCGGTGACCAACCAGGTCGGCACCTCGACGAGCCAACCCATCTTTCTCTTTGTCAATGGCAGTGAGTATGATGAATGCAGTGCTTGCAGATTTTGAAGACTGAGCATTTTCGGCTTATGGAGTGGATGGATTTCAATTTTTTTTTAAATATTAACTTTCAGACTCGCCTCATTTGCCATTTATTTCATCATATTACATAAAGGGTGAATAGTGATGAAAGCAATCCTGGTTTAAAATTAGGAGAGAAAATTAACACTTAACTCATTTTACATTAATGAGATAAACTTTGTCAGGAACATGGTATCATCTTATGATGCAGGAGTGCATATGATAAACCCATCTCTTCATATCATCCCACATTGAAGAGGTTTTGGGAAAATTGTTTCCTTGTTTGACTTTACTAAAAGACTTGTGGAATCTTGTGAGATTTGTTGATATCTTATTATACCATCTTTCATCATCTGTTCAATATAATATCAATATCTTGGAGGACACATATTTCAGAGTGAAGTGTCTTTTGTTGTGGCTCTGCATGCTGTTAACAAAGCATGTCATGGAATAGATGCATGAGAATAGATGCATGTTCATATATATAATCATAATGAAATAACCAGATACAAAAATATTTTCAAATTCTAATTTTATTTTCCTCTTTTTGGATTTATTTGTTAGCAAAATAATTTTAAAATGCTATTCAGTGCAATTAGTTCAGATTCAAAAACAAAGAAATGAGAAATAGACTTATGCTAATAATTTAAAGCTTTGTTTGTGGATTTTAATCATTTTCATACAAGTTTTATCTTTTTTTGACTTTAAATGATATCACTTTAGGCATTCCATCAGTTTCCATTCCACAAAGCACATACAGTGTAAATTTTGGAGATCCCATCACTATTCCATGTAATGTCACGGCCATTCCCATAGCAACCAATATGTCATGGGTCAAAACAAGCAATGGGGTCAGTGTTACGCTTGACCCAGCTGCTCAACCAAGCAAATACTCAGGGGCTACTTTGTCAAACCCTAACTTGACCATAAGTAGCACTGATTTAACTGATGAAGGGAACTATGTTTGCTCAGCTAGTAATATTGTGGGCACAGGAAGTAGTAATTCGGCCCTCCTGGATGTGATAGGTGGTAAGTGCCATGTGGTTGCAGTGTATCATAGTAACCAGTGTTTTGCCTGACTAATCCAGTGTCAACATGTTGCAATAAAGCAGTGGCATTATTTTAATACCTGTATATTTTTTTTGTTGTCGTGTGTATGTACTATGTTTATTGCGTTCAATCATGTACCAAGTTGTCATTGTTGCTGGCATTTCATATACTTTGCTTACAAAATGAATAAAACTTGTAAAAGTGCAATTAGATAAATGATCAATTACTAAAATGAAATCTTTTTCAATCCAGTTTTTTCTAAAAAATGATTCTTCCAGTTTTGGAAGCTTGAAATCGACTATAAAAAGATGATTTATTTTATGAATTTCAACAAATTTTCTGAAATTTAACAAATTTACAGGTTTTGTTCATGCTATGATCAGCCATCTAAGATTTAACAAATGCTTTGCCTAAACCCTCATCATGATGCATCCCCATCATTAACTTCTGATTACAGATGTGCCCAGTATCTCTGTCACTCAGACGTCCTACAGTGTTTTCGTTGGGTCCAGCGTGACCTTGACCTGCAGTGTGTCGGGTAACCCACCCGTGACCAATGTCTTCTGGACCGTGACCAGGAATGGTGTTACTCAGAATGTAGTGACATCTGGAGGCAGTCGCTTTAGTAACGGAAATTCCAACATTCCGTCCTTGACCTTGACTAATGCTCAGCTGGGTGACTCCGGCACTTTTATCTGCAAGGCCCAGAACTCTGCTGGAACCTCGGAGAGCTCTGGTATCACCCTCACCGTGTCTGGAGGTAAGGCTTGTGTAGTGCATGTTTTGTTTGTGCTGATTAAAAGCTTGTGAGACTATGTTTTATGCATTATTTAAGCTTTGTTGCAATTTGTTTTATAGATATTAATGCATGTATACACGTTTAATTTACTAATATGCATGTTCCTGTCACTAGCATGTGTAGCAGTAGATCAGTGTTTGTTTAGTTCTAATGTGTTTGATTTAGTTTCACCAAGTACATCTAGTGGCTTTATATTACCTATCATATTGGTGAACAAAGCATGGATTACCAATATAAAAATAGAAAATATGCTTGTAGCCTTATACTTGAAGTTTTCCCATGTAGGTTTCTGTAGTGTTTAACATGTAGGTTTTTAGAAAGATTTTGAATTAGTATAAAACTTGTAATATTCTATAAGTGTTCCCTCTGCATTGTCCCCCAGTCTCATCTGCTTATTCTTTACGAATTTCTATATTAGGGATAACCTTGCACACCATTTCTGGCAGTTGTAGAGCTACACCAGTCTATTGGTACGGGGAAACTAACTCAGATATAGAACCCTTAGTAATTAAGCCGTCATCAAACTATAGTGGAGTATGAAGCCTTGATAGCTCGCTCCATGATCGGAATATTCTGGGTTTGAACCCCAGCCTTGACCTACCTTTAAAAAATTGGTAGCAACTGTTTTTTCCCAAGCACTAAGCACTTTGAAGTAAAAATTGCAGGCCCTTCAGATGAAGCATTAAAAACCAAGCCCCCATCTAATGGTAGGTGCTGGCATGATAAAGATCCCTCACTGATCAATGACCTTGAATGCCAAGTAAAGGTCAAAATTTTAAGCTCTTAACCAGTATATGCTGACGTTTCTGTATGAGCGAAAAATTTTTCAAATTGGATGTAAAACAACAAACAAAAAAACTTTAGTGAAAGGTCATTTTCCTGTCCTCTGTACTTTAAAAAAAAGTATATATTGGACAGTGACAGGAAATTTAGCCAAAATGCAGTTGGCTTGAAAACCAGTACAGATGTAAATTTTGATGTGTTGGGAAGTAAGTGAGGAAATCTTAAAGGACTTGTCTTTTTTCTTGACCCTTGAAATAAAACAAAATCAACCCAGTTGTTTGGCACCCTGTGTGAAATAAACTTTTTTTACCTGCTTTTATACACTGAATGGATAATTAACCAATGGGTACAGTGCACCAATAATAAAAAAAAAAAAAAAACTTACACTGCCACTTACTCACTGCTTATGTTTTTTTTTACTGGCATGGCATTTTTTGCTGTTTTCACCACAGGTTTGCCAAGTGTGAGAATTCCCCTAAGTTCTTACTCTGTCAATTTTGGTGACAGTGTTACGATTCCTTGTACCATAACTGCCAACCCAAGCGTGACTGGTGTGTCGTGGGAGCTTGTCTCTCAGACTGGAACCCCCACCTCCATATCCCTGGCAGCTCCTAAATACTCGGGAGGAACTGTCTCTACCCCTGGCCTCACTATAGCAAACACCGAAACCACTGATCAGGGATTCTATCGTTGCTTGGCGACTAATTCTATTGGCACAAGCACCAGTGATTCTACCTTTTTAACAGTGGTTGGAAGTGAGTGTACATTAGAGGCTAGCGTAGATTTTGAAAAAAAAACACATTCCAAATCTCAAGTATTCTCCTATTGCTTATAGACTTCTTACCTTTCTTAGTTTTAGCTGCATTTTGCTTCCAGTATGCTTTTCTTGTTATTATTCAAGTAATTTATGTTGAATTAGAAATTGCTTTATAATGAAACTGGTCTCTCTCTTTGATACATAAAATGGAATGAATGTAGATTTTATAGCCACGTGTTATAGATTGTTTTCTTAACTGCTGAAGTTTAAGGGAAATAGCTATTCAAAGTGAAAATAAGATTAACCAAAAACAACATAAAACAGAACTTTTGAATATGTTTATTCATGGTACTTTAATTTTTGCTTGTCAGATGTTCCCAGTGTTTCCGTGGCCCAGCTGAGTTACAGTGTGGTGATGAATGGCGATGTCACCATGACATGTTCTGTGTCAGCCAATCCCGCGGCCACGATTAGGTGGATCTTCACAGCGAACTCTGGTGGCACAACGACAATCTCCTCGTCAACATCTAAATACACCTTCTCCTCCTCCACAAGTTCCTCGTCGCTGACGGTCAGGACGGCGAACAGTAATGACCAGGGAAGTTACGCTTGCTCCGCGACCAACTCAGTGGGAACTAGACAAGCCACGGCGACACTGACTGTCACAGGAAGTAAGGAAGTAGTTTGTAATGAGATTAAGATGATGTATTTTGATTTTTTTATTATGGAAATGGTTAAAGAGCAAGAACCACTCAGGGCCTTTTTAAGTAAATGGGAAAGAGGGTGATATTCAATTAATTAATATAAGAACAGGGCCATTTTATGCCTAAAGGGAACCTAGCTCTTTAGCCCCATTATTGGATTAGTAAATAAGTAATAAACTTGTGAAAGATGTTTGTAATTTATCACACATAAAACAATAATTCTCCTTATTTTAAAATGATTTTAACTCATCTGGATTCTTGCATAGCTTGCTCTTTGAATTTAATTAATTGATTTTGATTCAAATGTTTTCTGGTATTTATAAAACAAGTAAACTATGGAAATCTTGTCGGGCAAAATCCTTGTAAATTTTACAGTGTCAAAAATACTAGTAAATTGACAAAATGATTACATTATTTGACATGGAAATTTATTTGTTGTTAATTAAGACCATATTAAGCTGTATTGCTAAATAATGTTAAAAAAAATCTCTTTCTCAAGAGTGGCCTAGAAATAATTTTGTAAAGCTTTATTTGAATGTTTCATGTTTTTAAATATAAATTCCGTGTATACTTAAAGAAATTAAATGTTTAATTTAATAAATTATCAATGGCATAATATTTCTTTCGGCATATAATCGATATTTTCTTTGAAAATTAGGACGTTACTAGATCACCGTAGAAAAATATCAAAAGTGGGAAATTCCAAATTATTGTCACATTTTGGTAGATTAGGATCGCCGGCTATTAGTTTGTAAGTTTGATATTCTAGTTCAAAACACGACGAATAAACGGATATTACGCAGAATGTCAAATTTGCGAACTATGCATAACTCAGTCGCTATATTTTATTTTGGCAAAGGCAAAAAGGTTTAACATGTGGTCATACAAGGGTTCCCTTTTATTAATAGCAAATATGGAAACCTTAAAAAAACTTTATATGAAAACACAAAGTCAGTGAAAATTTTTAAAAGTCTGTACTATTTAAGAATCTTTCTTAATAGCTTGTTTGAAAATTAATTGATTTTGATTCAAAGTGTCTTTGAGAGGGTGATAAATTAGACGATTAATGCATGATATGGGTACTGGTAGTTATAGGTATAAGTTATTTTGGTAGTTAGGTTTCACCGTTTGCACTTCATTTTCTGAAACAAATCCATTGATACAATATTCTATGGAAACCTTAACTTTCTGTTAAAGTCAATAAAATTATTTTTATCTGATTGTAGATTACCCCTCTGTAAACATGCAGTCCACTTACTCCGTTATAACGGGAAGTAGTATCAATATGATATGCTCCGTGTCAGCCAATCCTGTCGTCACTTCTATAACATGGCAGTTCCAGGCCGCCAGCAGTAATTCTTTTGTTTCCATCTCGTCTTCGTCTAAATATGGCATCAGCGGTACCTCGGGATCTTCCTCCACTCTGACCGTGAATACAGCAGCCAGTTCTGATCAGGGTCTGTACCGATGTCTGGCCACCAACCAAGTGGGAACCAGGTCTGCCAATACAACACTCACTGTGTCAGGAAGTAAGTCGGTTGCTGAAGCTTCAGATTTAATCATTTGCTTTTGTTTGGTCTAAACTGCCTAACTTCTGCAGTTTTTCTTCACATTTTTTGAATCTGACATGGTTTAACCTGGTGGAATTTGGTTGAATTTAAGCATGCTTTTCAATTAGTGAACTATTTTTTGCAGTGTGTTTTAGGGGGATTGCAATTAAAAGCTTTTCCTGTGCTTTGTATAGTTTTGATAACATAATTTTGTAGTTGACTTAATTTTTTTAAGTAAGAAGTGTTCCTTCAAAAATGTCCTGAAAAATTTAAAATTACATTTGACATTGGCAGCAGTCCCCCTTTGCATCACTTTAATCAGTGTTAATTGGCAATTGATTTTCTTGCACATTGTTAAAAAAAATGAAATAGATCATTTGACTTAATAGTTGTTGTTTGACACATTTTGTTGTTAGATTTTCCTTAAAAAATTCTTTTCCTTCACATTTTTCCTGTTATGCATGCTAGTAGCAACCAAGACTGTAGTCTTTCCATTGACTCCCATGGTTTGAGAGATCATTCTCTCCCATGACACAGTTGATGTAAAAGGCCCGCATCTCCCCTTGACCATCACTGGACACCATTTTGTTTTCTCTAGGTTTGCCCTCGGTAAATATTCCCCTAAATTCATATAGTGCGGTAACTGGGCAGGACATGACAATTCCCTGCTCGGTATCTGCTAGCCCCACAGCATCGATTACCTGGACCTTTATCTCCACCTCTCAGTCCCAGACACAAATCAGTGTCTCCACCACTAAGTACACATTCAACCCCTCCTCCACTGACGGCACCTTGATCGTTAGATCCACCACCAGCAGCGACTCGGGCACATACCGTTGCCAGGCAACCAATAGTGTTGGGACAACATCAGATGTAGCAACCCTCTCTGTTACTGGAAGTGAGTTTAAGTAATAGTTTATAACTACAGTTTTTAAGAAGAAAATAAAATATAAGTGCCATAAAGGAACACAAAATACAGCTTAATCTGACTACTGGTGAAAAAAATAAACTTTCTGTTCTTTAAGTTCCATATGCATTTATGAAAATCACACCTGATTAACTCAGCATTTGAGGTTACATACAAGTTTTAATAATCCTTTAAGGTGCACCATCAGTCAGTTTTGGATCCCAGTCCTACACAGTGATCACAGGAAACAATGTCCAGCTGTCCTGTTTTGTGAGTGCCACTCCAGCAGCTACTGGTATCACCTGGACATTCCAGTCCACTGGGGGTGGTTCCCTCACCATCACCCCCTCTACCTCAGGGTACAGCATTGTCACCGCCTCCTCCCAGACACAATCCACACTGACAGTTCTGTCGGCCGAGAACAATGATGCGGGGACATACACCTGTACAGCCACCAACACAGTGGGGACCAGATCAGCAAGTGTTTCTCTCTCAGTGTCTGGAAGTAAGTTTTTTTTTCTGACCCATTTTAAGTCGTCTTATTTTACTCAAGGAATAGATGTACCTTTCCATGGCCAACATTAATTGAGACTTCCTCCAAAAATTAAAAATTTGAAATACTTTTAAAGAGAATTTAATTCAGCTAGGAAGTTACTTTGAAATGGACTGTCAAGAGCACATTAAGTTTTAAGCTGTTTGATTAATGTTCACATTTTAAAACAAGGAATTAAATGAATTAAGTATGAATTTTTGTCACAAACAGGTCTGCCAGTGGTGAATATTCCTCAGAATTCTTACTCTGCTATAACTGGCCAGGATGTCACTATTTCATGCTCTGTATCAGCCAACCCGGCTGCAACAATTACTTGGACCTTTATCTCAACTTCCCAAATTCAGACACAAATTACCACCTCTACATCCAAGTACACATTCAACCCCTCCTCTACAAATGGTAACCTGATTGTGAGGTCCACCACCACCAGTGACTCCGGCACGTACCGCTGTGGAGCGACCAATGCTGTTGGAACGGTGTCAGATGTTGCGACGCTTTCTGTTACTGGAAGTGAGTGATATAATTATGAGAATTGCTCATCATTATAAGTGACCAAAAAAACTCAGCATTTATGTACCATTAGACAAAATAGAAGACTCAGCTCCATTCAAAAACAAGAGTGATGATGCATTAGTTGTTTTCAATGGCTTTCAAACATTTCTCTCACATTATGCCATAGTCATAAATGAAAGTAGCATAGGAAAAAATTGAAAATTGAAAAAATATAAAAGTCTTGTTTAACAGCAAGGGAAAAGTTTAGTTGCTACCTGTACTGCATTGCACAGCATTGCACTCACCATTTTTCTTTTTGCTTGTACACAAAATGGAATTTATTACTGTTTTCAATAAAAAAACAATTACTAAGATAATCTTTCTGTTGTATCTTGTTTTAAACAGCATTTTGGTTAATCATGAAATGTATAGATATTCAATGAGCTCCCAATATTTTTCATTTTACAAGTATATTGGTTTAATGCAAATGTTAATTTACATAAATTTTAAACTTGAAAGCAATTTAATTTCAGGAACCAATTTTTTTCTTTTTCTTGAAAAAATACAAAAAAATCATATAAACTGGATTGAGAAAATGACTGTTAACATTAACTGCAAAAGGTACATTAAGTGTCATGTTGTAGAATTTTCTCCTTGAGTGTAGAATATATTTTTAACAGTGAATTATTTTTGTCATTACCAGGTCTACCAGTGGTGACAATTCCTCAGAATTCTTACTCTGCAGTAACTGGACAGGATGCCACAATTCCTTGCTCTGTATCAGCCAACCCTGCAGCAACAATAACCTGGACCTTTATCTCGACATCTCAGTCACAGACACAGATTACCACCTCTACATCCAAGTACACATTCAACCCGTCCTCTACAAATGGTAACCTGATTGTGAGATCTACCACTAGCAGTGACATTGGCACGTACCGTTGCCAAGCAACCAATGCTGTTGGAACGTCTTCGGATGTGGCTACTCTTTCTGTTACTGGAAGTGAGTATAAAAAATAACCATTTTACATTGCTTTTACTAAGGATAATAAATGGGGGTAAAACAAACTTTATTGGTTTGAGAGAAATCTGTCATGGAAAAATACAAGTCTTTGATTCACTTCCACAGGTGCACCATCAGTTAACTTTGGCTCCTCCTCCTACAGTGTAGTCACAGGAAACAATGTCCAGCTGTCCTGTTTTGTGAGTGCCACTCCAGCAGCTACTGGCATCACCTGGACATTCCAGTCAACAGGGGGTGGTTCCCTCACCATCACCCCCTCTACCTCAGGGTACAGCATTGTCACATCCTCCTCCCAGACACAATCCACACTCACAGTTCTGTCTGCCCAGAACAATGATGCGGGAACATACACCTGTACTGCCACCAATACAGTGGGGACCAGATCAGCAAGTGCTACTCTCTCCGTGTCTGGAAGTAAGTTATTCTAGAGAAAATCTTGAGTAAGTCTTTATCAGGATTGAATTTATGCCCTGGGCAGGTTCCATACTTAACTATTTGAACTAAAACTTTCAATAAGCAAGTTCACTTTATAACAAATATCCTGTACCAAAGCAGTTTTCATTCAAGTATCTTTCCTCAAATTTCTTTGCAAAGAGGCTTCAATGCTTGTTTTTCTATCATTTACAGGTCTGCCAGCAGTGAATATTCCCCAGAATTCTTACTCTGCTGTAACTGGACAGGATGTCACTATTCCTTGCTCTGTATCAGCTAACCCAACAGCTACCATATCCTGGACTTTTATCTCAACATCTCAATCTCAGACACAGATTACCACCTCTACATCTAAGTACACATTCAGCCCGTCCTCTACAAATGGTAACCTAATCGTGAGATCTACCACCACCAGTGACTCCGGCACCTACCGCTGTGGGGCCACCAATGCTGTTGGAACGACGTCAGATTCAGCCACACTCAGTGTTTCTGGCAGTAAGTTTCTTTTCAGCCCTGTAACAAAATTTTATAAATGTTCATTATTAAACTAAATGTTAAGGACAAAATATTATATTTACCGTAATTTCGGGATTATAGGTTGATGGGGTATATAGGTCAAAAGGCTCATTTTCAGCCTTAATTTTTGAAAAATCCTAAGATAGATTGAACTTACTATATAGGACGAGGATTTGTTTCCCAAAGAGAGATTCTACGCAGATACAATGTAAACAGGTAAACCCCTAAAATTACCGGGGTTATTCTGTGACATGAACGTATCAAGAAAATAAACAAGTATTTTAATGAGTACAGCATTTAAATAAAGTTTTTTAAAAAAAATGTTGTTAAAACTTCTTTGAATTGTGTTTTACTTATTTAAGTCAACTTGCCTTTCAATGCCTCCGTAGTTTCACACTGTTGTTAAATGAGGCATAAATAACATAAATATGTTATTATTTTACAGCTATAATTTTGAAAATATGAAATATAGAATACTGTATATCACTTTTTATTTTTACCTTATTTTCGCGTAATTAAATTGAGAATATTTTTAAATTTTAAGTCTCGCATATAATAGAAATCCTTAAGATTATATAGAGCAATGACCACGATTCGTGAAAATGTTGTCTCGCTAATAAAGAGTCAATGACTATCTCGCGAAAATAAGGTGTCGCGAAAATTAAGTGATCTACAGTAGTAATAACTTTGAGACATTCCTAATAAATTTTATTTAGACATTATTTACCGGTGGACGACAATTACTTCGATGTCCGCCATTTTTATTTTTTTTTCCAGGGATTTGCTAAAACATGCAAATGACCATTGAATGTATAAATCAAGCAACAGTAAAGAACTGAAATCATATTAAAACTTTATAAGTTTAATATATAAATTTAATTGAGAGTACATTACCAATTTGACTGTCAACATGAATTTCACGGCTTTGTTTGTTCAATGATGTGTAATATCAGGTGTAAATCCCTTTATCTGTCAGACAATTAAAATTCTGTTAGAAGCCAATCTTTGTATACCGTGTAAAAACACTACAGTTGTGATCGTGAAAATTTTCCGTATTTTAAATTTTGAAACGGTTGCGGTTTTACTTTTAGTACATGATCGCGACTTCCTAACTTCACAAGATGGATTCCGCATGATGTTAATGGATAATACGTTGAGGAATTATTGAATAGATGAAGCAATGTTGTTTTCCTTTGTCATCAACAGATAATCCCAATTTTACTGTCAACATGAATTTCACGGCTTTGTTTGTTCAATGATGTGTAACATATATATCAGGTGTAAATCCCTTTATCTGTCAGACAATTAAAATTCTGTTAGAAGCCAATCTTTGTATACCGTGTAAAAATACTACAGTTGTGATCGTGAAAATTTTCCGTATTTTAAATTTTGAAACGGTTGCGGTTTTTGTTTAGTACACGATCGCGACTTCTAACTTCACAAGATGGATACCTGCATGATGTTCATGGATAATACGTTGAGGAATTATTTAATAGATGAAGCAATGTTGTTTTCCTTTGTCATCAACAGATAATTAATGGAATTCATTTTGTAAGAAAGCTATAGAATATATATCTTATTGTTTACCGGGGCATTAATTTTTTTGCGAAAAATAATCAAAAAAGTTACGAAAGTGGCACAAATTTGCTTTGAAATTGACATAAATTTTACTGATTTGGGGGCATTTCGGATGTGGCTACACTTTTGTAACTTGGAATAGTCGAAAAAATATTTTACATTGCCAGTGGTAATTGAGAAAAAACAAACTATATTTAAATTACGGTACATTGAGAGATTTTAATTTGATCTATAAATATGAAAAAAGGTGTTGCAGTGGATGTGGTCCTTTTCTTTTCAATGAGAGAACTTGCCTTAAGAAAAGTGACATTATCTTAACGTGTGGTATTTTGATTTTGTAGGTGTAGTCACAGGAAACAATCCAGCTGTCCTGTTTTACACTGCCATCATAGGATCAAACCAGCAGATTGTGTGTTTCGTTAACGCCAATCCCACGGCCAGTTCCATTGGGTGGACGTTCCGTTCCTCCACCTCGGGATCCACGATTACTATCACCTCCTCCACGCCCGGTTACTCCATAGCGACAGCGTCAACATCGCAATCCACACTGACACTGTACAGGGGGTGGACAATGATGCGGGGACATACACCTGTACAGCCACCAACACAGTGGGACAGGGCAGCAAGTGCACTCTCTGGAGTAACTGGAAGTAAGTTATTTCCAGAAAATCTTGAGTAAGTCTTTATCAATGAATGCTAATGATCAGCATGGCAGGTAACCATTGTAACATTTGAATAAAAACTTTCAATAACCAAGTTCACTTTACAACAAATATCCTGTATCAAAGCAGTTTTCATTCAAGTATCTTTCCTCAAATTTCTTTGCAGAGAGGCTTCAGTGCTTGTTTTTCTATCATTTACAGGTCTGCCAGCAGTGAATATTCCCCAGAATTCTTACTCTGCTGTAACCGGGCAGGATGTCACAATTCCATGCTCTGTATCAGCTAACCCTGCTGCAACAATAACCTGGACCTTTATCTCGACATCTCAGTCACAGACACAGATTACCACCTCTACATCTAAGTACACATTCAACCCGTCCTCTACAAATGGTAACCTGATTGTGAGGTCCACCACCACCAGTGACTCCGGCACGTACCGCTGTGGAGCGACCAATGCTGTTGGAACGACGTCGGATTCAGCCACACTAAGTGTTTCTGGCAGTGAGTAACATTTTTCTTATAACAAATTTTACAAAAATGCTCATTATTTTAAAAACAAAATGATAAAGAAACCATGAGAATAATATATTCACTATATTTGCATTTAGACCGAATGAATGTTAATTTGTTCTGTGGAAATAAAAAATATGACCTATAGATATAATCTATTTGAAGTTCATGTGTTTCTTTTTCTCAAAATTTATGAGATGTTGGAAATGAGAAAAGTGAGATTAAGTGGTATTTTTGATTTTGTGTAGGTCTCCCCACTGTAACAATTCCCCAGACCACCTACACTGCCATCATAGGATCAAACCAGCAGATAGTGTGTTTTGTGAACGCCAATCCCACGGCCAGTTCCATCGAGTGGACGTTCCGTTCCTCCACCTCGGGATCCACGATTACCATCACCTCCTCCACGCCCGGTTACTCCATAGCGACAGCGTCAACATCGCAATCCACGCTGACTGTACAGGGGGTGGACAATGGAGATGAGGGGACATACACCTGTAGAGCCACAAATCAAGTGGGACAGGGCGCAGATTCAGCATTCCTGGACGTAACTGGAAGTAAGTTTGGTATTTCCAGATATCACAGCTTTGCGTGGGGTCAAAATAATACTGACAATGAATGCTAACTGATCAGCATGACAAGTAACCATTGTAACACTATTGAGGCCTAAAGCTTAAAATCAACATGACAAGACAGTTATATTACCATTTTGTTGCATTTTCTTGAAAGAACATATCAATGCAATATTTTATAGAATATTTTGCATTTCTTAGTAGAATATTTTGCAAAATACTAGATTTGATTTTCTTAATTTTTTTTGGATTTTTTAAAGTTTCCTTTCTTTGGCAGTACATGTAATTTCAAAAGTTCAGAAATTTGGGCCTCAACTTTTTTAAATAAAAAAGCTTGTTGCATTTACTAACATTTTGCAGTGTATGTGCTTGTAAAGTTTTGGCTTTTAGCTAATGTTGTACAAGATAAGCCAGCACACAGAGTGATTACTTTTCAGACCTTCCCACTGTCAACATTCAACAAAACACGTACACTTCTGTCTCTGGCCAGGATGTAACTATCTCCTGTGTCGTGTCAGCCAATCCTAGCGCCACCATCTCGTGGACGTTTATCTCGACCAATAACGCCCAGGTACAGATTACCACCTCCACTGCTGACTATTCGGTGACCACGTCATCCACAGGCAGTACCCTGGTGGTGAGGACCACCAACAGTGGAGACTCAGGAACTTATCGGTGTACTGCCACCAACAGTATTGGAACCGCCTCAGATTCTGCCACACTGACTGTATCAGGAAGTAGGTTGATTTATTGTTGAAGTTTACATCCCTAATTTACCAATTATACAGTCCAAAAAAAGAGATTTTTCTTTATGGTAGGATTATCCACAAAGGTGTGATCTAACCATGAAAATGATTTACAGGTCTGCCTACAGTAAATATTCCCAACAATGTGTACACTGCCATACAAGGACAGGATGCCACCATTCCCTGCTCTGTCTCCGCCAATCCAGCCGCCACCTCATTCTCCTGGACCTTTATCTCCTCCACAAACTCCCAGACACAGATCACACAATCCACCACCAAATACACCCTGTCTTCCTCCTCCACTGACCGGACCCTCATTGTCCGCGGCACCACCAGTGCTGATGGTGGCACCTACAGGTGTAGTGCCACCAATGCTGAGGGAACGGCCTCAGATCAAGCTACCCTCTCTGTGACCGGAAGTTAGTGGGAATATTTCTAACATTTTTAACATCTGAATTTGTGAAAGAAAAATATATTATTTAACATGCGTATATATACTGTGTGCAATATTTAATGTCTAATGAATGCAAGTTTGATTCTTGACTGCATGCTCAGTTCAAGTCTTGTGTTTATTATCATCTGATGGAATAATATTCACTGTATAAATATTTCATTCCATTGCTGGAGTAATTGAATAATGCTGACATGTTATTGTTTATCAGGTAGACCAGTGGTAGACATTACTCAGACCTCTTACTCCGCTGTAACAGGAAGTAATGTGGTGATTCCGTGCACCGTCTCAGCCTCCCCGGCCGCCACTTCTGTCCAGTGGAAATTCACATCAGGAAGTGGGTCAGAGGTCACCATCAGTGCTTCCTCATCCAAATATACTTTGTCAAACTCCTTGAATTTCCCACAACTGACCATTCTCTCGGTCAGTTCGAGTGATTCTGGAACCTACCAGTGTAGTGCTACTAATGCAGTTGGCACAGGATCTGATACTACTTCCCTTTCTGTGACAGGAAGTAAGCCACTAAAATTTATTACAGACAGTACTACATTATTATAATTATAATAAATATCTTCTATATCAAAACTATTATATTAAACAGATTATTGTAATAACATAATATTGTAATATCAGATAATTACAGCTATAAGGATATTACATTACTTTAGACCCAATGTATTATAAATAATCTTTTTATGTTTTTTTTTTCAGGCAGACCAGTTGTTTCTATTACCAGCAGTACTTACAATGTCATAATAGGCAATGCTGTCACAATCCCCTGTACAATCAGTGCCACCCCCAGTGCAACATCGGTGTCCTGGTTCTTCACCTCAAATTCTAATAATAGAATACAAATCACAACCTCTAGTGTTAAGTACACTGTGTCTACCGGAGGTAGTTATTACAATCTGACCGTGAACTCGGCTGCCAGTTCTGACGCCGGAGTTTACGAGTGCAGGGCCACAAATGTCATAGACACAAGCACTGATTCTGCCCGCCTGGCGGTCTCAGGAAGTGAGTTGAATCACGACCAGAAACTCTTTTTCTATATATATACATATGTATACCTAAACACTGCGACACAGCAGTACTAATCATGTCTCCATCTCTTTCTTGGTTCCTTGAGGGACTTGTATATTCAGACTTCTTGCCTTCCACAAGTCCTTAAATCCGTACTTATCTCCCTTAGTTTTAGTTTACGAAAAGAACCGATATTATATGCATTGAAACATTCTTTGAATATTTTGTTCTTTTTTTATTGTTTTATTTAGAAAATTTCTTATGTTCAATTTGATGTTGTAGTATTGTATTTTTGTATTTTATTTATATATTCCTGTGCTTTTGCATTATAGCTCTGCTGCTTATTGCTTTATGGTGCTTGTTTTCTTGTTGTAATGTTTGACATCATGCTAGTAGTTTATATATTTCATTAATAATGCAGTGATGTCTATCTTTTGAATGGATAACATTTTAGCATAATATTGATTTAGCATTAACTATATTCATATATAATCTTTCAATTTTATTAATTTTTACTAATTGTCACATAACACTTAAAATATTTATTAGTTGTTCCTTTCAAAATAAGCTACTTATATTATAAATCATTCTTTTTATAAAGTAATGTATTAATGCAGTTCAAGAAATTAACAGAATTATTTTAGCAAATTTCTGATTTAAGGTTAATTACTGTATACAAGGAAATTTTCGCCCGTTTTATTTACGCCTTTTCGCCCTACCCTCGTTTGGGCGAAATTTAAACGGGACGAGTTCAAAGAATATAGTATAATTTCTTAAACAAAATTATGACTGGGCCAATTTTAAACAGGGCAAAATTGTTTGCAAGTGTGAAAGGGCGAAAATAAGACAGGATGAAAATAACCCTGTATACAGTATCAGTTTTGCTTCGGAATTTTACATCCTATTTTGAATTTTGTTTTTAATAGATTGATTTCAAATTCTTACTCTAGGTATACCTGTTGTTTCTCTGCCAACAACAACCTATCGAATCACCTATGGACAGAATGTCACACTACAGTGCTCAATATCTGCAACTCCAGCTATCACTTCCGTTCAATGGGAGAAGTTTGTAAATAGTGGCTACCAAAGCGTTTCCACACTGTCACCCAACAAGTATTATGGAGGCAACACTACAGTCTATGATCTGACGATTGTCAACCTTGTGTTCGGCGATGCAGGGTCCTACCGCTGCACCGCCACAAACCAGGTCGGGAGGGGTGTCAGTCCAAACACTGCCACTCTGCAGGTGTTAGGGGGTAAGTCAAATAGAAGTAGTCACCAAGTAGTAGGAACAAAGAATCTCTCTAACTTTTGAATACAGTTTTCTGACTTTTGGACATGACAGATATCTTGCCACTTTTAGTACTATTCTTGGAACTTTTAATTAATGATGCATATCACTTTGCTTACACAATTTCTTAAATTTATTCTGCTTTTCAATGAAAACATTTTTTCTTCAAAATACAACACTTACCGATTGAAAAAGAACTTTTTAAAGAAACATTTAACAATCAAGGGATGTAATTTTTTTAATAAAGATTTTCTGTTTGTGTAAATTTAATTGAATTAGCCATTTTTTTTCACTGGATGGTAAAATACTTAGAAGATGTTTTTCTTGTAGAAAGTTTACATGGGATTATTTTTTTTTTAATATGCAAGAGATATATGACTATTTTGGTAATATGTCATGCAAAGCATTAAGAAAATAATTATAGGTGCAATGGCATATCAATTTCACACAACTTTAAAGATCTTGTTACCTGGTATTTAATATTAGTTTCCCATTTCCTTTTCTTATCCAAAGTTAACCTCTTACTTTCATCCATTTTCTTCCATTAGACAAACCCTCTGTTTTTGTACAGCAAAGCAGCTACTCAGCTGTGATTGGAACAAATGTCTCCCTAGCATGCACTGTTTCCGTGACAACCAATGACCCTCCTGTACTAAATGTTTACTGGAAGAAGACCACCCCCAGTGGGTCTGGCACCATTGATGTGTCAGGATCCTCAAAATACTCGGGCAGCACCATCGAATCTCCCAACTTAATCATTTCAAACCTTGATGTTCATGACAATGGCAATTACAGTTGCCTAGCAACCAATGCTGCAGGCACTAGCGAAAGTGGTGTGGCCATTTTAACTGTCACTGGCAGTGAGTAAACATGCATCCTGTACCATATATGTCGCATGTTAAACACGTATCATATCCATATTGTACTGCTTATTAGCTACAGTGCATTTATTGTCAACATAGCATATATACCCACTGCACAAATTATATTTCATTTCCATTGATGGGTAGGGGGGAAGTCATTTTATGAAAAAAACATTAACACAATATGATCTTTATTCTTGTATATTAATTATATTTTAGAATATTTCAGACCTGCATGTTATATATATCCATGCCTTGTATCCTTGATAATCTCGTAACATTTCATCTTTTTCAGGTAAATATAGCTCATCTGATTCTATATCATAATACCAATTTCGATGTAGAAATGCATGTATTCCTGTTTATACCCCATGTGTACCAGTATCTTCCTTTCCATGCACATCATGTAACAAGCTCTATGATTGGTTCTGTATTGAAAAGAGAGGATTGCACTACCCCTGACTGAAATTGAAAATTGTTTGGGAATATGCTTGAATGTTCTTTATGCTTATATATTCATGGGTATTGCAAACTAAATTTATAGAGCATTCATAGAACTAGAAACAAACTTAGCATGATTATTACAATAGCTTGTAATAAGCATGCTAATTCTGGACAATGCTGTTAAATGGCCTTTTCCTATTTCTTTTATTTCCTAAATTTCCATTTTGGTCCTCTTTTGAAACAGAGGCTCCTATCATTTCCATTGAATCAACTAGATACACGGTTAGTTTGGGGCATAATGTGACCTTGACCTGCTCTGTGATTGCTGACCCCCCAGCTACTATTGTCTACTGGCAAAGGAGGAATCACCTGGGCTCCCAAAATATATTTAGCAATACTAATATAAATAGATACGGGGGTGTGACTCTGTCAGATCCGTCACTCATTATCAACAGTGTGGATTATGTGGACGAGGGGGCCTACAACTGTTATGCCAGAAACGCAGCTGGACTAAGCAATAGTCCAGTTGTTAATTTGTATGTTTCGGGAAGTGAGTACATTGTGGGTGGTACTTGGGGGTGCCTGGTCATTTAAGAAATTGTGTGAATCCTGCAAGTCTTTTGAGGGAAATGACATCTTTGTGCTGCAATTACTTAGTATTTGTTTTTTAGAACACAAGTGATCGATTTGGCTATAATGTTTTAATGTCAAGAAATAATTTTTCACATCACATTTTATATTTTGCTTTTTATTCTTTTGCACATTGTACTAACTCAAGCATACAAACAATTATTTTTAAAAGATATATTTTCACAGAAAAGAAATAAATCCAGCATTTTTGAATTTACAAACAATTATTAAAAATTATCTTATTTCAATTTTTTAAATCAAATGATAAAAGTAATTAGGGAAAATTTTGGGAGCCACACAGAGTTAAGGAATCCAATCCAATTTTCAGGTCAGCCCGCTCCCAACATTCCATTGGGATCTTACTCGGTTTTAATTGGGAATGACATACAGATCCCGTGCTCCGTGTCGGCAGATCCCCCTGTCACTTCTGTGGAGTGGACATTCCGACCCACCAGCGGGAATACCATAACTATCGCACAGTCCAACACCAAGTACACCCTGGCCAGTGGTACCTCTAATCCAAATCTAACCATCAATTCGGCTGCCTTGACGGATGCTGGCACTTACACCTGCAAGGCAACCAATATAGTTGGGCCGGGGGAAGACTCAGCCACTCTAACCATCACTGGAAGTAAGTCTGTGTGTGGTGATGGGCACTATTGGAAAATTTGGATGATTTCAAATGTTTGGCGGGGAAGGGGGAAATCACCTCAGAAATTTTTTTTGCACCCTGAATTCGAGCACTATATTTTCATATTTTCCTCTCTAACCAGTTCTTACTAATACATGTACTTTATTGTTAAAATGTAATCTGTAAATCTGTCAAAAGCATGCATATTAGCATAGTATTCTGAAAAATATGCCAATTCTGATCTCATTTAATTATTTCAGAATTTAGAAATTTCTTTAGCTTTTTTTTTCTCTGCATGCCAGATATTACATATGTATATTTACTAACAACCCTTTTTGTAGTTATTCCTAATGTAACAATACCAGACACATCTTTATCCATACAAAAACGTCAAAACATCACCATCACATGCGTAATCACAGAGGCTTTACCAAAAGAGACATCTGTATTATGGGAATTTAGAGCCAACCAAGGCGACTCAGGAACTATCATAAGCATTGCCTCTAATCCTACAAAATATCAAGGGGGCACGGTGGCAGTGCCGTCTCTCACGATTTTGTCGGTAGCAGCCTCCGACCAAGGTTATTACACATGTATCGCATCAAACGTATTCGGAGAGGGGCGCAGCGAACAGGCTTTTTTAGAAGCCACTGGCAGTGAGTACATGTGTTATGTGTATGTAGTCTGAGCGAACACATAATGAATACTGAAATACTGCTTAAGTTGTGAAGTGAATTTACCACATATAAAAATTGTAAATAACTACAATGTATAGGCTTACTAGTTTAAATATTGGTTTTGATTTATATAAACAAAAAGCCATGAAATGTTTAACACAAAATAATAATAAGCTTTTAGTATATCTCTATTTTAAACTTTTTACAAATATATAAAATTTTATTGCCTTAATAGAAATTCCTACAATAGTTTATAACTCTATGTGTGTTTATATTGTAGGTTAATTTAAACATCATTTAAAGCAGCATAAACATTTTCTCATTTTGCTTTGTCATTAATTAATCCTACCTATATTCACATACAACTCATTTAGTCAAGCTAAACTTTGAAAAAAAATCTAACATGCCATACCATGCTCTAATACCCTAAGTGTTCCTCATCTTACAGCGTGATGTATATGTGTTTTATCATCATTATAAATTTCGGTACTCTATGTTTGATCTATTTTATACTTAATATTATATGTTGTGTGTTACTGTTAATTGTACTATGTTTTCAAAAGATACTTACAAATTTTAAGTTTGCTGAAGTCTTGTTGATTATATCAACTTGAACACTGTAAAAAAGTAAGTTTTCTGAAATTTAAAGATATGAAGTGTTGTCAATATTTTGAATCCTTTAATTGATTACATTGTATTTTACAGCTTTAATCAGAGTTCAGTAAAACCTTAAGATGTGATACTGAATAAGAAAAAGAATTTATCAGCCATTCTGTGTGATTTGATTTTAAATGACTTCCTGTTCCTGTTTAGATGCTGCCACGGTAACCGTCAGTCCTTCCAGCCAATCAGTGCTACAGAAGAGCACAGCTGTCATCTCCTGCACGATCAGTAATGCAAACCCAGCCGTAACAGAGGTCACATGGGAGAAAGTTAGCTCAGGCGTAACCACTTCTATCACAGTGACGGGACGCTTCAACGGTTCCACTCCCTCTGTCCCTGACCTTACCATCAGTAACCTTGAGCCAGGGGATGCTGGGACGTACTACTGCTCGGCCAGGAACGCCATAGGAACCACCAGGAGTAACACAGGGAGCGTGCTTATAGTCACAGGGGGTCAGTGTCCAAACATTTCTTATTTAAATGCTTGGTGAATAGATGCTTTTTTTATGTCTCAAAATTTGCTGTCAGTTATAAAGGAAATATTTCACTTAAATCTTTGTAGCATTACAAAAATTATATATAAAGAAAGGATCGAATACAAACGGCTTTGTATACTTTGCATGCTCACTATTATGTAGTGTTAAATTATTTATTTTTACAGCTGTGCCAAGCAGTGTTCTGATAGCAGGATCATCAAACAGAAATGTCAATCTTGGAGGGGCCTTGACCTTGCAATGTTCAGGTCAAGGACAACCAAGCCCAACTTACACCTGGTTGTTCAGTAGTAGTACTACTACTAGTACAGTGGTTGGGACAGGAAATACCTATACAATTACTAATGCCCTGAGGACGAATGCTGGAACTTACATTTGTAGAGCAACTAATACACTGGGAACATTGGATAGTCCAGGGGTTACTGTCAATGTCCAGTGTAAGTTTTATTGAATCTTAATTGTTTGAAGGAACAAGGGAAAAAGGGATTTCCCATTCCTACATTATACTTGGACATTTCAAGTAGCTTTTGTTGGAACCAGAAATTTTACAATTTAGTAATGGAAGGGTTTTGAGAAAAAAAAATTACTACAAAAATGGAGATAATTTAAAAATTAATATCAATATTGAAGATATTAATCAAGAAGTATGTAATTTGCTCATTCCTTATTGCTTGTATTGTCCAGATGCTCCTGTCGATGCCCGAACTGAAGCACAGAAGATAGTGACTGCCACTGTGGACACCGCAGTCACCTTGAGCTGTAACGTGGACGCCAATCCTACTGCCTCTTTCCAGTGGTATCGTAACTCCCAGCTGGTGGGGTCCCAGCAAACGTACACCTTCACCTTCAGCGGAACTGACACCCAGGGGGTTTACACGTGTAGAGCCACCAACAGTGTAGGATCCCAGGACCTGCAGTTCACTGTGTCTCAGGGTATACTCACAAGTCCTTTATCCAGAACTCAGTACTCTCAATATAAAACGGTCTTGATATTTCAAAAGGCGTGTTCTATGATATTTTACTTATATAGATCTTTGTATGGTTTTTCAGGAAGGTTTACAAAAAATACTTGAAATCATTGATACATTCATCACCAATTTGTTGATCATACAGTGTATTTGTTGGTTTCCATTTTCTTTTGTTTCTTGGCAATAGAGAATCCCCACATCCCCCTTTGTATGCATAACAAAGGAAAAAAGTCAACTACTTTAGATGATCATAGTCATTGTTTTAATAGCCATAGCTACACCTCTAAAGCTTATAAGCATTGCTTCAACTAATACCAGAGTACTTGTGTGTGCTTCTCACTACATGAAGTTTGATTCAAATTGTTGAAGTTTGGAAGAGTGCTGGGCTTCATAATTTGCAAATATGCCACAGAATTAATGTTTGTTTTGGAAAAAAAATATATTTTTTAAATGAAGCTGTTCTTTCATTTTCAACACTTGGGAGACAAGTGATGTTAAATGTTGTGTGACCTTTGATTGGGTATGATTCTTATATTTTTAAATGTCTACTTTTACAGGTACTGGCAATGTTGGGGCCTCCACAGCCACTTCGGGGCTCTCCACAGGAGAAATTGCCGCCATCATCCTGGCCTTACTTCTCCTGCTTCTACTTATCATTATTATCATCATCTGCTGCCTGACACATGGTAAGTGACAGCTGTCAATCACATAAAGGCCACACCCCTTACTTCTTCTCTCATAATAAATGACAAAGCTATCAATCATGAAAGGCCACACTTTCTTCTGCCTCATTCTGGAACACTCAGAAATGTTCAGAATTTTATGGGTGAAAATCTTACTTCAGGTGTATGTGGGGCTATCTGTGGCAAGAAACAAGATGTCAAAGGTCGTGTGGAACCAACAGAGGAGAAGGAGGTGTATAAGGAAACACAGAAAGAGGTCATCATTCCACGATTCCACGAGGAGTCCATCAAAGGCAAAAGGTACTTAGTTGATTCTAGCCCCCTCCCTTATTTTGCACAAATCACTGCCAAACAAATTTGATTTAGGTGATATAATTGTTCATCAAAGTTAACACTTTCTGTACTTTAACCCTTATGTTCATATCAGACCATGACATTTCAATATATTCATATTTCTTTCCTAATGACCTTCATCTATTGATATGATTGGTCTGTTGATGTCATGTGACAATTCAGTTACAGGGAGCCAGCAAGGGCGGGTTCCTATCGGTCTTACCCTGCCCATGCTAACAAGTATCGGTAAGAGACCCCCAGCTTAAATGTTATCAAAGTGTGCATGTTATGTTTCCCCTGTTTCGAGTTACTCCATAACTTGATGGAACTTCTGCAGCAGTAACAAATAAAAATAATGCTTATATCTACAGACAATTTTAATGCATAAATTTTCTGTTCCCCCCTAAAAAAGGGAATGGCTTATGTTTTTGTTTGGCTTTCATAATCTGTATGCAAGAATGGAATTCTTAATAGTGTTTTGGAAAAGGAAATATTCTGGAGTGTGTGAGCTGTGATGAGTTTCTTAATTGTGTTGATATTTACCTCTGTGACATTGTAAGCAGTTTGATTGGGCATGATTCTGATAATAACCCTTTGTACAGATTGTACATCATGTGAACCAAAATATTTCCCTTCCATTAAATTTAATCCACTACTGAAATGAAATGTGTGTTTAATGAACTCTTTGTAAAGGGATATTTTTTCAAGGCAAATTGTAAAGACCAGGGCAAAAATTAAACAACATACAAAATGGTTTTTACATTATAATACCAGGTACATGTAGGATGTAAAGTACATGTACTATTAGTGTAGATTTTAATGTCTTGATTGAATAACCTGCTATTCTTGAATATGTTCAATATAATAATCTAATTTTGAAAGAATTATTTTTAAAATATCCAAAAATTAACTAAAATGACCTTTTACCTTATACATGTATATAATTTCTCTGTTGTAGACAACCCTCGGCTGTGTCTAGGAAAGATGTCGATGTCAGAGTACAGAACGGTGGATTCAGGTCAGTTTATACTCAGTGTCTCATCCTTTTTTCATATTGTCATAATATGTAATGTGTGCTGTCTGTAACTAAGTGGACTGTTTGTGTTTTACAGGAAGGAGAATGATTACGAGATTGTACGTTATGAGACCGTGCCTCCAGTTTCTACTCAGCTGATGTAAGTGTTTCCCATGAGACATATGAGACTTTATCTCACATTTAGATTACAGTGATTTAGGTGACTTTTGTAATCTCTATGTGTTTTATCGTGTTGTTTATAGGACTGAGTCCCCCCGCCCACACCGCCTGCCTGCTCTCTCCTACACCTACGAAGATGTGGAGAAGAAGCGCAAGAGGAGGAAGAAGAAGAAGCACCACCGCAGACGCCACCACGATCATGGAGAGGAAGTGGTAAGTTATCTCCCTTCTTTTGATTTAGTAATGTTGTTTTTTTACATGTAGAATGTTACCTATGAGGGAAGAAAAAAAATCTTTTACATTTATCACACAGCTTTAGATTGAATTAATGATTTTTGATGAAGTGATTTAATGTTAATTTTGTGTTTCGTTTTTTTTTCTCTAAAAAACTAATGGTTATTGATGTGTGACAGTTAAGCTTACTAAAAAGTGTACATGTTTTGGCACTAGTTATTGAGTTCATGTAGAGTTTAAATTTTTTTTTTATAAATGTTGCAAAGGGAAATCTCAATTCTGACCTGCACAGGGCACATTAGAATTAGAGTTTTTAAGATATATGCTTTTTACCATTAAAGAAGACTTAGATATAGTGGTTTTGGTTTTACGATAACAGGTGGTTGAGACATTACGGTCTGGTAGCCCAGTTCGTATTATAGAAGAACCTGTGGAAGAAGTGGTAATTATCCTAGATAAATATTGTAATGGCAGACCTGTTTACATCCATTGTAATTAAAATATACATGGCACTTAGTAAAAATAAAGAATGAGTCTTAAAGTCTATATTTTGAGTTGAAATTAAGTTTAACACAATAGGAACAGGTCTGCTAATGAAAAGTAGAGTTATTATCAAAATGTCCTCCCATATAAACACATGCATGTATAACCCTCTGTATAGCTACAAACTATGTATAACTGTGGGTTTATTTTTTTCAATTAAGTATCAAATTTTATACATGTATATCTCTGCAATGCTATCAGTACTTAACAAAATATCTCTGAAATTTCATAAAACTTAACAATTATATAAGCTGACTATCTATTCAAATTCAAGTTTTCTTATTCCTAGTAATCAAAAACATTCTTCAAGTATCATTAAGTGAATACATCAACTTTTAAGTTCTTAAAAAAGATAGAAAGGAAGTTTAGCACATTTATTGAGAGTTCTATAGCAGTGTACTGATTTTCAGGAGGTAGTGCGCTCGGCTAGCCCGACCCGATATGTAACTGAGCCCAGCAATGAAATGGTAATTACTGAGTATAGAGTGGGAATTAGATAGGGAGTTCCTATGGAAACTTCACTTAGATTCTACTTTGTCTATTACTATACACATCTTTCATAATTTTCAGAGTTTTAAAAGACTTTTTATACAAGTTCTTTATTTTTCAAGAAAAAAAAGTGCCAAAAGCAATTGTAAAAAAGACATGATTTGAAACACTTTCTGCATAGTTAAACAAAATTTTTTTTTAGTATAACATAATTATTAGACTGCAACACATTATTTCTTTTTTTCTGCTTGTTTTACTGAAGAATGGTCAATAACTTTACTTTCAGTCTCTATTGCTTATTTTTTTTTTTCTAGTTTTTAGCTCATTTTTTTCATCCATGGAAAATTTAATTATGTAGAATCTTATTAAAAGTCCATTTTTTAATTTGATGATTTATGTATTATTGATTTTAAAAAATCTTAACCTATGTGTTATAGTATTACACAATGTAAACATCCACTATTTTGTCCTGTGATCTTAGGTGGTTGAGCGTGTGATACGAAGTCGCAGTGCTAGTCCTACTCGAATAATTCGCACCGAGGCCGAGGAACCTACGGTATATCTCACTCTGTATATACCTCTATCTTCCTCCATTGTATAATCTCATCCCTCCCATTTAGTTAGTTCATTGGTGTTGGTCTTGTTTTCTTTTTCAGCCTCCTTCCATATTATTTCTGATGTAATGCTGATATTCTTTTTGAAATGTTGTTTTACTATTTAATTTACTTTCCTTATTCCTTTTTCAGTGCATGTAATTGTATTTTTAAGAGTAAAAGTATTTATGATTATAGCTTTCAAAGGTTTTAAGTAACCATAAATTATGGTCAATTATTGGACTGAGTATTTAATCAAATAGCTAGTATTTTACAAATTATACAAAATTTAATGAATTCAAAGTATATATGAATTTGAGGAAATCACAAAATTATTGAAAAAGTCTTATTTAAAAATCTTAGATTAACAGTAATTAAATGAAAAAATACATGAAAGAGAGAAATAGAAATGTAACATCTATTTTAATACCTGTAATATACAAACTACCAGGTTGTTGAGCGAGTGATCCGCAGCTCGAGTCCCAGTCGCCACGTCTACAGACAGGAAGTGGAGGAACCAGTGGTATAACCATTTGATATACCATCAAAGTAGTTGTCATAGCGATACCACTAACATCCTCCATAGACTCTTCCTTTTTATCATTTTCATTTTTTACAGGAAAAAAATAACTTTAAATTGTTGCATCTCTATGCAATTTTGACATTCATAGCCAAGCATAATTGTTCAAGAATTCACAGGTCAAGAAAGCAAGAAAAGACTACCATCTTAATTAACGTAATTTATCTTTCCAGCATCCCGTACCATAACAAAGCACTATTTTCACTTTCAGTTTCATGTTGACTTTTCACTGGTTTTGCAGGTTACACAGCTACTAATTGAAATATTAACAAATAGTCTTACTAATGGAATTTAGAAAAATCATTTATTAATAACTTTTAAGATTTGGAGCCAATTACAATATTCTGTATTCTTAATCTTGTTCATGTTTGATATATTGGAAAACATTCTAGTCACAAGTATGCAGTTAAATTATAATTATACATGTACCTTGTCATAAATAGGAGATCATCTTATTTCTGCAAGAGACTTGAAATGTTTTAATTGTACTTTTTTTTAATTAGAGAGGAAAAATTCGGTGTCACATGTCTAAATTTTTAAGCTTTTTATTGACACCCTTTTTAATGTTGTTTATAGGAATATTCACCTTCTCCAGGAAGGAGAGGTTACGGTTACTATGACAATGAAAGGGTAAACAAAAATCAGAGTGCTTGAATTGTTTAATTGCTTTTTATTAGTTGTTTGGGCTTTTAAAAATTTTATTAGCAGATTTTTTTTAAGTAACCTTAATATCTTTTATCATATTAAACCTTTAAAATGATATTTTTTTTACAAAATTAATACTGGTATACATATTTATGGAATACAAATTAAGTGGGGGTTGTGGTTTGATAAATTTTAAGCTAGAATCTCTGCTTACAATGAATTTTGAAAAGTAATGCATATTGTAGATGCATTTAATGGTATTAACATTTCTTTCTAATGAAAAAAAAATGAATCTTAACTGTGTCTCCTTGTATCCTAGTTATAACTGAAGTAGAAACGATCCTTATGTAATCTGTGTGGTGTGTGTGAGTAGATGTAAATAACATAAACCTTTAGGAATTTATTGGAATTCTACCTGTAAAACATATAGTTTGCTATAAAAGATTTTAAAATAAAATGATATTTGCAAGTTTAATCCTTTTTACTTTAAAGATAATGATTTTGGTGTCTTTTTTCATCCCAACAGATCATTGAGACGACACGAAGCTCCAGAAGTCCGCGACGACACCGGCACCAGGAGGAGGAAGACGTGGTAAGACGATTTTAACGACAGTTCAGTAATTAGATCTTTGGGGAAATTAATGAGAAAATATTTTACCTTGGACACTGAAAATATATAAAGAAAAATAAACCATTTCACCAGAAAAATTTTGATTTTATTGAATCTAATAATGTTTGCCTGTGGTCATTTACAGATAATTGAACGTCGCAGTCCAAGCACTAAACGGAGATACGAGGAGAATTACATAACGGATGACCGTGACATCATCCAGGAAGACGGAGATCTCCGCGCGTACAATGGAGTCGTGTATCGCGAGGCTCCCAGTCGCCATGGCAGCGGGCGTTACGCTGTACAGAGCAGCGAGAGGCGAAGTCGTAGCAGAGGTCGTCATGGGTCAGATGATGACGTAGAAGTGGTTTATGGGAAGGAATATGTTGTGGAACGTTAACTAGGTCTTAAATGAATTAATATTAGGATTTTAAAATTATTTTTATCAGAGATTTTATGTAGAATGGGTGGTTTCTGAGATGTATATGGATGAAATTTTTCTTATAATGATAGCTCTTTTAGAAACTTTTTTTCTTGTAGCAAAGAGAAAAAACTTGTGTTGATTCAATTTGAATAGCATTTTTTATCCTTTAAATACCATGCAAAACAAACCAAAGTGGAAAGATGAGTATTATTCTATGTATGACGTTGTATAATGTCCATGTAAGTATAATTAAGAGCAAAGAAAATTTTCAGAAGTGCTACAGTTAAACTATCCATGTGTCCATATAATGTTTCCAAAGTGCCTACACTGTTGTGTATTACATTCCAGAAAGTTTTCATATGAAATATAGATTCAGGGTTGTCCACAAGGTTTGAAATAGAAGGGGACATTTTAAAAGAAAAAGGTTGTCTTAAGTTCCTCCCCAAGTGGGAATAGGGGCAATGCCAGATTACCCTAGGGATTTTCCCAGCCCATTCATCTTACGGGCAACCTTTGCTTCTTTTGACTTGTTTTCGAGACAAATCACATTTTATGGCACAAAGCATGTAAAAATGCTCAGTTTACATGCCAGTAAAATTTTTATTTCCAACTGTCTGTTTACAATAATATTCCAGATTTTCTGAATGGTTTATCAGGGTATACACGGTATGTTTACCCATCGGATGTAATTTGAGTATTAATTTTTATCTCATGGTTTTTATAAATTTATTGCACTGTGATATTACCAGCATAATTTTTTTTATGAGGGATACTCGTGAAGTGGCATAATATATTTATACTTTTATCATGGATTTGTATGTGTATTGTTTGTTGGTATGTTTTTTCTGTATTTTAGAGCATTTTTATCTTATTTCTTTTTACCACATACTTGAGTTGTTTTGTTTTTTTTCTAAATGATTCCGTCCTTGATTTTCACACAATTTTTTTTTTTTAATTTATATCAAAAATTGATTTGACATAATAGTTCATTTTACTTTTGTAATATCAATATATAAATATTGTATATTTGTACAAGATCCTCAACACATCTGTAATTTTCTTGTCATTAGATGAATGTAGAGATATTTTTCACTAACATATTGTACAATCAAAATCTCCATCATTATTCTATCAAATGTGATAACATAACAGGCAAACAGCTATTTTTTGTTCCAGCAAGATTTTTTTCAGCTATTTATTTAATAAACTGTATTTATGATTGTTGTATATAACTTTGAATAATTTATGTATTGTATAATCTCCCTCCTTGTATATACAGTAACATGACAATGAAAACTGTGATATTTTTGTATTAGCATGATTGGGAGGTGCTACTTTGCTACGATGTGATTGGTCAGAATTTACAGATACTTTGCAATTATTGGTCAGAATTTACAGATACTTTGTAATGATAGGACCACAACTGATTTAAACATTTTATATCATAGGAATGGTGATTTGAATTTGGTTGAAGTAATTTTTGGGAGAAAATAAAATATTTAATGATTATAATGTGTCTTCACACAGATGTTTCAAGCTGCTAACTTCACTGGGTTGTATAGACTCTGTATTTAGTACTTAATTCATACTGTGAATTTTTTTATCATTTTAATGCAGATCAGTTCTTTAAAAATTGTCAAATTTATTTTACATATGTAAGTCATAATATTTAGAAGTGTTTCTTTAAATTTCCCAAGCATAATTAGAGATTAAAAAACCAATAGAAATAAAGATAAATGTAGAAGTATTTCTTGGTGTTTTATCATTTCTAAATATTTTCTTTGGCTATACAGACATTTATGGATTTGTTTTGTTTTTTTTTTAAAGTAACTTTAGCTGAAAGGATAATTCTTTGTTTGAAAAGTCCACCACTGAAGTCTGTAAACTAGGTCGTCCAAGAAATTTAGGATTCTGATGGGTACTGATGGTGCTCCTCTGTTAGTTGATCTATTTTATTCCTATGGAGCAATTTATTAAAAAAAAAAAAAGAAAGAAAGATGAAAACACTTGCTGTGGTCTCCAACAACATTTAGGTTTATCAAGGATGTAATATCAATTACAATTGTTACCTACATCCATATGTCAATTGGATATATCCCAGTTAACTTGAAATAAAAGACTCCACAGTCTTTCATAATTGATACATCTTTGGATTTTTGCTGACTGTAGAGGAAGAGAGTCATAAAAGGCAGATTGTCCTCCACATTTTGTTACATTGGTCAAATACAGGTAATGTGTGTATATAAAAATAGAATTGGTACTGAAAGAAGTTGGAAAATGTTTGTGACTGATCAACAGGGGATGCTTACTCCTCCTAGGCACCTGGCCTGGGGGCCATAAAACTTCACACGTTTGTAGTTTATATCACTTTTGATCTCAGTCTCACTTTTCCACTATATATTCCTTTAGTAAAAGTGAGACTGAGATCAAAAGTGAGCTCGTCTAAGTTTTATGGCCCCCAGGCCTGATCCCACCTCTGGAATTCCCAGGGGGTCCCTGTTTTATTTTTATAGAGTTTCTGAGATCGATCACCGTCATTATCTTCAGCTTTTACATTTTACAGTGAGATCACATGAGGACATAGTTTTATGAGGAGGATAAAAAGCAAAATATGTAATGGAAAGAAATTATCTATGCAGTACCATACACCTACGTGTATTAAAGTGTTAAACCTGCAAGTTCCCATTATTCTCGTAAGGTTTGAATTCAAGATTTTATACAGGATAATAAAACTCGGAGTAGTGATTCCAGCATAATAAAAGGATAAGCAGATGTACTTTTCATCGACCCCTTTCATATAAGCACTGCATGCATGTCATTTGCAAAAAAAAAATTTAAATGTGCATTACGGACCAGACATGGAAGCTCACGTAGATTTTTGTGTTTTATTTGTTCGTTTTTTTTTTCGTCCTACGACAATTTTTTACATCAACGACGATTTTGATAACTTTATGTATAATTTATCGATAATCTCAGGTTTGTTTGCAAAACTCCACACTGCAATGATTCTTAAAGACATGTAAATCTGGACCTTTTTATTAAGAAATTTACGTTCACCCCCCCCCCCCCAACCAACCAACCACCCACCCCTCCCCACTATTAATTCTAAGAGTTTATAATGGCGGTCTGGTATGCATTATTGTTATTTTTTTATTTTGACGATTTCTTATAATCTAGGTAGTTATGGGGAATGTGGAGCGCGGGGAGGGGGGGGGGGTGTCAGGAACACTAGGCCACCTTCGATACCGACATTATAATCATGAATTCCGTCCTTGCATCAAATAGGTTGAGAGACGATTTCTCCAAAAAATTGAATTGAGGATCAATAGTTCTTTACATTATAATCAAACTTCTCAATTATATCCCTTTCTAATTCATACAATACTGACATTTTATCTGCGTGAATAAAACTTTTGATCGAATAATAAGTGATACGATGTCTACAGTTTAAAAAAAAAAACGAAGAGTTAAACTCGCTTTGCAGGAGGGGTTACGTGAATTTAATTCAGTTATTGTAAATTCCAGTATGCAAAATCATATCTGAATTGTCTATTGTCCAAGACAATTGGTTGTGTATTGAGAGATGACCAGCGCGCTGGCCCGTGGACGACTTCTGATCCGATTAAAACTTAATCCCTGGCGATCAGTGACATTAAATATAAACGACACACTTCATCTGCCATTAATAAAACTCGAACAAAAACATTTCATTGATTTTGAACCATTCAGTTTCATATTTATTCTACAAATACACACACACTGGTATTATACTAACGTATATATGGAAACAGCTAGGTATAGCTAATGTATGCATTCGTTCATTAGGAGAAGGACAACCACACTTAAACAATACTAGGTCGTTCTAAACGACAATATAGTAGGAACAAAACTGGTGTGAACACCTGAAGATTTTAATTGTGACACGGAGCAGGTGAGAATGGCTTAATTTATCCAGCTTCCTGGGCATAAACTGATCGAAAGAGACAGGATATCGGTAATGGAGTGAACTGATTTTCTGACTATCACCATTATGTAAGTTCTCCATTCATGCAAGTCTACCCATCTTTCAATTATAATTTATTCTCGGGTGTATGGAAACTGAAGACGACGGAAAATGGGCCGTTATGTTATGGTGCTGTGGATGTTTTTATCCCTTTACATGACTGGGGTAAGGATGAGTGAAATATTTGATGCATTTTATTTTATTTACAGAGTTAAGCCAAGTGCCAGGCATTTTTATAATACTTTAAAAAGAATATTCTCAGCGTATATCAATAGGTGCCATCAGTGGTGCTCAAACATTAAAATTAAAGTGCTGACAAGAAACAAAAGGAGTATACCCGTGGTATATAATACACATTTAATAGATTATCAATGGTGTAGTTCAATCACACATTGAACTGTACCAAAATCAAAGGAAGTTGACTTGTAGGAAAAGGTAGGACCGAGTACATGGATTGGTCGTTTTTACTGGTCTACTACATGTACTAGTATTAACAGTAAAATATCCACCACCACCCCTGTCTCCTTCTTTAGACACTTAAGACCCCCACCCACCACCCCCACCTAAGTGAGCCTCTGAATGATTAAAAAAGTAGGTGTTTCTAATATTTACAAAAGCCATTGAATACTGTTAGTAATAATGACTTGTAAACTAAGAATCGCCAGTGATTTTTAATTTACTGCATTATTTATTGAATAAACTGAACAATTTTTCCATTGAAGCACAACCGCTTGACGTTTTTAATCTTTCTTTTCATAAATAAAAATACCCCCTGTACTTTATATTTTTATTAATGAAAAGAAATGTTAAAAACGTCAAGCGCCTCTGCATCGAAGCTATATTTTAACTGTATATAATTCCCGCTTTTGAAATCAGCGTACCTTACACATGTTTTCTTATTTTCCAGGGAGGGAGTGAAACTCTTGAATTACAGTGCGATTCGTTAACTGGTAAATGTATTCATAAGTACAGAATACACTTGATTCGTCTAAATTTTACATCAATATCAATGCCATATTAGTCCGTAACGGATATATTGTACTGATTATATATATTTATTTTAATCCTCTTAGGATGGTACAAGATTCTGGGAAAATGCGTTCTTAAAGTCCCTCACAAACAGTCGTGGAGGGAAGCATACAAATATTGTAAACGGTAAGTTATGTATTAAGCAAAAACTTTATACATGATATAACATTATTGTTATCTAATCCGTGATTGCAGTTTCATGAACATGCCTTCTTTCTCCATAATTAAGAACAGATGCATATTATGGTCAAATAAATACATGGATATGTTGAATTTTCTAAGATCGTTATTTAAGGCTGCGGAGGGGGGGAGGGGGTTGCTACCAAAAATCTTTATGAATCTTTATGAATAAGGGATTCTTCAAATTAATATAAAAGCATCCTGATAAAGGAGCACAATTAGTGCTCATCGGTATTCCAACATTTTTTTTTTTTGAAGACCCTGTTTCCAAAGATTGCATATCATTAACTATCCCCACTCTAATAATCATGTATTGTGACTTGATAAAAAATTTGCAAAAACTCGTTTTTGATTATTCTAAGAAATATCGTTCCATAAAATGCACTGAGCACAAGACTATATTATTAAACACAATTCATTGTAAACAACACAGGAAGTGGAGCTTCTGCGGTTTTACCGTCTGGACATATTTCAGAAATATTGAATTTTACTCCCTACATGCCCTATGTAGGAAGATATAAGGTGGTGTACAAGTAAAGGGGTACACCTTTCTATGCCTTTGCAATTAATTAAGGAAAACTGTACACTTTATGTCTGATGTAGACAGATTTAGCGCCCAGTGTTGAATTGACAGTGGCGCGGATCCACAGGTTCGTAGCGGGGGGTGGGGTTGGAAGGATATAATAAAACTACAGCATCCCATTAGGGGGTTCGGGGCCTCCAGGAGAATTTTTTGTAAGAAAGGGATATGGTTTCAAATATATAGTTTAATATTTAGTTAATTCCTCATAAAAGTTAAACCAAAATGTATAGATCTTTTGGCCAATACAAATTTATGTATTTATGCAGGTTTGTATAATATTACTTTCTTCTACACGTTTATTTGGTTTCCATTTTCCACAGAAGTTAAGTAAATCTGATTTTGAAAATATTGAGTTACACCAGCCAAATATCAATAAAAAAAATAGTTTATGAATTCGTGTAGTTTCGTGTTACTTTATACAGTAAAAAATAATAATACCAGAAAAAGTGCCAGCATTTTCTTCAAAGTAACACCAAACATTGTTGTAACCATGGTAACTGTGTATAGTTTTAGTTGACCCTATGTCATCTCTACCCCTCCTGCACGTGTATTGTGTGCGTTCAAGCGGAAAGAGATTTCCTGTTGGGTTTCGGTTCGGTTGTATATATATATTTCACACCTTTTGATAACACTGATCGATGGAGTCAGTCTTATTTAAAAAAAAATCGGGAAGGAGGGGCTCCAATGACCATCCACTACTGGTTGATGCGAACTCTATCTTCGGTATTCAAGGGTTTCTGATAGAGTTTATGAGGAGAGTGGTGCACCAGAAACCCTTGGCCAGTGTTAGGTAGCGAAGATGACCTCTATCAGTAGCTGATCAGTATCAGTACAGCTGACCTTCATATCATGCAAAGCGCGCCAACTCTGAGCGCCCCCTTTAACGATGACAAAACTTAAAGAGAGAGGAAAGGATCATAGATCTGGGCATCTGGCACTTAATCAATCATTTTCTTTATAAGTTTATGGTATTTTTTTTAATTTACTGTACGTAGGTATGGTGGAAGACTTGCAGAGCCAAAGGGGGTGGAGGTTGGTTCACTCTACGGGGAGATTGCCAGTCGAGGAAAGAAAATGCAAGACTACTGGATAGGTAACTATTAGGGTATCACTGAGGAATGGGGTCTTTATCCCGTCAACAGATGGTCAAGATGAGTGCCTAGGGGGTCTGGAGTCTAGGGAAATAGGCATTGGAGAATATCATTCGAAATCATACATAGTTGTAATTTTACTAATTTCGCATCAGTATGTTTTTGTGTGGACATTTTATTCTGAAATGGGGGGGGGGGGGGTAGTTATGGTAACATATATAATGCTCTTTTGTGCAAATGACATAATTGAAAAAAAATATTTCCAAATTCACATCATTAGTTATGTCCACATTGCAGAAATCACTGGGATCAGTGATAAATAAATTCAGGGTATCAGGATGTGCACCTTGAATTATGTATAGTAAACTTGTCAACTGAATCCAATCATACTGTGATACATGGTTATTGATTCCTTAGGTTACAACAGAAATGGATACTCTGGCAGTAGAGACACAGTAGGATTTTGGAGTGATGGGAGGGGTGCATTGTTTGAGGCTGGGGTATGGGGGGATTTCCAACCTGAGTGGGAGAGAGGGAGCTGTGTATTGGTGGATACAGAGGGGAAGTGGAAAGCCGAGTCATGTGACATGTTACAGTCATCAATGTGTGAACGCCAAGCATGTCCTAAAGGTCAGAGGTTGAAGTATAAAGAGCCAGTAAATAATAATTTGATAGGGTACTTTAACATATAGTTAGTAGTAAAGACACTGATTCTGCACGGTGTGATACGGGTGACGTCACAATACCCCATATCACGAACCGATCTGAAAATCCATATCAAACCGGAAGTAACGTTTTTATAAAGTTTAAAAGTTAATTTATTTTATTTCATTTAAATATTCATGTAGAATAATTTTTAATGACTTTTGTGGTCTTAATTTTTTTTTTCAATTTCCTAAAGTTGGTTCTATTAGATTTTCAACAAAAAGGTCATAAATAGGGACGAAACATTCTTAAATGACCATATGTTTACTCGCATATTAAGTATTTTAAATATATGATAAATAGAATACTGCATACTAAAATCCATATCATATGTCACATCAGCCATCGGGCCCAATATATCAGGCCCTCGGCCCTCAGGCTGATATGGGGCCACTCAGGCTGTAGTGATATGACATATGATATGGATTTTCGCATGTAATATTCTTTATTTCTCCTACAAGTTGTTGTTAAATTATAATTCAGTTGAAGAAAATTTCTTTGAAATTTTGGAGTCCATCATAGATTTTAGCATGATAAGGGGCAAGAGCCATCTTATGCATAAAATGGCCCTGTACTTATATCAATTAATTAACTACCACCCTCTTTCTCATTTCATATATCAAAATAAATTAGACACTTGGTGCTTTCATTTTCTGTAATAAAATTTCGTTTTGAGAATCAAGATATTGGAAAACAGGTTAACGAAATTGCAATGTTTTTGAAATTTGCAGAAAACATGCATATTTGACTACCTTCAGCAAAGAATTAAAATATGAGCACAGCCCACGATCCAAAAAATAAAACAATTGATGTTTTTTGATCTTCAGAAACAGAGCTTTCATTATGTATTTGCATATTTTGGATGAGAGGTTGTGCTCTATATGAATATTGAAAAAATGCTTCAACTTTAGGTCATTTTCAAAGAAATTTACAGGATATGAGGAAAATGACGCATTTTATGAAGTTAAAATGCATTGACTATAGGGACAATTTCGTCGTGATTAATATGTACGTGGTCACTAACACTCCAAGTGATAAATACTGCATCTGAAACCTAAAGTGAGCGGTTTTGATTTTTAAGAGATTTTCAGGGCCAGATAAGGCACAAAGTGGCTCTTGCTCTTTATATACAATGTACTCATTACTGCAACTTTTAGCTGTGCTACAGTTGAGAGGTTTGGGAGATGCAGTCCATTATTTACAATATTGTATACATGTACAGGAACTTTTAGCTGTGCTACAGTAGAGAGATGTGTGGGAGCTAGCAGTCTGTGTGATGATAACAATGACTGTGGAGACTGGTCAGATGAGAGAAATTGTGGTAGGTTACAGCTTCTTTACATCCGCATGGCTTAAGATGACCCCTTATTAATTTAATTGAAGTCAATATGTCAAGGTTACAAATTCATTTATTGCATAAAATGGTTTTTGGATGAAAACTTTAAGTGTCTTTGAGATTTTGAAATGAACACGTGGAATTTTCAGAATCAAAGTGTACCTTCTACCAATCTGGCACAGAGGGAGTCATAGAGAGTTTGAACTACGGATTAGGACAATATTCAGCCAATAGGACGTGTGTGTGGACTGTAGAGGGTCCAATCGGATCACAGATACAAATACAGGTGAAAGAGAGTAGGAGTTAAAACATTTAGTGGAAGAAGATAAATGTTTATAGTTTAACATGCATTTGAATATAAGCTGTAAGCCTAACCATCCATTACTGGAATTCTAATTCTATATTGTATATTTGTGAACTTGGGTATAAAAAATATATTTTTCAGTTCTAGCACTAATTTACATCAAATACTGTTAATGTGAATATTAATGTATGTAGTTAATTAGAGTCACAGAAAATGAGAATTCAGTACAACTTGGGAGGCTGTTATTATCATGAAGGGTAAATTACCCCCTCCCCCCCCCCCAAATGAGTAAATTTTAACGATGTCTTTAATTAATTATAAATGATATAAATTATGACGTTTTTCATCGTGATTCCATTGACCAGGTGCTTGATTTTGAGACAGAGAAGAGCCTAGATGTGTTGGAGTTGTGGGAGGGTGGTGTAACACTGGGGGACAGTAAATGTCTGACCCGACTGAGTGGGGCCCAGAGACCTCCAGGAATACTGCTCAGTTCTAACAACTTCCTGATGGCCAGGTTTTCTTCAGACTCGTCTGTGCAGTACAAAGGATTCTCTCTCAAATGGACTAGTGGTCAGTTCAAATTAAACATACACATGCACTTCTAGTGTTACGTCTGTAGAATATTGTACAGTAGTATTGAAAGCTCTACAAGTAAAAATGGACACACATGGCTTTGCAGCGTCTCTCAAATGGACCAGTGGTCAGTTCAAATTAAACATACACATGCACCTCTAGCGTTACTTGTCTCTTAAGATCAGTAGAGACTGGATCTTAAGTTTCATCATTGTCTATAGTTGTCTGTTTGCCTGCATTGAACAGATTTTTTAAATGCTACCAAGCAAATATACAAAACTTTAGTATGTTCAACCTTGCTTGTTAAAAAAAATATCAGTAGGGTTTACAGTTTTGTACTTCAAATATCACTAACTCTGAATTATTGGTATGATATAGCATACCTAGAATTCAAAGGCAGAGAAAACAATTAAGCACCTCCTTCGATATTAGCAGGTCTAGGGATTCCATCAATCAAGGAAATTAAGGTGCAGGACTGGGTGCTAGAAATTGATTGATTTATGTCCTACTCTACATACATTGTCAATTTGAGAAAACATAAAAGGAGACGAGGAGGGGGGGGATGTTAAATAGGGTCATGGGAAGAAAACTCTGGTTTATATCCAGCAAACAAACCTGGAAATTCACACTCAACTACATTCATAAGATCCAAGGTGATGCAAAATTTGGGTAAATCTTGTCATGGCTAGCAGCTGAATTGTTCATCTGATAATTACGAAATTTTTAAAATTTGTTAAAATTTATAGTAAATTATAAAGGCACAATATAAATACTTCACACATCATTGAAACATATGTGTAGATCACGACAACCAATCAGACTCTCACTTAAGAGTTTAACTCAATCAACAGAAAAACAAAACACACAACGTGTGTGGAAGTGATGGAACATACTTCAGCAGAAGGGATTATATAATTGTTTTATGTTTTAAGAAGAATTACATTCAAGAAGGGAAATATTTATCCAGGTCTTCTAAAAGTACAGAAGAAATCGTCACAATCTCCTATTTGGAGAACTAAATCAGAGGTAGTAAACTGTCCAAGATATATCTCTCTGATAATTCGAGCCTCTTCACTTTGCTTTTTATGTCACTGTAGACTATATACTAATAAATAAGGCATATAGAAACCTTCTGCTGAGTAGGCACTTAATTAGCATTATTAGACTTATTCAAAGAAAATAAAAACAGTTGTGTATTTGTGTTTAATTATCTTATCATTTGTGAAGAAATGCAATTCATCAGGCATAGAACATTGTTTAATTCAGAGCCAGTCATTGTTTTCAGATTTATTTCCCTTTGTTTGAAAAATCTACTTTTTTATGTGCTAATCTTCTTCATGGTTTTATTTTATAAGCTGTCTTCTTTAGGTGGAACAAGTTTAAACATTGTCTTTCTCTTATTTGAACTACAAGTTGTCATTATCTTTTTTACAGCAATTTATTTATTTTATTTCTTATATATGCATATATTTAGATTTGTGTATTTTAGCATTCAACAGTTTGATTTTTGTTGCATTTATATAGAATAAAAGGTGAGAGTTTCAGTGGAGTTTTAATAAGTATGGCAACATCTCTGAAATGGGTACCCTTCCCACGATTCCATTCATGTACTACACAAAATACTATGGTACTAGAAAGCACCTGAAGAGAATTATTGGAAGAGTTGTCTGGCACCCTTCACATGAGGACCTGGTTGTGAAATCAAGGGGTTCATGTGCCTGGTGCGAGACTGCCTTACTAATTTAAAAACTTCATTTTTAGCTCACCTCGATGCAGTTTAGATGACCTTATGCTATACCTCCGGTGTTGGCGTTATCGTCGGCTTCCCGGTAAAAGTTTTAGGAGCAGGTCCAATCCCAAGTAACTATAAGCCCTACCTGGACCAAACTTGCATGAATGATGCATCTAGGGATGGACACTACCAGACTTGCTTCTGATGCTGGATCTGACCTACATTTTCCAGATAGTGATCAGGTTAAGGTTTTAGGAGCAGGTCCAATCCCAAGTAACTGTAAGCCCTACCTGGACCAAAATTGCATGGATAATGCATCTAGGGATGGACACTACCAGACTTGCTTCGGATGCTGGATCTGACCTATATTTTCCAGATGAGTGACCAGGTTATTCTCAATAAACTATAAGCCCCAACTGGACCAAACTTGCATGGATGATGCATCTAAGGATGGACAGTCTAAATTTGCTTCGGATGCTTGATCTGACCTACATTTTCCAGACGAGTGACCAGTGTAAAGTTTTTGGAATAGCTAGGTCAATCCTCAAAGAACTTTAAGACAAGTTTAAACATAACTTGTAAATAGATATTGTTGTAATAATAAATACAAACTGTTCAGAAAAAATTATGATGTGAGATTTGCATAGCTTCGTAATCTCTGATTACCTATGTTTGTCCTTAGCTTTTTTTAAAGTGAGAGCACATTAAGTCTCAATTGTCTGTCAGTTTGCCACAATAACTTAAACCTTGGACATAACTTTTGAATGAGAAGAGATATGGGTTTCATATTTCACATGTACATTACCTGTGACAAGACCTTTCCACATATACTACATTTGATGCATGTATGATTCTTTTTCTCTGGGACCATGACCTAGAAGTTTGGCTCTCTTTTAAAAAAAATTAATATAAACTTAAAATTGATCATATATAACTTGAAAAATAGATAGAGGAAAGATAGAGCTCTCATATTTATACAAGGGGTGTCCAGTCAAATCATATACAAGTTATCTAGTGTGAAAAATAATCAAGACCACATTCTAAAATTTCCAATACTCTTTAGTACAATATACATAACAAATTTCAAATAGATATATGGATAAATAAAGAAATTATGAGATTTTAATGTTATGTGTTGTATTGCCTTACGGTGCTCGGAAGACAATGTCAGAGTGTATTTAGCAGCGTCACATTTCTTTGCGAAAAAGTTGGATAAGTCCCACTTAATTTTGGAATTTTAATGATGCACATACTTTACTTTCCCTTTATTCCTCCATAAACAGTCAACAAACCAGTTTCGCAGAGGACCTTCTGAGGATTTATTAATAAGCTATGGACAGTATTCTCACATTCAACTAAATAGGCAATTTAATATCAACAGAGTGTCTTTCGCTATTAGTAATGGACTGTTACCAAAGCTCTTTGTCTGTATGTTTTGTTCTATATGGGAACACGATCAAAAAAATTTCTCTCTAAGAAAACTCCCATTTCACTATTGTATACTAAAGATCTAGTGATATTTTTATATTTTTTTATGTCTCCATAATCAAGGATTTGGGGTTATATAGTTTTTGTCCTGTCCTTCCATCTGTCAATCTGGCTGTTTTTCTGTTTGTCTGCAAAAACTTTCACCTTGCCCATGACTTTTGAGTAGGTAGGGATATATGGCTTTCATATTTCTTATTTATTTTATTTGGGTACCACCAAATTTGACCTCTTGATCTTGGAGTTTGACCCAATTTTACAAAAAATTACCAAACTTTAACTTTAGCATTGAATGTTTGCTTAGTACAGTAAAACTCGGTTATAGCGAAGTCCTGGGCACCTGTGAATTTAATTCGCTATATCCATAATTTGTTATATTTGTATAACGAGTTCATATAACCATTAAAGCGAATTCGCACTATGCATGTTTTTCTTCAAGTATTACTACCAACTATGATAGTGAAGCAAATATTACAAGACATATCTTCGATAACTAAGGTTTTCTTATGAATTGAATTTTATATACAAATGCTAAAAGGAAATAAAGTAAGTTCAATTTAACATTTTTTTTTTTACAATTTTTAAAAGTTTGTTATAAAAGATGTAAATTTCATTATAATTAATCTCAACAGGACTCAAAATCAGTTCGCTATATCCATAAATTCGTTATATCAGAGTTCGTTATAACCGTAAAATTTTATAAAGATTTGTTAAGAATTTTGTTGGGGGACCCGTGAATTCGCTATATCCGTGTTCTTACTAAACGAGTTTTACTGTAGTATACAGTGGCGTAGCTAGCAAAATATCTACTGTATTCAAAAAGGCAAGGGGTCTGGGGGCCGCGTTGAGGACCCCAGCGGGTCCAGGGCAGGGCCCTGGTGGGGGCCCAGGGGGCTTTGCCCCCAGAATCTCATGGATTTTTAGGGTTTTATACATCAGAAAATTACCTGAAAAAGTTTAATTTTTACAATCATAGTTTTACCAAATATTAACAAAAAATTGCCGAGTTTTGACGATGCACTTACAATTACTCCAAAATTCTTTTTTTTAAAAAGCATTTCGTGTTATCCTGAAATAAGACAAAGCATTTTCAACAGTGGAAATCTTGCAATAAGTGTGTTTTCCGAAATCACAAACCTTGAATTTGTGAAGAGGATATAATTGATATTTTCACAATTTTTTTTTTTTCCTAATGCAGTGAAAGTAACAATCAGAATGCAAAGTACCACATGAAAGAACATCTCTGCTTTAATTTGATCAATTCCGAATGATAATTTTCATACTGAACATTCAAGACACACTGTTCTCACATTTTGTACCATAATAAGTGTTCAGTTATTTTCAAACATTTTTTTCCTTCTTGTAGCAACTTTATAATTGCATTATTGCAAAACTGTTTTGAAATTTTCTGACGAAAGAGAATTTATTATGAAAGGCAGGAAAACCTTTATAGGCAGAAAATTCAATGTTCTACATAGTAGTTGCTATAAAATTTATTTTACAAGTTAAGACTTTTTTTTAATCATATATGAATTACCCCGGTATATGAATTTATCTGAATTCTATATATATACCGCTTTATCCACACACCAAAAAATATTCTCCATTTGTTACATGTTAAAAATTTAATTGGTTTGAAATAATAGTACAAGTTTGCAGTTAATTATAAGGGGAATAAGAAAATAAAACGGATTAAATTATTTGGCTTATTTGCATTTACTTTGAATTGACACAACAATTTCCAATTCGCCCTTGAAATTCTAAAATGACTTTTTAAAATGATATGTACTCTGTATCAAAGATAGAACCTTAATATATTACCGGTATTTTAATATACCTAGTACGTAGAGGTAAGCAAATCGATGTTTTTTTTAAACAAAACCTACTTTAATTGAGTCTTGTATTGGACTTCTGACATGTTTTTCTTTCTTTTTTATCATTATTTCTTGTTAATTTTTTTTTGTGAAAAATCTGTGTATTCATCTGTGTTTTTGCGTAAAGGGCGCTACGCCACTGGTATATGATCTCAACTTAATCTCACATTTAAATTTTTAATAGAACTAGCATTTGGCATCGAGATTTTATGGTAAAAACTAAAATGCTTTCAAGTATACCATTGTTTCTCTGTGTGTATTATATGCAGTAGACAGATAAGCACAATTTTGTTGTTACATGAGTGTTGACAGAAGCTTATCAATTCAGGTCATTTTGGTACATATGTATTTGTAAATATAATTGATTCAAGTTATTATTTCAGATTTATGTCCCTTTGTTAGAAAAAATGACTTGTTTAAGTGATGACCTTGTATTTTTTAAGTTGTGTGTCTGTAGGTCCAACGAGAATAACCATTGTCTTTTCCTTTGATTGTACACATGAGATCATTAACCTTTTTTGCAACAAATAATTATTTCTTTCTCAAAGTTGTGCAGTGTATGTAAATTTTTATACTTTTAGGATTTGACTTTTTGTTTTGTATTGGTTCTATTTGGAGTGAAAGACTTTTCATGAAGTGGAGTTTCCTGTTAGTGGGGCATTTTCCTCTAAACCCCTAAACGAAAACAAGAAAACTAAACTCACCTATTGCCTTACTAAGAAGAAAACTTCATTTTATAAAAATTGTAGTTTCTTTAGATTAAATATATTTATTTTTTTTAAATAGTTTCTTTTGAATTTTGAAATGACAAAATTAATATTCATTATGCATAAACATTGAAATCGTGTTTCTTTTTGCCTGCAGATACGATGTCGTTAGTAAAATATTTTACTTTAAATTAATTTATGTAGTTTGAGTAATTTCTGAGTAATATGTGAGTTTTAGAATATACAGTTGGATTTGGTGTCATGAACACAGATGTCTTGAAAACTATGGATGTATATTCTTGGTCCTGTGAAGATCAAGATTGTGAAATTTAACTATTTCTTTTACTCTTTCAGAATCAATGAATGCAACAAATCTTGGAGGAAGAGTTGAAGCAGATAAAATTTTGAAGGAGGTCTCTACACCTTTGTATCCACAGAATTATCCAGGTGGGCGGGAGTTTGTGTGGATCATCCAATCACAGGGCTTGTCTGTTATCACACTACAGGTCAGCATCATTCATTATTCAAAACGTAAAGGTCAGGCAGGTTATTGGCCAGTGGCCAGTGGTCAGACAGCTGAGTCACTGCACTTGCTATAAAAAGTTTTTTAGTAACTTTCAGTTAAGATATTATTATGAAGTTTGGAAGTGTGACTTCTGCTTTTTAGGTCACTTGAGTAAACTCAAGTGACCTATTGCTATCCATTTTCATCCGTCGTCATGTATTTAACAAGTAAACATTTTCAGCTTCTTCTCTGACACCGCTGAACCAATTTCAACCAATTTTGGCATATAGCATTTGTGGGTGAAGGGGAATTTTATGGTCTCTGCCCCCCCCCCCCCCCCCGGGCCTTGGGGGTGGGTCCAAAACCACTAAAATTAGTGCAATCTTTAAAAATCTTCTTCTTTACTCCTGGACATGAAGCAGTCAAACTGTTTGCATGGTTGTAATCAGCATTGAGTCCTCTACCAGAATTGTGAAATTCATGGCCCCAGGGTTAGGGGTTGTAGTTCTAGGGCGGGGCTATATTGATTATATAGTGAAAATGCAGTATTTCTTTGAAAATCTTCTTCTCTGTTCCTATGTATTAAATAAACTAATTAAGTACATAGTTATAATGAGCAAGAGTGCCTCTACCAAAATTTTGAATTTTATGGCCCCATGGTCAGGGGTTCTGGTGTTAGATCATGGCTCTATAATGATTAGATAGTGAAAGTACATTACATCTATGAAAATCTTTTTCTCTACTCCTTGGTAATAAGTAGATTAACTACCTATATAGTTATGATGTGCAAGGGCTTCTCTTCCAGAATTGTGAATTTCAAGGCCCCTGGGTCAGGGATACCAAACAGGGGGGGGGGGCTCTACTTATATACTGAAAATGAATTGTTTGAAATCTGCTCCTTGGTATCAATCAAACATTTTTGATAAGCAAGTGTGCCTTTTCAAAAATTGTGCAATGTGTAGACCTAGGGTTAGGGGTTCATGTGTGGTGGGGGCACTTCTGATTATTGCTGAATATTACTGATTAGTTGAAATGCATTTTTTGTTCCCCTACCCTGCTTATGGGTATTAAGTAAACAAACTAAACAATTGTTAAGTGTATAGTTATGATTAGCAATGGTGCCTCTTTCAAAATTGTGAATGCCATAGCATCTAGCTTAAAACATGAACCAAATTCAATCATTTGAAAGTTGTTGCATGGTGCTCTGGTGACCTATAAGGCCCATAGGCCTCTTGTTTAAGGAAGATTAAAAGTAAATTTTGATTTTTAGAATTTATTTTTTGGTCGATAGTAAGACTATATAAATTTTGTTCAAAGATGGTAACTCTTTTAGGTTAGTGACATTGAACTTTGTGGATCAGATTTTATCACTGTGAAAGATGGTGAGCATCCCTTAGCAACTACTTTGGTGACCTTGACCTCTTCAAGTATATCAGGGGTCATCACAATGTCAACAGGCAACAGGATGTACATCTACATGAAACTCGATGAGCATCTAAAATGCAAAGGTGCACTGATGCATTACAAGACAGGTATGTGACATAATAACATTAAATGTGGCATATTGTAATTATCAGCCTTTGTGGATAGTGGCCTTGATGCAAAAGTGTATGTATTGTTTTCTTATTTGCTGGACAAAGTTGGGTTGATTTTAAAAACCTTAACTTGGTGAACTGCCATTGTCATTTGGCAACCCAAGTGTTTGTAAAATTAAACGAATACATGTACAATTTTAAGGCAAATACTAAGGTGTTTAAGACTGGTAACAAAAGAAAAATGACATGCAAACAAAAGAGCTTCAGACTCTTCATATGAAAAATGATGTTATGGACTGTGCGTCATACAAGTTATTATTGACTGACCGTACCACTTTAATTTAAAAGTGTGAAAATATTTTTTGATTTTAAAATGTGATATATTGTTTAAGGATGTGATATGAATATACAAAGGGACAGTGGGTCGATATTCAGTCCTGGTTATGGTGTGACTAATTACCCCCCAGTTCTACATTGTACCTGGCTGATCCAAAGTAAAAATGGACAGGCACTTCTTCTAAGGTTTAATGATTTCAGACTGCAGGACAAAGACTATGTACAGGTAAGCCATAACATCAAGAAATGAAATAAACTCTTTGTATGCCTTCCTTCAAGGAAGGCAGTGCATATTTCTTTGCTGCTGTCGGTCGGTCTGTCAGTCCACCATCAGTTTCTCTTCATTTTCTTCACAGAGGTTGCACATATTGAAATGAAAATTGGTTTACAGATTTATTATAAGAATATCTAGATCAGTTTTCATTTTAGGTATGATTGGGGGCCATTTTGGACAGAGTTATGCCCCTTGGACTTAGAAAAATTTCAATTATTTGCAGTTTCTGTTCATTTTCTTTGCAGAGTTTGCACATATTGAAATGAAATTTGGTATACAGATTTATCATAGGAATATCTAGGCCAAGTTTTGTTTTGAGTATGATTGAGCCATTTTGGATAGAGTTATGTCCCTTGGACTTAGAAAAATTCTAATCATTTGGGGGAGGGGGCATAAGTGTTTTACAAACATCTCTTGTTTGAAATTAAGGTTACTTCCACAGCATGATGGCTTCATGATTAAAAAATAAATAAATTAAGAAGAAAGAGAACATAATAAAGAAGTGTAAGATAGATGACAAATTGTTAGGATGAAGATCATGGCTTTAAGCCAGTTGCTGTATGTCATACAGTGGTCAAAAAGATGTTATGCTCAAGTTTTGACATAAATTGTCAAAGTCACTGGTATTTCATCTCAAATGACTCTATTTGCATTCCATATGATTTTAAAAAAAGGTATGTTTTTGACAGGTGTACCTTGGTTACAATACCTCTTCCTCCCCAGTATATTCAGGATCAGGACTCACTGGAAATGTGGTTCCCTCTAATGTCATCTCTAAAACTGGAACCATATTTATCACTATGACAACCAGTGCCACAGGGAATTCTAAAGGTTTCCAGGCATCATTTACAGCAGGTAAAGTGCATGCTTGGCTATGAACACTTAAGTGTCAGTTCTTTGCAATAATGCATCTTCCAGCAAATATTAAAAATTTCCAAGATTGAAACTGTAACATTTACAGAAAATTAAGGTCACACTTAAGTGGTTGAATCAGTTATTGGTGATTGCAGCTATTTTATCAACAAAATAAGAAAGTTATTGTGTCATTTGATTCAGATAGAATAGGACTTGCGTCTAACTCGTTTACCGAGTAATTAGAAAATGCACATCATGGTTAATATGTTTTGTGTTGCAGGTTGCAGAACTATGAGTTCCTCCTCTCTGATAGTGAGTTCTGGGGTCTCTGAGATCCTCCCACAGGCTGTGGTCACTGTACAGTGTAGGACAGGGTACTACCTACAGGAACCGTACACAGGACTAAACCAGGTCACCCTGAGGTGCCAGGAGGGGGGAACTTATGATAAAATCATCCCGATCTGTGCACGTGAGTGTGACAACTTCACACAGATTTAGGGGTAGAATAAGACAATTCCGAAAGAAACATTGAAGAATACAAAAAAGGATGAAACAGGTTGCAACAATAATGATTCTGAATATTGTGTATTTTAGAATCAGTAACAGCTCTTGTTTGATTTATAGATGCATTTTGTGGTCCACCGCCAGTTGTTGACAATGGTTACATTGTAAACAGTACAGGTGTTTTTGGAGGTGACAGAGTTATGTACCACTGTAAGACTGGATACTCAACAATCAACTCACTCAACACCATGTGTCAGAGTAATGGAGTGTGGGAAACCCCTCCCACATGTCAAGGTTTGTGTTTAGTGTCAGTGTAAAGAAGTGTGGGAAACCCCTCCACATGTCAAGGTTAGTGTTTAGTGTCAGTGTAAAGAAGTGTGGGAAACCCCTCCCAAATGTCAAGGTTAGTGTTTAGTGTCAGAGTAATGCAGTGTGGGAAACCCCTCCCATACGTCAAGGTTAGTGTTTAGTGTCAGTGTAAAGAAGTGTGGAACCCCCCATACATGTCAAGGTTAATGTCTAGTGCCAGAGTAATGGAGTGTGGGAAACTCCTCCCACATGTCAAGGGTAGTGTCTAGTGTCAGAGTGATGGAGTGTGGGAAACTCCTCCCACATGTCAAGGTTAGTCTAGTGTCAAGAGTAATGAAGTGTGGGAAACCCCTCCTACATGTCAAGGTTAGTGTCTAGTGTCAGAGTAATGGAGTGTGGGAAACTCCTCCCATATGTCAAGGTTAGTGTATAGTGTCAAAGTAATTGAGTGTGGGAAACCCCTCCCACATGTCAAGGTTAGTGTCTAGCGTCAGAGTAATAGAGTGTGGGAAACCCCTCCCACATGTCAAGGTTAGTGTCTAGTGTCAGAGTGATGGAGTGTGGAAAACTCCTCCTACATGTCAAGGTTAGTGTCTAGTGTTAAAGAAACTGAGTGGGGAAACCCCTCCCACATGTCAAGGTTAGTGTCTAGTGTTAGAGTGATGGAGTGTGGAAAACTCCTCCCACATGTCAAGGTTAGTGTCTAGTGTCAGAGTGATGGAGTGTGGAAAACTCCTCCTACATGTCAAGGTTAGTGTCTAGTGTCAGAGTGATGGAGTGTGGGAACCCCTCCCACATGTCAAGGTTAGTGTCTAGTGTCAGAGTGATGGAGTGTGGAAAACTCCTCCTATATGTCAAGGTTAGTGTCTAGTGTTAAAGTAACTGAGTGTGGGAAACCCCTCCCACATGTCAAGGTTAGTGTCTAGTGTCAGAGTGATGGAGTGTGGGAAACTCCTCCCACATGTCAAGGTTAGTGTCTAGTGTTAAAGTAACTGAGTGTGGGAAACCCCTCCCACATGTCAAGGTTAGTGTCTAGTGTCAGAGTGATGGAGTGTGGGAATCTCCTCCTACATGTCAAGGTTTGTGTCTAGTGTCAGAGTGATGGAGTGTGGAAAACTCCTCCTATATGTCAAGGTTTGTGTCTAGTGTTAAAGTAACTGAGCATGGAAAACCCCTCCCACATGTCAAGGTCAAGGTTAGTGTCTAGTGTCAGAGTGATGGAGTGTGGGAAACTCCTCCCACATGTCAAGATTAGTGTCTAGTGTTAAAGTATTGGAGTGTGGGAAACCCCTCCCACATGTCAAGGTTAGTGTCTAGTGTTAAAGCAATGGAGTGTGGGAAACTCCTCCCACATGTCAAGGTAAGTGTCTAGTGTCAGAGTGATGGAGTGTGGGAAACCCCTCCTACATGTCAAGGTTAGTGTCTAGTGTTAAAGTAATGGAGTGTGGGAAACCCCTCCCACATGTCAAGGTTAGTGTCTAGTGTCAGAGTGATGGAGTGTGGGAAACTCCTCCCACATGTCAAGGTTAGTGTCTAGTGTCAGAGTAATGGAGTATGGGAAACCCCTCCTACATGTCAAGGTTAATGTCTAGTGTCAGTGTAAAGAAGTGTGGGAAACCCCTCCTACATGTCAAGGTTAGTGTCTAGTGTCAGAGTAATGGAGTGTGGGAAACTCCTCCCATATGTCAAGGTTAGTGTCTAGTGTTAATGTAACTGAGCCTGGACTTCCCCTCCCACATGTCAAGGTCAGGTTAGTGTCTAGTGTCAGAGTAATGGAGTGTGGGAAACTCCTCCCACATGTCAAGATTAGTGTCTTGTGTTAAAGTATTGGAGTGTGGGAAACCCCTCCCACATGTCAAGGTTAGTGTCTAGTGTTAAAGTAATGGAGTGTGGGAAATTCCTCCCACATGTCAAGGTTAGTGTCTAGTGTCAGAGTGATGGAGTGTGGGAAACCCCTCCCACATGTCAAGGTTAGTGTCTAGTGTTAAAGTAATGGAGTGTGGGAAACCCCTCCCACATGTCAAGGTTAGTGTCTAGTGTTAAAGTAATGGAGTGTGGGAAACTCCTCCCACATGTCAAGGTTAGTGTCTAGTGTCAGAGTGATGGAGTGTTGGAAATCCCTCCCACATGTCAAGGTTAGTGTCTAGTGTTAAAGTAATGGAGTGTGGGAAACTCTTCTCACATGTCAAGGTTAGTGTCTAGTGTTAAAGTAATGGAGTGTGGGAAACTCCTCCCACATGTCAAGGTTAGTGTCTAGTGTCAGAGTGATAGAGTGTGGGAAACCCCTCCCACATGTCAAGGTTAGTGTCTAGTGTTAAAGTAATGAAGTGTGGGAAACCCCTCCCACATGTCAAGGTTAGTGTCTAGTGTCAGAGTAATGGAGTGTGGGAAACTCTTGTTAGTGTATTGAAGAATCAATTTTGAGTATGGAAAACCTCTTCCACATGCCAAGATACATGTCTATAGTTTAAATAATAGAGTGTATGATACCCATCCAACATGTCAAGATTAGTGTCTTATGGCATTGAAATGGAGAGTGGAAAACTCTTCCCATATGTCAAGTTTAATGTCTAGTGTCAAGGGAGCAGAGTGGAAAACACATCCATATGTCAAGATAAGTATCTAGTGTCAAGGTAAAGGAATGTTTGAAAATTCTCACATAGGTCAATTCTCTCCTGATTTTTTCCTTCTTGTTCTGCTTGATAGGAAACAAACTAATCAGTGAATCAGAAACTGTGTTGTGTCTTTATTTGTAGCTTTATCTCTTACAGCCTCTCCTTGCCCCTCCCTACCTGTGACTGTGTTCAGGGGACAAAGAAGTACCCTCACTGGGGATGGAGTCAGCCATGGTTCTGTGATCAAGTATTCCTGTGACCCGGACTACCAGGTTCTGGGACAATCGGTCATCAGGTGTGACAATGGAGCCTGGTCTGATCACCCTCCCAACTGTCAGAGTAAGTCATCAGCTGATTGGCTGGAAGTTGTTAAATATTAATGAGGTGTGCATGCATGTAATGATTGAAACTACACACAAAACTTCAAATAACGAATTCATAATAAGGACCGTTGTTTGTCCCTTTCTGGATGGCTTTCAGAAATGTAAGAATATTATGAAGGTTCAGCAGATATTTTTCAATGTAAGCTGTTACAATTAAATTGGATGATATACCACTTTGAATGATTTTTTTTTTACTTTTCAGAAATTCCTTGTCTCTCCTCATCCATAAACAAGGGAACTATTGACAAATCTGGTAATGTGGGTCAAGGGGAGATAGTTCGAGTTACCTGTGATTCAGGATTTGAAATAAATGGAAAATCAGAATTCAAATGTGGAATGGATGATCCTCCATTATGTATCAGTAAGAACATTATCATTGGACTTCATTATTTTGAATTAAAAAAAGAGTTATTGAATTCTTAATTAGCTTTATTTTACATTTATCAAAGACTTTCAAAAATTCCATTCTGAAGATATCAGACTAAGATGGAACATCTACCATGACTATAGCTAATTTAAAACACGGAACTCATCATGATGATAAAATTAGAAAATTTATCTAGTTGTTTGGTGTTGAACTCAAAGAAATGTAACGTAACAAAATCAGACTATATGTACATTTGAATAAAGATAGGTTTTGAATATTGGTTTCAGACATTGATGAGTGTAAGGTCTCTAATGGAACCGTCTGTGATCAGATTTGTACAGACACGGTGGGGGGATATGTGTGTTCATGTAACGAGGGCTATAAACTTACTAGAAGCAGAAACAACAGGTGTGAAAGTAAGTATTGAATTAAATATGTAAGTACTTGCTTAGTAGTTTTCAAAATCCATAGGTGACAGTAGCTATGATAAGATTACAATACCAGTACGGTATGACGAACACAATAATCGTCATGATTGTGATTCAAGTTTCTGTGCCAGAAAAAATACTCTGTAAAAATTTCATATTCCTCTGTATTTAATCAATTTCCCGTACTCTGTTTTTTAAGCTTTAACTTTATTATCTGCATAGGCCGTATCATAGGGCCTGCGTCTCAATCGCCATCTTAGTTTTAGAGTTACTTCCTATTGTTATGAAACGTCACGTGGCGCTATTTTTAGCTCTGGCCACATGGAGAAGTAAACAAAACTGGATGAACAATGCAATATCTAGAGACATGAAACGAGTAGAAAATGTTCAAATGTTCTTTTGTGTGTTAGCTTAAAAAACACTACCCATTCATCAGTTAATTTAGTCATATTGAAACAAAGCATTTCATACAACAGGCTACAATTCTTATAATTATTAATCTAATGCCATGGTTACTGGCTACCTGTATCAACATTTTTTCTTTAAATTTCTTTAGAAAGTTACTACAGTACATTTGTGAAGTAAGATACAGGATAAATCCTTTTCAATTTAATTAATTTTTTTTACTTTAAAAAGTGTTACTTATTTCATTGTTTGTGTTGCAAGATATGGGTAAGTTTTAAAATTGTAAAATGAATCATTGATTAATGGAGGTTAGGAAGTCTAAGATACATTAGTGTTTTTGACCACATTTCACCTTCCCGCAGTTCCTCTATGGTTAAATTTTCAAATGTGGAGAACCCTGCTATTATCATGATTGTCAATCTTACAGAAACTCTTTGAAATTAAAGGCTTGCTTAGGACAGTAATATAAAGATGGACATGTTGTGGAACAATTTAGTTTAAAAACAGCTGATTTTGTTGATGAAAAAGAACAAGAACAAAATGTATAGGCAAGAATTGAGGATTGATCACTCAGAGTCTGAAAAAAAATGCATGATTAAAAAAAAAAAGAGTTGAAGGTTCCAAAGCCAAAGGTACGTGTAGAAATGCATAATAAAAAGAGATGCTGACTCCCCTGCACTTCATCCCAAAGGCATTTCACTAGAAAATTGCACTCAAAATAATTTAATTGTAAAACTTTGGCTGTATCAAACTTTCAAGAAAAAGAGTGCACACAAGGGAAGTAATTCCAGATAATTGAAATAGAATCTCTTTCACTGAACATATCCTAGTGTTACTAGTAAGACAATGTTTTCAGATATTAATGAGTGCCAGGAGGGTAATGGTTTCTGTGATGGGGGTTGTGTGGACACCCCGGGGTCTTATTACTGTACCTGCACCCAGGGCCAGGAGCTGTACGCATACAACGGCCAGAATGATCTGATCCTCCCCGCCATGGAGACCGGTCTGGAGCCACATCACCGCTACCACATCAACCATTCCTGTGTGGGTATGTCATAACAAAAGTGTAGTCATGTCCAATGATCAAATTTAAAAAAAATTCTGTTCTCAAAACATGCATCCGACAAAATACAATAATTTTTTTAAAAGAGAATTTAAAAAAAAATCTTCAGTATGTTTTTATAGAACTTGACCTAAAGGTGATTTTAATCAGATTAAATTCTTGTTATCAGCTGTTGAATGTTCAGCTCCAACCTACTCCATTCCAAATGGGTTGGCCTTGACCTTAGAAACCAAGTTCTTCTACAGAGATGAGGTCACATATATGTGTAACCTTGGTTACCAGATCAGAGGGACAGGACAGGCTACTTACAGAATCAGCTGTCAGATAGACGGCTCATGGTCTGATGTAGAACCAACTTGTGAGAGTAAGAGAGTAAATTAATTATTTTACTCAAATCAATTAACTACGTAAATTAATTTTTTTTACTCAAATTAATTATTTTTCTGTGCTGTGAGATATTTTTGTCAATTAATCAATGTCAGGGATAATTCATGAAATCTCTGGAATTAAATAGGTAAAAAAAAATTGTTCTTATAGCATCATGACTTTAAATAATCAGTAAATAATGTAATGATGAAAATAAGTAGTTTATAATATGCTATTAGAATGTCTCCAGGAATAAAATTATTTATTCTAACAACTGTTTTGAATTTTATTTTGATTATATGAGAACTGTGTGTGTGAGTGAAATGAAAACTCGGTCAAGGTATATTTTCCAGTAATGCCCTTTGGAGAAAAATTCCAATATGTGTAAGTGTTTTACAAACATCTCTTGTTTGAATTTTATTTTGATTATGAGAACTATATGTGTGATGTGTCCAGTGATCCGGGAGTCCTCCCAAACACCTCTGTCACCTACGGACAGTTCTATCATCTCCAGTGTGACAGGCCTGACGGGGGCATCCTGTCACGGAGGAGGCAGTGTACCTATAATGTTAATACCGGGAGGTACCAAACTGAGGGCGATCCATTGTCTTGTCCTAGTAAGGATCACAGAGCTGTAATTATTGCAGTTCAAGCTTTAAAAAGAAGTGAAAGTCAAAGTAAAATTCGATTTTTGTGATTTTGACAAAAAGTAATCATTTTGAGTGGAAGAGGAAACAATATTGTAAATATTTGGAATTAAAATAATTAAAAAGACACAAAAATGAATTGAACATATGGTTTTCTTCTGATTTATATAGGAAATGCGTACAGTCTACTATATATTTTTAGAGTCAAATCTGTCTTACTTATTTGTTGAAAACAACCAGTGTGTTTGATCTTTTTTTGTATCACCCTTTAGAAGTAAACTGTGGAACACCTCAGTCTGTAAAGGGAGCTAACCCTTACTTGTACAGCTGCACACTGTATGGTTGTACCTTTGAGTTTACCTGTCGGTCAGTGTACACAAGGGCAGGTAACTCTTCACAGGGAGGGTCCGTGATCAGTTGTGCAGCAGATGGACGGTGGGACTTCGGTGACCTTCACTGCACCAGTAAGCCAATTTTAAGTTTTAACTCGTGAAAAACAACTATTTAAGAATTGCTTCATCGCAGACTAGTGGTCAGTCATAATTTTCTCAATCAATACCTGACCAGAAAACCATAATTCTCGTTGATTATGCTGATAACCACTTTTCTGTAGATGGTGTGTGTCCTGACCCTGGCTACCCCCCTGGGGGGTATTCCTACACCGCCTCCCATGAGGAGGACGGCCAGGTGTATTACACGTGTCAGAGGCCAGGCTACAGGGCCAAGGACATCTACCCCATCCTGTGTTCAGAGGTCAGGGGTCAACTGAGATGGAACTCGTCAGATGTCAAGGTCACTCATGAATGTGTAGGTCAGTGTGTAAGCTCAATGAACTGTATAATCAATGTCTTTATTAAAAGTTCATCTTCAATTATCCATATGAATGTGATTTGTTATTTTGATAATTTGCATTCAAAGCAAAGCTAATCATTGATACTGTTAATTAAAGCATTATTGATAAATCTGTCTTTTTTTCTGGTAGATGTTCAGAATCCAGTAATGACCAAATGCCCATCCTTGGATATCACAGTGATGAAATATGAGGGAGCAAACTCTACCATTCCTGTCTTTTCTGACAACAGTGGAGCCATAACTGTGAGAATTTCTACCTGAGATATGTACTGCTATAGTATTGCTTTACTTGCAATCTCCGTTTTTTTAGTTGTACAATATTTGTATGTACATGATTCTTTGCTTGTAGAGGATTTTGGTGACTCCCTTTAACTATCAGCCTGGTCAGGTGATTGCACAAGAGACACTGATTACATATGCAGCATTTGACCAACAGGGAAATAGCATCACTTGCTCTTTTTTGGTGAAGATTAAAGGTAAAAATGATCTATATATCAATGAATAACTTGGAAAATTTATGACTGTAAAGCTTCATTGAAAGTCATTTTTATTGACAAGTAAATGTATGAACTTTAAGTATAAATGAAAAAAAACTTCTTCACCAGTTGACCTCTTTCAGATACGAGGGGGTATCAAAAAGTTTGTGGACTAGCGCAATAAAATTAAAACCACTTTTGAGCACATCAATGAATTTTATAATATCTAGTAAGCATCATATTTTCTATCTATAGAATAAACCTCAAATCATAAATTTCATTTTGTAATAAATTAGTAATGTTTTTGTAAATAATGGCGTGTCCAGGCGGCAACCTCGAACACTAAATTTTTCGACCTAAGTGTAACAGAGAAAAACTCTTTTGATATGAATATTTGAAATCCGAAAATCCCGTTAATTCAGGTATGTGTTGGGACACATATGTTCCATAAGGGATTTTTACTTAATTCTAGAAGTTCTGTGAAAATTTATTGTAAATTTTACATGGAGTGTCCAAACAAATAAGGCCTTGAAAATGACGTCGAAAAGGGGGGGGTTCATTTTCCAACTTTCTGTTAAGTTTTGATGATGAAAAAACTGTTATAGACCTAGAAAATTTTTTAACTGGCTACGGAGAAATAAAATGTACCAAGAGTACTTGTTTTTTAATGCCAAAAGAGAGTCAGAGAGAAAACAGATGCACAAGTAATGTCGATTTGTAGTCAAGGTGTAAAAATTCAGTCACCTCAAAAAATGACGTCGAATGTGTTGTAAAAATTAAACTCCAAAAGCGAAATATGTTTTCACAATCAAGCGAGGATCTCTCCCAGTTTATTCATCTATTTGCAATATTATATGCATTGAAAGCTGCTGTTCATGACATTGTAAAATCATATAAATAAGATGGATTAAAGTCCTTATTTAGCTCCTGGGAATCTCATGAAAATAAGTGTATGAAGTAGAAGAAAGAGATATTGAAAAACAATGACGTTGTCGGAAGTCACGATACTATATGATGGTGATCATATAATGTCGTTTTTATTTTATGATAATTTGGCAACTAATGAACCTATCAAGCTAAAATTTTCAACTTGTCTTCATTTTTTGTTGTTTTATGATCCTTTTAAATTTTGAAAGTGCAGACTACGAAGTATTAGTTTTATAGCCTCAGTCCATGAACATTATGATAACCCCTCGTACATGTTACTTTTTTACTCGAACTTTAATTATTTTCAGATGAGGTACCTCCGTTGTTGTCATGTAAACCCTCCAGGACTGTCCTGATCCCAGATGAGTCAGCTCTGGTGACTGTTGACCCTCTGGACTTTATCAGCAGTGTAGAACAAGGCGCCCAGACATCGTCCAACACAGGGATACTGAGGCTGACCGCTACAGACATCAACACAGTCAGGACCACTCAAATCACAGCAACAGACTCATCAGGGAACACAGCTTCCTGTTTAGTACAGGTCAAGGTCGAAGGTACTGGTTGATTGTGTTATAATGTCCTGTGTATATGTAAATGTGTATATATGTATTTGTGTATTGAAATGTTTAAGTGAAAGTAATTAGAATATGATACTGAAAACTGGATTTTATTAACTAGAATATTAATATTATGCATATATGATTCAGAAACTGTCCAAGTTTGAATTCTGTTTTTCATTGTATCAATGTTACTGTTACAATATTGTTTATGTAGCTTCAAAATGCCAGGCCTGGAGCCTTTCTATAACACACGGCCAGAAGGCCTGCTCTCAGAAGACGGGGAATGCTGGGATAGATTGTGTGTTTACTTGTGACTCGGGATATGTGTTTGCTGAGGACATCAATAGAAGATCTGTCAATGTGTCCTGCTTCAATGGTGGAGATTGGGACAGAGCTGCCCCTACATGTCAGGGTAAGACAGTCAATGCAGCTAGTTTTTTATTTTATTCATTATCACCATATCTTTAACTTGGTTTGAATTTAATAAATCATTTTTAACAAAATGTAGAGTTGAGGTAACATACACTAGGCACTTTGTTAATGCTAAAAGGGGTAATAAATTGTTTTATTATACTGATATATATTGAAAAGTATGATTCTCTAACCATTATCAATTCTTTTTTTTTGATCGGGATCAGAATTTGCTATACTTCGTATAGTGAAGTTGTTTACATTGATGTCTGCAAGTCGTGTTAGTTTTTGCATCATGACTTATTGATTAAAACAATACTTGGTTGATAGTGACATAGATTATTATTACTAATGATTACTTTTCCTCTACACAGTCAAAATCTAACACAGAATTTTACTCTTAAAAGACACACTAATCGTTTAAGTTCATAATAAAATTTTACCATACTGTGTATGATAATGCAAAACAGACCATGCACAATTTTAAAACAAGTTTTTTCTTGAATAATTATCATTTTATGCAATAACTTCACTCAAAAACGAATTTTGATTCAGAGGTCATTATTTAGCTGTCATTATACCCACGTGCAATGATTCTTAGGTCATTATTGCTGTAAACAGTACCTTTTGGAGTCATTATTGAGTTTTAAAGTTTTAATGCTATTGTGTAATCAGCAAGGCAATAATTTCTTAAATTTCCTTGAATTTTACAAAATAAAGATCTTTTAACACATCATCTTTATCATAAAAATTGCTTTAAAAATTTAAATGTTTTGAAATGATTTTGAAACATGTGCTTTGTTGTATGTATCCTGCTGCAGTACACGATGACTGGTATACACATCCTGTATCTCTGTGTACATGTCTCAGCTGAACACTCAGTGGGACACCCTCACCTCCCAGTTACAGACCCTCTGGATAGGTTGAAGTGATTTTGAAGTCCAACTACCTGACTTATTCTAATTATAAGGGGTCCTCAGTAAGTTTTACCATGAACAAGGCCATTATTCTCTTTTTCTTACAAACATCTTTATCATGGATTGTTCAAATTTCAAATAAGATTTTGATATATGTTATGTGCTTTGTTTTATGTATCCTTTTGGAATGAATTTTTGGGAGATGACATAAAATCCAATATCTAGATGCTTTATCTTTCAGAACTCTGTCTTTGTGACCATAAACTTGGAAATAGCCCCCGCTGGATTGATTGACTTGGCCTACACGTCTTGTGCCCAAAAGATAGAAAATGCGTTCATAACACGGAGTAGCTCTGTGGGAACGATGTATCAGCTTTATTCATCAGGGTCCTGCCCTGCATCAACCAACCAGCAGTTTGTACAAACTCAGTTCTCCAACTTCCTGTGTTCTGGTTACCAGGGAACACAAAGGAATAACACTGAGGGCAAAACATATTGTGGTAAATTCTGTTGAAAAAATATTACATGTAAAGTTAATGTTTTATCTTAAACCTTTACCTTTACTTTTTAGCCCACAAAGGGGAAGGTTGAAAACTATAATTGTGAAATTTAACAAATTACATTTGTTTGTCAGAATTATTTTTCTGTGACTGAGGTTGGAATTTTGGTCCACTGTATTTATTATATTTTCAAAATTTTTTATCATTGTTTTGCAGTGACCTGTCCTTTAGGGTATTACACTAAGGACAAGAGGACATGTACCCCCTGCCCGGCTGGAACTTATCTGGATAGAGGAAACTTTGACAACTGCTTCAGTTGTCCAAATAACACCAACAGTAGGGGGACTGGTCTATCACGTCAGCAGGACTGTCACTGTAAGATTCATAGAATCTGAGAGTTTACAGTAGAACACCCTTACAGCTAACAGGCTTATAACGGATTGACACTTAAAGCGAAGAAACTTTTTTGCCTGTGAAATTTAGATATATTGTTAATTTATTGAATATAAGGAACTAAATAAGGAATTACATTTGTAACGAAGTAAAGTTGTCTGTACCTTGCATTTCGTTAAAACCATTTTCACTGTATTATTGTATTCTTTTATATAGTAAACTTTGAAATGTAGATTTGGCATACAGTCATTTGTAGATATTATATATATACTATATACAAGGTAATTTCCGCTCTTTGCACTTGCGAACAATTTTGCCCATGTTTTGAATTTGCCTAATCACAGTTCTGTTTAAGAATTCATACTGCTTTCTTTGGATTCGCCCATTTAAAATTGGCCCATCTGTGATCAGGGCGAAAATAAAAAGAGGGCGAAATTTTCCCTGTATACAGTAATTTATTGCGTTGATTGCCAATTTTTTCCTTCCAGTAAGTTGTCCCCCTGGTTTTGTGTCCAGTAGTGGACAGGCCCCCTGCTCTGAGTGCGCTGTTAATACCTACTCCTCTAACGGTCAGTCCTGTACCACTTGTCCCAGTAATACACTGGCTGCTAAAACAGGCTCAGCTTCCAGAGATGAATGTTTAGGTAATATTGTAAACATATTCACTGTTTCTTTTTCTGTAAGATTGCATTTCTTTTACATACTTTTCAAACTACTACAGTAAATATGGAGACTTGTATTAGTGATAGATCAGAAGAAAAAAGGTATAAGAACAGAACAATTTAGAACCCTGAATTATTACATGTATCTTGGTGCTTTTCTATTAATAAAGGATGGCAGGATTAATCAATGTATCTTGGGCTTATTCTTATATACTACCTCTATTTAGCGATTTTGATCTCCTGTTTTGTAGATTACTGTCCTGCAGGGTATTACTCCCCCAGTGGATCTGTCCCCTGTAGACCCTGCCCCAGGAATCACTACCAGCCCTCCCTGGGGGGTACATCCTGTATAGAGTGTGGGTCTCATCAGGTCACACAGAACCCCGCCCAATCCTCCTCACTCAGCTGTGTGGATGGATGTAAGTCAGGGGTACTTTATCTGCATGTGAAAATGCTACATAATACATCATGTTATACATTAATGCTACACTAAATGTATTGCAAACTGCAAATCAAAGAACTTACAATGAAAGGAAAAAAAATACTGTTCTTTAAACTCTTTGTTTATGAAGTGAAAATATAAATATTTCTTTGCTTAATTTCTATATGTTATTGTGAAATCTGTACTGTTTTATCTGCAGTTCTAAATACATTAACTAATTTCTTTATTTTTTATCAGTGAGCACCCTCTGTCAGCCTAACCCGTGTCAGAATGGAGGAGTGTGTGCCGTCATCAGACATGATTTCTACTGCAGCTGTCCTCAGTGTCAGTACTATTCAGTCTTAAAATGTTCTATCTCACCCCAAAGTTAGAAGAGAACATTGATTCTGTCTGGTTGTATGTCTACTTGTCATATCAAGCAATAGCAAAAATCCTTGATTTCAGTGAATTTAAATTTTAGTAACGTAATTGTTGTTGCTTTTGCATAAAACAAGTTTATTAAACAAGAAATTGTCCTTTCAAATGAAATAGCAGTTTTTTCCATTCTATTTTACCTGTTAGTAAAGTTTAAGTTCAGAAATAAACAAATTATTTCTTTGCAAATGGAATAATTTATTCAAAAAAGTTGTTTACATGTTGTAATTTAAAACAAAAATATTTTTCATTAGTGGTATTAATTATTATTTATTTCAGATCTATATTTATATTTAACTTATTTATTTTATATATTAAACCCCAAATGGAAAAACTGTCAGAGAATTTCAGATATGTGTATCTCCAATATATTTCCCAGCCCTATTTTTTACACAGACTACACAGGTAGGAGATGTGAGGTATTTCTGAATCCCTGTTCCTCCATTCCTTGTTTCAATAATGGACTCTGCTCATTCAACTCCTCAACAGCAGAAGGATATACCTGTGATTGTCTGGGTAAGTCACATTCATACAAGATCTTTAGGAAAAAATTAATAAATATTCTGTATAGGAATTTTTAAAATTGGTCTTGCAGTTTGCCCTAAAAATTGACAAAATTGCAATTCTTATTGCAGCTCGGTACAGTGGATCCAGGTGTGCTGAGGATTTAAATGACTGCAGTTTCAGTCCCCCCTTTGTTCCTTGTAAGAATGGGGGTCAGTGTCGAGATCACAATGGAGGATATCAGTGTTTCTGTCCCTCCTACATAGGATACACTGGAACCACGTAAGTCATTAGACGTTCTGTGACCAGGTTAATTATTCCCAGGGACTGGTTTTATCATAGGCTATTCATAAGTTAGTTGTATGCACTCTGGGAGGAGCCAAGTTCATTGTCATCAAGAATCCAGAGGTGGTGTGTTCAAATACCGGGATACATGAAATCTCCCAAGTGATTGCAAAAATTGTTTGCAAGCTCTTGCAAGTGCCCTTTCTGTTGAACAGGCCTCTGGTCAGGCATAGGCTAATCTGGAAACAAGTAAGTCATATGATACAATAGGTTTAGATTGGTTCTCAGCTACCAAGGAAACAAGTTCAGTACCACATATTCATATCACTGTCAACTAAAGAAAAAGAGTATTCAACTAGATTAGTAGATTTTGTATATTAATCTTAAATGTCAATATTTGTAGAAGAGAAAAGTATAATTTGTGACAATATTATTTTAACAGCTGCACAGTACCTGATCAGCCCTGTGCCAGTACCCCTTGTAAGAATGGAGCCTCTTGTATAGAGGAGGGAGTGATCAGACACAAATGTTTATGTCTGCCAGGGTACACAGGGGAAGACTGCAGCATAGATATAGGTATGTACTCTTCATTGAATCATACTCCAACTTACTCTTCACAGAACTGTTAATTGTACTCTTTGACACTTTATAGAATCATATTTGTATCTTACATGTCATAGAATCATATACATATACACTACCAGAGAACTTGGGTATCTTGAACATCAATATTTTGAATACCAAAGATCATTACATGTGAATTGGAAGTACTCACCCTCTTTCATTTTGTATTTGAACCTAATATCTCAAATTCCTCAGCTATCTTTTATCAGCCTTATTAAGTTTTAGACAGTGAGTTTTGACAGTATATGACTTGCACAAAACACATAGTAAAATACAGTTGCCATTACAGCTTCTCTTTCCTGCTGATGGTGCTTTTATTCTTTTCATCTAATCAATTTTTGAACTAGAAGGCCCTGCCTCTTTACAGACGAGTGCGCCAGTAATCCCTGTGTCAATGGTGGAACTTGTGTGGACAGAGTCAATGGATTTTCCTGTACGTGTTGGACTGGTTACTCTGGGGATTTCTGTCAGATCCGGTCCCAGGAATCCGTGTGTACCCCCTCCTCCTGCCAGGGAGGGATGTGTGTGGATGATTACCTCAATGACAGGGCTGTCTGTGTATGTAATGGGGGATACAGGCTCAGTAAGTTATAACACCTATTTTATAATTATTCAGATTAGCTTTTCATAAATGACTGTTACATCGTGTATGTAAGGCCAAATTTTTGCACATCAAAGAACAGGTATCATGTCGTCATCAAGGACAAATAGAAATTTGCAACCAAGAGAATCACTTCCTCTTGGACGTATCATTTCGATTTTTGAAGAAAAAAATAGTTTTACCAAATTTTACTGTAATTGTATTAAAAAATTCGAATTTCAGTCAAGCAGAGTTTACTAATGATAATTTGTTTTTGACAGATGATACCCAGTGTGAACTGTTGAACTACTGCTCCACTAATCTCTGTGAAAATGGAGGTCAGTGTGTCCCCCAGTATGCTGGCCATGTATGTGCCTGTCTCCCGGGGTATGGGGGACCTAGATGTCAGTTTGACATTAATGAATGTTCCAACAATCCTTGTAAGAATGGAGGGCAATGCCTAAATCAGGTCAATGGATACAAGTGCAACTGTACTCTGCCAGGAACAGGAGGTGAGAGACAAGAGTTATTTCCCTTCATATTTAAATACAAATGTAATTAGTTATAATGCACTGTTTTCTTAGTGAAATTAATCTATTAAATTTACACAGGTCTGAACTGTGAGGACATGAAGAATGACTGTTCACCAAACCCTTGTAATGTGAGTCACTCGGATAATTGTAAAGACTTGCTGGATGACTTCTACTGTCAGTGTCATGTAGGCTACAGAGGGAAGACTTGTGATGTAAGTCCAGAGAGAGGGAGGGGGGAGAAGGATGGAGAAGAGAGTGTGTCATGTAGGATACAGAGGGAAGACATGTGATGTAAGTCCAGGGAGAGGGGGAGGGGGGTCAGGGATGGAGAAGAGAGTGTGTCATGTAGGGTACAGAGGGAAGACTTGTGATGTAAGTCCAGAGAGGGGGAGGGGGGTCGGGGATGGAGAAGAGAGTGTGTTATGTAGGGTACAGAGGGAAGACTTGTGATGTAAGTCCAGAGAGGGGGAGGGGGGTCGGGGATGGAGAAGAGATAGTGTCATGTAGGGTACAGAGGGAACACTTGTGATGTAAGTCCAGAGAGAGAAAGAGAATGGAGAAGAGATTGTGTCATGTATACAGAGGGAACACTTGTGATGTAAGTCCAGGGAGATTTGTGTGTGTTTTTGGAGAAGAGAGTGTGTCATGTAGGGTACAGAGGGAACACTTGTGATGTAAGTCCAGAGAGAGGGAGGGGGGGGAGAAGGATGGAGAAGAGATTGTGTCATGTAGGGTACAGAGGGAAGACATGTGATGTAAGTCCAGGGAGAGGGGGAGGGGGGTCGGGGATGGAGAAGAGAGTGTGTCATGTAGGGTACAGAGGGAAGACATGTGATGCAAGTCTAGAAGGACAGAGAGGGGGGATGAGAAAGAGAGATACAGAGAGGGAACCGTATAGACCTGCTGGATGACTTCTACCTTCACTGTCACATAGGCTACAGAGGGAAGATGTGTGATGTAATTCTAGATGACAGAAGATATGAGAAGGAAAGAGACAGAGAGAGAGAATTGCTCACTCTCTCATCATTAACATATTAATTGTCTTTCAGATAAAGTGAAAGAAAAATGTTATAATTTTGATATGATGATATTTGTGTGTGTGTTTAAGTTGACATATTAATAAATACACAACTTTATTTGATTTAAAGAATTATGCGTAAATGACTATTGTCTTTTTGTAGGTGGGAGATGTTGATTGCCTTAGTTTCCCCTGCCAGCATGGTGGGATCTGCACACAGATAGGCGCCTCCTATAACTGTACCTGTCTGTCAGGCTGGGAGGGGGACAGGTGTGAAAGGGCAGTGGACAGGTGCTCAACCTCACCTTGTCAGAACGGGGGACAGTGTGTTAACGCAGTAGATCAGCATGTCTGCTTGTAAGATGTATTGCAAACTTCAAAGATTCATTATAAACTCAAATATGTTGTCAATGTTGTGAATATGCTCAGTCACTTGAATTCAGATTTTCAATGATAATAATGATTTTTCTGATTGTTTCTACAGATGCCAAAGTGGTTTCCTCGGTGAAAACTGTGAGGTGACCTATGACCTCTGTAATGTAGCCAATCCCTGCGTTGGTCCAGGAAGTAACTGTTCTGTGAGGAATGAGACTTCTCATTGTGATTGTTCGCCAGGTAATACGGTAACCGTATAACGGGTAATTTTTACTGCTGTAAATTTTTACGAATTTTGGTCAAAAAAGGGTGATTTAAATTTTTACGCGTTAATTTTTTATGAATTGAACATGTCCGTAAAAATTAAAATCATCAGATGTAAAATTCCAGATCACTGATTGTTAATATTTTGAATAGTTATGTGTCCGAAAACCCGATGTAAGATAGAGAGAGAGAAAGAGAGAGAGAGAGGTTTATCAAATTATAACAATATAAACAATGCAACAAATTACATAAAGTGTTAAAGAAATGTTATCACTTACTTTTATATACACAAACCATGTTCTCTTTATTTAATCATGTTTTATAAAACACATAGCTAAACACACCACGTGCTCATCTGGATTTACCGAATTCAAGAGAGACAACTCAAACAACTCAAACAATCATAATTGAAGTGAAAGTATACATGTATAGTGTACTAAGAAGTTGGATGTTTTATTCAAAGCACACGAAACAGAAGAAAGTGTCAAAGACTGAAAACACGGGTATAATTGGAAGACCTGTAATTATTAAGTCATTATCAGAATTCATGCGTCTCATTAAAATACTAAAAAAAAGATTAACCAGGTAGGTCTAACTGATTAATTAATTGACGGCGATGTTTGTATAATTTATACAAGTTAATTGAGATTTAGCTGTATGATCCCAATTGATGATTGAATTAAAAGTGTTCAAAATATCAACAGTACACTAATTACATAGCCTCCAGGGAGTGAGCTTAATGACAATTAATTAGCATTATTTTTACCCATACGATGTTGAAAATTTACACGAATCGTTTTATAAATTATGTGAAATTTTAAATTCTACAGATTTATAAAATTCGTAAAAATAAGTAAAAATTAGCAGCACGTAAAAAATACCCGTTATACAGTACTTAACCATCAGTATCTATAATCAAGCAATTCTATAAAAACTGCAGTAAAACATGCTTATATTTAGAGAATTGTCAGAGATGAACAATATTGATTCAGTATGATTGTAACATGTCATATCTGATAAATTGACGATGAGGAACGACAACCACTTTGCTTTAAATATGAATTCATGATAAGCTGGTTAGCAGTATCTGTGTTTTACTGTATGAGGGGTGATCAAAAAGTTCGCAAACAAATTGAATAACTTCCATAAGACGAATAAAATTAGGTTTCTGTGTTCACTATTTTTTAAAGTAGCCCTCTCTGATTTTAATGCTTATCTGCCATCGTTCTACACATGCGCGAATCACGTGATCCAGGGGGTCACGTGACATGCCCTGAAGCATTTTGTTCATAGCCTGTATGAATTTTAAAGGCGGATTATGGAATTTGGGTGGTTATCACCAGGAATGGCACAAGTTGGGCGTACTTGAGGCGGAGACGGAATTTTTGAAAAGTTACGCCTCAGTAGAAGAGACAATTACTTGTGATTTGGTAAATTCCGGGCGTCAATTGGCAAGTTTAAGATTTTCCGGGCGTAAAATGGCAGGAAAATAGAAACAAAAATTACGCCTGGAACTTTCAGGAGAAGTAAAAGCCTCTGATTGGTCAATTTAATTATCGATTAAGGGTCATTTCAGATAGGAGGTTAAGTTTGAATTTGACCATGAAGGAGGGAGTTTAGTGTGAGTGAAACAGGAAATGCAGATATCTCAATGTTAAGGCTTTTACACTTCTTGAGGATGACACAGTGTCTGCTGGTAGGTGTGATCATGAATATCTTGTACCTATTTGAGTAAATTTGATTATGATTATGTACAATGATAGTTATAACTGGTTGACCTAAAATTACTTTAGAATTATTTGAGTTTGTCCTTGCACACATTCTGAGAAATATCAGTCTGATAGAGGCTGCAGTGAGAATCTAACTGTAAACTGCTGAGTAAATGAAGAATTGTATTCAGTCAGTAACTAAAATGTTTCAATATAATTATTGAAGTGATAAAATGTACAGGTATTGTAAAAAAGTTTAATTCTAAATTATAACGCACTCAATCATGGTGGCCGTGTTTTAGTGTCCCTAATGCACAAAATTCATGTTATTTTTCTATACTTGTTAAAGATATATGTTAATGACCTGTCATTATGTTTTCTTACAGTTCAAAAAGCTAAATTTTTAGCTTTAAGATTGTAAATCATAATTTGAATGTTTTTCTTTGTTAACATGGTAAATATATAGGTTTTTAGGTCACATAGTATTATATAATAATAAGGACATTCCAGGCGTAAGTTTATTCCAGGCGTCATTTTAGTTTCCAGGCGTAATTTTTTTTACGGGCGTCATTTTTTTTACGGGCGTAGCTCATTTGCATTTTTCGCCTCAAATTCCTGCCCATTTACGCTTGGTTTCCGCCTAAGTTACGCCCGGAACCTGTGTATCACCATATATGTAGAGAGACAAATTGACGCCTCTCCAAGTACGCCTCAATTCCCCCTATATTCCAGGCGGAACATTTCGTACAGGAGACGCTAAAATATTTTTCCAAGTCTTATATTTCTTACCATGCAAGTTGATTTTTATAAAAAGAACGATTCATTTGTCAGAAATGACCAAATCTTGGAGATAGGGTGGTTGGAAAAGGATATTCTTTCCCAGAAAGAACATGGTGACCATCACAACCCGAGATCTTTGTCTTAGGAACGTCGTTTATCAAATATGGATTTAGCCGTACAGGGCCTTTTTATCATATTTAATATGTTAAAAGTCAAAATCAAAAGATATTTAGGGATTTAATAATGATAATATTATTAAGATATCCAACCATTTTTTGAACTGTAACTTTGCAATCTTTCATGACAGATTGCGTAACAAAGGACTCATCTCTTCCCCAGTTTGATTTTGCTGGCGGTACAAAACAAAAGTCGTTTTTAACCATCTCCCTCCCTTAGCTAAAACGATCAATCCAATTTATGATTAAACGTCTGGAAAGTCTATTTTCTTCATAAACCTTGTACAAATTATTTTAAGATACTTTAAAGGAATTATCAAGTTATACGTTAAACTTTACAGCCGTTCTTTGATCGAGTAAGACTCAGACAACCATTTTTCGTCACGAGTAACCTACATATTGACGTCATTTTCACATCGAGACGTCACAATGATGAAGAAAATCATTACCTTTTAAATGCTTTTTATAGAACATGAGCATGACTATAGATGTGTCATATTTCATTCTGATCTGAATCGTGGTTTTTAAAATATAGAGATAGTTCGCGAACTTTTTGATCACCCCTCCTATGTTTGATTTTAATTTATTTTCATATATTTATTTTAGGTTACACAGGGTCTGGATGTCACCTTCCGTTAACTTCCTGTGAGAATACTGTATGTCTTAATGGTGGGTCCTGCCAGGTGTCTGATGGGAAAGTCAAGTGTGCCTGTATACCAGGTATGTCATAGTTCTCAAAATCAAGCATGTTATATACGCAAATGAATGTAGTTGCTCTCTTTGACTTATATTCTTGTACATGCCCAATCTTTCCAGGTTAATTGTTATATTAACTTTTAAATGATCGATATATTTCTTGTATCAACATGTTTCTTTAAAAAAAAGAACAAAATAAATACAAATCAAAACTGTCTTCTATCTTTCATTGATGATATTTTTATTCATGACCACATATCTGATTGTCTTTCTCAGGTTATGCGGGTTCCCGGTGTGAGACAGACATTGATGACTGTGTCTCTGGTGTCTGTCCTGCTGACTCCCAGTGTGTGGACGGAATCAATTCAGTCTCGTGTGTCTGTACAGAGGGCAGAATAGGAGAACTCTGTGACAAAAGTCAGTACAGTTCTCATGATAGTGATAACAGATTTTGAGTTCCAGGAAATATTTACTGATCAGAAATGAATAGATTATGTTATACACATGTACATGCATATATATTTGTAAAGTTTAACATATACCCTTAAAATTTGCAGGTTTCAAAATTTAAGCTTGATAACTCAGAAACTTTCATTTGTTCAGATAATTATTTGATATGTTGAATTACAATAGAATAAATTGTTGTCTTCAACTGAAAAGCTATTGTTGGGTGTCAGCAATAATTTTGTAAATGTGCTCATGGTCATGAATTGTTCTATTATTTTTCAGATTTAACCCAGACTTTTGATTTGATCATTGAAACAACCAGTACCTGTGGCACAAAAAATGAAGTTAAACCAGAATCTTCAATATTCTCTCTGAATTCAACCAAATTCTCCATCTCGCTGTGGCTTCGATACACAGATAAATCTCGGCCAGGACCAGTTATCTCCCTTTATACGCTGATGTAAGTCAGGTCTCTCTAGGAATGTTAATGCCTACATTGTATAGCAAAGGCAGTGTTAAAAAGTCAGCCTTAAAGGGTGATTTTACTTATTTCATAAAACAAAATTTGGATATCAGTATTTCATTCCCACATTTTTATATTTAAGGGACAAAACTTTTATGCCAGTTGAGTTTATTGAGATGAGATCCAGTGGTGTGGCTGTTACTGTTGAATCCACTGCTGTGTACCTCTCTCATGGATCTAAGGTAGGAAACTGACTGATAAATACACTGTGGAATGTCTTTTGAATTTCGTACCCCCCCATCTCCACACACACACAAACACAAAGAAAAGAAGTAAACTTGACTATTTACTTATTTGAAATGTGACTGAAAGTTTACTGAAAGATGACTGAGTGACTTTGCTTGAAATACTTACTTCCGCAAGAAAGTGTCCTATTTAATTAATTATAAATTCTCTATATTAGAATATTATGGATGGATTATGGCATCATATGGCGTTATGCTGGACCAGTGGATCAGACACTGCCAGTCAGATTGGCATGGTCACTGTTTACATTGACAACCAGCTGACTGCTAAACAGGAAAATTTTGGCTCAGGGAAGCAGTTACCTCCATGGTAGGCATTTTGTCTTATAAATAAAGTCCTGAAAGATTAATATATTAAATTATACATCCACTTATTTTCTTATATTTTTATTTTCATATTTTTAGGGGTTGGTTGGTACTGGGAGGTAGATATGACCAATCAAACAACATCATCTTGAGAAGTAATGCTTTCACTGGTCGCTTAAGTCAGCTTTTCTTGACAAAGTCAGACCTGATTACAGAGATTTCAATTCTTCATAACAAGACAGACTTTACACCCAGTCAGTTGATCCAAACACCTATCACAGATATCATAGAGAACAACAGAGTGTTTGTGGACTACCAGAGTCAGCTACTGGCTTCTGTATGCAGAACAGCAAACAACTGTATCAAGGAATTTGATGGTATTTTCTTAACTCACATTGTATAAAAAAAATTTGTGAAAGTTAATTGATTTGTGGTTGGCTAGGGATTTTTAAAATTGAAATGTTTAACTGGACAGGTGCATAAAATTCCTCTCCTGTTTTTAGCTTCACAGTACCCAGCTGTGGAACAGTGTCCAGATGACCAGCTGGTTGTAACAGAAAGAGCTGCCTTTCCAACATGGATGGAGATTTCCTTTTCAAATGCCAATCAAGTCAAACATACCAAGCAGTCAGGAGGTATAGAACACTTGATTAACTTTGAAATATCAGAAAGCTGGAGAAAGTTAATAATGATTTTGTTTCTTTTATTACAGCTGAGAGGTTGTCCTGGGGATTCTATGAGATTTCTTCAGCCGGATTTGATGCCAGTGGAAATGCCGCAGTGTGCTCCTTTGTACTCTACAACAGAAGTTTGTTTCCTATAGCTACATAATTTTGCTAAATGAAAGGGAAAAAGCATTACACAAACTGTATTACAAATTAAATCTACCTGGGTAGTAGTTCTATGTTGTCATTATATGATTTCTTTCCTTTGATAGGAGTTGCTTGTGGAGAGGTGCTTCCTGTTGCTCCATACAAGGGAGCTAAATCTTGCACAACATTGACTGATGGAGAGAGATGCTCTCCTGTTTGTTTACAGCCTAACCATACAACCAGTCAACCGGGGCCTAAGTACTACAGCTGTAACATGTATAATCTGTTTGACTCGGTCAGTCGTTTACAGCCATTTGTCTTGCCTGCTTGTGCTGGTAAGTAATAAAATTAATAATATGGGAAAAAGAAAAGGAAATAATGGAGATTGATTTAAAAGTCTAAAGCTAACAAATACTGTAAAAGTATTTGAGTATGTGCTTTTAAAATTTAGAGTATGTAAGTGTGTACTTTAATCATTAGGCAAGAAGCAGTGCAAAAAGACAAAAGTTTTATTACCGGCCACTAAAGTGAATAAATTTATAGCTTAGTTAAGGAATTCTGTTGATGAAAATGATGTGAATTTTAATGAAAATTCATTTCATTCATTATTTTTATCTTCCCTTTCAAGCTTCCACCAGCAGACTTGTGGACCTGACAATGACAGTGGAGTTAACTCTGACAGAGAGGTGTGGCCAGATTCAGGGGGGCGTGGCTGCTCTGACTAAGTCCCGCCTCTCAACCATCAGTGCTATGTGGCAGCGGGGGCTGTGTGGTTATGGGGTGTGTTCTAATGTCAGTGTCACTTGTCCATCAACAGGTGCCCCCTATCTCACAGCCATCTTCTCATCCATCAGGTAACGTAGAACTGATATTGAAAACTTCTACATGTATCCATAGAATTTTAAATGGATTGAAAATTTCTTGTAAAGAATATTTGGATATTCTAGTGCATTTAATTTTTCTACCTAAGTGGTATTAATTGTGCTCGTAATTAAATGTAGTATTTACTAATTGTAAGTTTTGATGACTTTTAATTAATTAAATTTTATAATTACGAATATTATAGATGCTCTCTTTTTGTAGTGAATATTTAACAAACAGCCAGTCCATAACCTCACATGTTAAAGACATTTTGGTAACAGAGTTTGCAGACAAGCACACATTTGACTTTACGGTAAACCAATTTATCAGATATTTCATATTAAATTGATTTGTTTATTATTGAGAAATACGAAATGCACACTTTATCTGCATGCATGCTACATGTATATTCCCCCATGATGTTTATGATATATGTTAAATGTTCTTCTACAGACATCCACACCAGTTCTGTCTTCCATTCAGTTTGATTTCCTTCCCGTGTGTTCTAGAGGACATCAGCTTGTTGGAGAGCTCTGTGGTAAGATCATACAGATAGATTATTCGTAAATATTCTGTTTTCAAAGTTACATAATGCATTCCTAGGATCAGCTTTAGGGATAATCCCTAAGCATTGTTTGAGTGATTCCTCCCAGCATCAGCCTGGATGGTTGTCTTGCTTTTTGGCTTGCTGGGATCAGCCCAGGCATGGTTTATGCTCCAGGGGATTAGACCTGAGTGGCAATATTTGGAAGTTGTTTGTTTTATTTTTTTAATGAAAAGATAGATGAAGTACTGTATATCCCCCCCATAAAGTTAAAATATATACTGTTCAAATTGCATAAAAGGAAAAAGTTTTACTCTACTGTTTTTCCGTCAGTCCAGTGCAGTGTGGGTACGTTCTATAACACCTCCTCTAGACTGTGTCAGCCCTGTCCTGTGGGTCAGTACCAAGATCAGGAGGGGCAGTTTTCCTGTAAATTCTGTCCCTACAGCCAGGAGTCTACCACCACCTACCAACCTGGGGCTCAGGGTATTCTCAGTTGTAAGGGTGAGTTAGTCTAATAGCAAAATATTCTCAAAGTGCAAGATAAATTGAATAGCATTGTTTTTTCCCCATTTGAGCAATTCATGCAATTTGTTTTACACATTTTTTTTCCCTGAAGATTCCTGTGCAAGTGGTACTTTTTACAACTTGAGCACAGGTTCCTGTCAACAATGCCCCCTGGGATACTATCAGGAGAATTCTGGGTATTTTCATTGCTTTCCCTGTAATGTTGACAAGACAACAGCATATCCTGGATCCAAACAACAGTCCCTCTGTGTTGGTATGTAAATAATGATGAGTACTGCCTGTCTGTCTATCAACAATTTTTCAAAATGCCACTCGATCCTACAGTTTTGGTCTGGTTTCAATATAACTTGGATCATATACAATCAGTTTTTGATCTCTTTGATTAGTATTGTCATGGTTACTTAAAATTGGATGTCTGATAAACTTTGAAAATGCAACTCCTCCTTCAACTTCAGTCTGATTGTAATATAACTTGCAATCAAGTAGACTACACTAACATAAATTATCCTGTGAATCAATTTGATTTTAGAAATGGTGATGCTGATTTTACTATAAATGGAAATTTCTGTGTAATATACGTTTAAAACACTACTCCTACAATTTTAGTCTGGTCTTTAAAATACCACAAAAGTAGACTTCACTAAGATAAATAATTCTCTTTATCAGTTTTTTTTTTCAGATCTTTTATTATTCAATATTGTTGTCATGGTTACTTAAAAAATAAAAATTTCTGTGAAATATCTTCAAAATGCTACTCCTCCAACAGTTTTGGTCTGTTTTTGAATAATTTGAGATACTGGGATACATACTTATCTTTAAATTATGATTTTTTTTTTACTTTGATGAATTATAATGCATGGTGTTGCCATTAAACTGTTCTTAAAAAGTAGAAATTTTGTTGACATTCTTGGAAAAAGCTACACTTCCTACAGCTTTGGTCTAATTGCAATAAATCTTACTACCAAATGATCTTTAATTAAATTACTAAATGTCTTATTTGTATGGAGTTGGTTCTTTGTTTGGTCATTTATGTGAATTCTCCCACAGCCCATACAATAGTTATCCTTTTATCAAATACATGTACATGTATTGAATACCTGTTTGACATAATGCATCAATAAATCCAGGATGACACAGGCATGTAAAGTGATTAACATTATTGTAAAATGAGAATATTTGGCGCAATACTAATTTTAGCGCCTTTGGCGAAAGAGCCCCTTAACGCTAAAATTTGTTATGCACTAACGGATTTCTAAATATTTTTTTGTGTGTGTTCTAAGCTTTCATATAAGTACATAAATATTACATAAGTATGTAAACCAGATCACGCGATCACATAATGTTGAAAGGTCATTGGATTTTTGTATACAGCGATCGACACTAACTTTTAAACCATAGTTGTCAACAGGGCTAGCCATTTCTAATTTCTACTAGCCCTGTTCATGTATTAGTTGTCCAGCAGCCGAAGGCTGGTTGCCATGTCGCGAAGCGACACGGGGGGTAGGTGCGGGAGGGGGTTTCCCCCTCCGGCTGGTGGGGGTACGGGGGGCCTCCCCCGGGAAATTTTGAAAATAGAGAAAATTTGTTATAAAAATTATACTATGATTGGACATTTTTCTATTTGAAAAAGTCCACATATATAATTTTTTGTGTGTGGAATCACCTTTAAATTTTACAATTTTGACATACAAAAATAATATTTATGATGATAAAACATGTTTGAAAATAGATTTAATAATTATTAGATACATTGTGTGTAATTGATAATTATTTTTGTTGCTGTGAGTAAGTATTTAGTACAATTCTTAGTAGCCCTGCAGGGCAAGTTTAAAGGCATGTTTGGTAGCCCAACCTCAATATTCAGTTGTCCCGGGCCAGCGGGCTACTGTTAGTGTCGAACCCTGGTATACACACTAGCATTTCAGGATCAATCGAGAAAGTTCTTCCAAATTATAATTTAATTAAACTACTGTTAGTTGTTACCCGATACGTATCATTAGCACTTTCAAAGTTTGGCTTCTCGGCATGTCAATCATATATGTCCTCGAGGTAAACATTGCAATCAAGCATGGCGATTGAGATTGCAGACAATACCTGATTACGATTACTGTTTATCCAAGTAACTTACTTTCGATGCATGCATTGTTTTAATATGAATAAAATGCGTAAATATTCAACGTTTTCTTTTATTAAAAAAATTGAAATAAAATTGACATAGTGCCACGTCCATGTCATTGCACCACCATGGTAAAGTTGATGAATGTTTACTTATATACGGGAGTGCTACATGTATTGTGTTTCTGTGCTTGACTTACCAAAATGTCAAATAGATTATACAAGTGTGGATAAGAATATGTTCACATTTATGTATTTTAATGATAAGTGCAAGCGCTAAAATTCATTTGCGCCAATGTATTCCAACTTGCGTTTGTGCTAAAATACGTATGCGCCAAATTTTCACATTTTACAATATTTGATTTATTGATGTAAGTTGCAAATTTCTACTTTTCTTTTGTTTTAAGGAAAAAACCAGAAGAGCTATAGTCTCATCAGAGATTACTGGTTTATATTTTGTGGGAATCTTAACTCTATATCTGTCAGTGTTATGGCCCATTATTACTGTATGTCGATCAGTCTAGGAAGTTTTTGTTTCAGGAATTATTGTTGATTGTCAGATATTTGAAAATTCATTTAAGTCCTTAAAATAGTCAAAGATTAATTAAGACAATATTGCTTAGGATTATATAGGGTTTTTTTTCCCATTGCCTATAATTTTGAAATTTTGTAGAGCTAGATTTGATTTCTTTTGGAGGATTTTTTTTCTCATTACTCCCAGCTGTGACATTTATGCCTGTTGATATATTTTTCTGTACTAGAATATAGAGATCGAATTTTCAGATTCTTAGACCATGCAATAATTGGGCTAACTTTTGAAAAGGTGTGCATCATTTGTTCAACATGCATTTGATTATTTTGTTTGAAGATTTTTTGTTTAGTCTTCTAAATGTGATAATCAGGAAAGTTTCTTAATTGTATTATATAATCTTCTTTTCACAAGAACATTGATTAATTTATCCAGAATTAATTCAAAACTGACATGCAATGGTTCAAACATGGGGAAAAAATATGTTTGAACACTTTATGTCATGCATAACATTTTTCTTTAAAAAGTTATAAATAAATCCTAAAAATCATTTTTCAGGTAGTCAGTACATACAAGACAGGTTGTCAGTACATACAAGAGAATTTTATTCCAAATCAAAGTAATTTATATTAATTTTATGTGTAAAAGTACTTGAGCAGTAAATACCCTCTTGTAAGGAGGAAGGATGGATTTCTTTTCTTGTCTTATTATTCTCAATAAGATTTTAATTTTGAGCGCATGCAAGTAGACATTAAAATTAAAAACCAGAAAGACCTGTCTGCAGGCAGACCAACATTTAGTAATTTCAATACATCTTCTGACTGAACAAACAATATAGCTTTAAAATCTGCCATCCACACAATGTTCAATAGAGCTGAGAACTAAAGAATCAATATACCCATTACCTTTAATAATTATTATGGAACCAGCCATGGTCGTAGGGTGGTCAATAAAGCGTGACCAGGTGACAAGTTCGATCATGCTTGATTTGCTTAACAGCAGTGTTTGGATCTATGTGTACTATTGTAAACTATCAACAATTGCATAGCAAAGAGGATAAAAAATGTAATACATTAATTGACTTACATATTAATTTCTGGAAATTAACAAGATCTGGAAAATTAAAGTGATATAACTGTTGAAATTCTTTATTACAATTTATGGGTGATTTTACTGTGAAGGTATGTGCATTAAATTACCTCTTTCATAGATTTAAAATGCAGTCGATATCAAGATCTTACACTGATTAAGTGTGTCATGCAATATAAATGGTATTTTATTTGTGTCATGTGAAGGTAAACTTTCAGGTACCTAACATTGTCACAATTACCATGGTGATGTTTATTATTGATTTCATATATTATTGTGTCTGTGAAGATAACCTAGGTCCAGAAAGATCAAGTTAGATGTTGGACTGTCAAACAGAAATAGGATTTTTTTTTTCTGATAAAGATCAATGTGCAAAATTTGGATAAATAGAAATTATTTGATTTAAAAAAGTATCCAACATACATAAAGAAACAGTTCAAACTAGAGTGCAGCAGCTGTGCAGTGCTTTGCTACTCTGTAACATCTCACAATCTCAGCCATATCTCATAACTGATCTGTTTAATTATGGAAGGCACAAAATGAAAAATATATGGTATCAACACAGAGAGAAATTTCTTTTCAGTTTGATTAGATTAAACTTTATGTATAAGTATGAAGAATTGAGTACCATGCAGTATTAATTAGAACTAAAAACTGTCATCTAATGCCATGAAGTTATTTTAATTAAAGACCTGCATGATCCAGCATTCAGAATACAGAATTAATCAGGCTTTTGTCTATTATTGTAAGCTGTTTTAAATTTTAAAGAACTCTTTAAACTATGAATCAATGATAGATTGTTTGACAGTGTCCATTTAGTAAAGAATAAATTGTTAACAAAAAAAACAGCAAGTGGATGAGAATGGTTTTTCACTTTTTGTACAATAATTAAACAATGATTTTTTGATGAGAAGATTATGATATTTCTTAAAGTATGTCTTTGAATTCTTCATATATATATGACCAGAACCTGTGATTCAATTTTTATAATTATATCATGTGAAGTATGTCCAACTTTTCTCAGTATTTATTCTTTTTCAGCATATTCTAAAGCCTTCACTACAGCCAAAACACCAACAAGTAAGTTAAATCATAAAAATTCAATACATTTAGCACTCATAAAAAATGCCAATAAATAAGGGCAAACTTTTATGTAAAAGTAAGAAACAAAACCTACATTCTAAATGATAAATACATAAATTTTAATTAGAGCCTTGTGTGATTATATATTAATTGTAATGAGAGCCTTAATTGTGTAATTTCAGATGTAGGACAAAGTACAGACATGGAGGAAGAGTTCACGGCAGCAGTTATCATCGCTATTGTCATCGGCATCATCATCTTCATCGTAGCATTCATTCTGCTGTTCCTTTTCTTTTGCAGAGAAAAAGGTATGCTTTCTTATGCTTCAGTCTATGTAAGACCATTACTTTGTTGATTTCATTTCAATTCAATATTTTTTTAAAAATTAAATTTGATTTTCCTTCAATATTTTATTTGAAGAAAAAATGATTGAGTTTGTAGATAAATTGTCATTTTCAGATATTGATTTGTTTTTATATAGTGTCATTCTTGAAAGGTAAACCTTGTAGTCTAGGGAATAGAAGTACATATGTAAACATTAAACAGATCATGTCTATAGAATTTGGATTAGCTTGATTTATTTTATTTAGAGAATGCCACCAGGGTATCTGTTTTTATCTAAAACAGGAATTACCAGTACATTACTTCATAAGCACATTCTTCATTATAAGTTTTACGAGATAAAGTAGTTGAAATTATATCATAAAACCTGTGAAGATCAAGTGGGCCAGATAAACCTGAGACAAGTATTTTTGTTTCCCCTATTGATATACATGCACCGTATATGTTCTAATAAGTGCTGATATTTCTATTCTATCCCACATCTTAATTTTAGGTTAAAATTAAATTTGGGAAAATAATTAAATCAATCATTTTATGATTATACATATGTAATTTGATAATAATGATTTTAATATATGAATGGAGAAAAAAATGCATAATTCATATATGAAAAAGGTGTATTTCTTTGCTAATATCAAAGTATTGCTATCAATCTAGGTGAATTCAACACTTAAACCAACATTCAAAAATAAATCTGAAATGCAAACATTGTGAAGACTAAATCAACATTTGAGTTTACTGTATTTTGGTAGAGGGAAAGGAATGGGATATTTTAATGCTAAAATATCTGAGAGGATTTTATGACACTTTTCAAAATTAGATACTTAGGATATGCATATGTACATAGCACACATTCAAATAAAACCTTTTAAATATAGTTTAAAAAATCAAAAGTTATGGGCAAGGTTAAAGTTTTTGTGGACAAACAGACAGAGGGACGGACATGACATACACTATATATCCCAGAATCTTTTTTCTGTATATTATGGGATCTAGTAATAAAAAAGATCAACCATGATTATCCCATGTTTCCCACACTGGACAATAATTTTTTTCCTGTAATTCTGGTATATCTCTTTCAAACACAAAGGCAGCCGCACTACATGCATATTTGGCCTCTTGAGATTTGCATACAACACGTCTGTAAAATATGAGCTAATTGTCATGATTATAAAAGGTGGCTCACTATGTACTTGTATATGCTGTAATTCCATGTTGCTCTTTAAAAGAAAATTGCTTTAATAGACAATTATTAAGGAATTCTTAATGGTTTTAAAAGGTACAATTATAACAAATGTCCTTGAATTTCATATATACATGTAGCCTAGGTATTTCAGAAAATCAAATATGCTTGTTTTTCCAGATATTAATAATAAGATTTTTAAAAGGCATTGAGGTGTAATCAAATTTTACAATAATCTCAAAACATTGCCTCATAGTCTAAAAAATATAAACCAACCTCAAAATTGTTAGTTGAATTACAATTGAATAAACTCTTTATGCTTCTTTTCAATTGATAAATCTGAGAGATTGATTAGTTGGAGAATTTACAGGTTGATATAATATTTGGCCTAAAATCCTTTCACTTCACTGGTAGTTCTTTCCTGAAATATTTTTGATTCAAGTTATTGTAAACTGTTTTAATTTGGTGATTGACTATATTAGCCATATTTTCGTACTATGGTTGGTTATAGCTGGAATGTCTGTCCACTGTCCAGCTGATTCTGGGATAATATTCAGTCAGAGAGAAGATACTCAACTGTGAAAAACTTACAGGAACAAGACCTAATGCAGCTTTAGAAATTTTTTCAATAAATACTTGTGATTTTTAATGAGGAAAATTCAGTGAACAGAATACTGTAAACAAATTCAACCAAAACTTTTAGTGTTCTTTATAAATACTCAACTGAAAAAAAAAATAGACAAAATGATAAATGCTTAGATTCAGGAAATATTTGAGCAAAAGAAAGTTGTGATTATCTTGCAGATATTTCTTGTGTGCAAATGAAAGTTGGTTTACAGTAACTAGAAAATAATATTCTCTTTGCCATAAAGATTAATCACTTTATTTCTAGTGCCTTGTTTTGGCCAAAATGAGGTAATACCAGAGGGAACTACACCCTGGAAGTATGTCAACAGATATGGAGAAACTAATCTGAAATTTGTGAATTATCGTCTACAAGATGTCCGAGAACGGAAGCGACGTAAACGTGTTGATCGTCGACCGTTTTCCTCCAGAGAAGGGCCATATGGACCAGAGGTGGCGCTAGGATACAATACTGAGGACTCCATCAACTTCAGGGATGCCCCAGAAACTTTGTATGTCAAATTTTCATACATGCATATGGTGCCCAAAGCATAGATTATTAACTAGATTTCTTTATCTGAAATTATTCATTTAACTACTTATGATGTGTTTATTTTAGCTATGTTTAAACAAAAATCTAATCCTACATGTATTGTCTATTTCTAATGGAGAAACTCTTGTAGAGAATGCAAGCATTTTGCTCTGCTTTAAGGGAGATAACTTTTACAAAACTTATACTAATTGAATTTATCCTGAAAGAAACTAGATCAAGATGATAAATGATTTTTTTTCTATTTTCAGAACACCAAGACATCTTCCACCCATCTCATCAAACACAGTGGAGGAAACCTATGAAAAACCTAAAAAGAGAAGAAAAAAGAAGAGAAAGAATGTGTCCCCAGACAGGGAACCAAGGGCACTGAAACCGCTGAAGGGGTCAGGGTTCAGGTCATCAGCGCCACCTAGTGAAAGTGGCTCACAAAGGGGAGAAATGGGAGATAACCATTATATAGACCCTGTACATTCTGACACTAGGAATGGACATATTAAAATAGATTCTGACAACGAAGATTACAGATGAGAGTTAAACAGTTGTAGATATGATTAATTTTTTAATTGTTGGGTAGGAGCCCTTTGTCCTAGTCCTCTATCTATAGCTGATCTGTGTAATAAGAGAGGGGAGTTGAAATAAAAATTTTAGTTTGAATATGGTTTTTACACATAATTGTTGACTTTGGTAGTAGGGATGTGTATTGAGCCAAAAATTTCGATATGATACGATACAATATTTTTGAAAGCGATATGCGATATATTGGATTCTAAAACAAGTCCATCAGAAAAGGCTTATAAACCATTTTATAACAATGAAGTGTTTTATTACCCATTTTAAAGTTTTTGTTTCATTGACATTACAATTATACTTGAAATTAAAACTTTTAATGACAGTAAAATTAACATGTTCAAATAAAATTCTCTTTGTATTTTGTAACAATTATAAAAACTGTGTTATTTCCTTCAAATTAATTAAAACACTTTACATGGTACATTTTTAGTTTGAATGTGGTTTTTACACATAATTGATATATTGATACAGCCCTATTTGGTAGGCTGGCTGATATTATTAAAGTAGAAAAACAAGGGTACATGTGTGTATGCATTAATTGCAATAAAAGCTAAGCTCTCATTCACAGCAGTGCATTTTATTTCATGAAAATAATTATGTTTCTGTAATCAGATTTCTGCTCAATGATGAAAATGTGTGAACTCCTGAGTTTTGAAGTGCATATGTATTATAATCATCAGATACCTTAACATTACAATATTTTTGACATTCTTTAACATGATATATATATGTTTGACAGTTTAATTAAGGTACATGTAGCAGTGGAATGTTGAATGATTATTGGTGTGCATTAATTGTAATCAGATTTCTTAACTTATAGTAGAATTAGCAATCAACTTTAGAAATTCTTTTAAAAGAAAGCTTTTGAAATTGGAATATGAAAGATATGCATTAAAAATTATTTATTAAAACATTAACATTAATTTAGAATTGATAGGGGTAGCATTAATTGTATTGACAAATCAACTGTGATAAAAGAACAAAGATTTGGTGCCAAATACATGTGTATACTCAATTAAGAAACTTTACTGTTGATCGATTAGGTTTTGTGCTTATTTGTCTGTTAAATGTTTAATTTTATGTTGTGTTTTATGTATAAATCTTTTGTTTTATAATGTTATCAATCAGTTTGCATGATAATTTTCATACACACCAAAGGCATTTAAGCAGAAAATTCTCATACTAGCAAATAACTGATTAATCAGCATCATAAGAGAATTTTTCCTTACATTTCCTTTTTACCTTGTCTTTGAATCAATTTAAAAAAAAAAAAAAAATTTTTTTAATACGAAATCTCAGCATCTCTGCCCAGTAAATACTTACTATAATTAGCAACACACAGCAAGAAAGCATGCAGTTCTGAGAAGTGATGAGAAAATTGCATTTTTGAGTTGGCTCGCGTAGCGAGCTACTCTTTGTTGACGAAGCCGTTTCATGATCAGAACTGTAAAATTTTTCACGCATTCATCAAGGTGATCCATACGCCAGATATGATAGTTCTAACAAAAAATGCTTTTATTTGAGTGATTATATAAACCATGTTAAACTTAGGAGGTGAAAACTGTATAAAATGTCATACTGTTACCTTATTTATGTCTTCATACTTTTCCTGAATTTTTTGATTAAGTATCTGTACATGTACAATTACTGTGTATGAATATATGTTCAAGCATGTTAGGCGGATCTAATCTTCCCATCTGAAGTTTATGTATACATGTAATTGACCTGGAATACTCCATAAAACAAACACCTGCTGCTCTCATTAGCTGCAG